TCTCTTCCTAAAACGGCACTTGTTCTTTCCAGGTATACTTGCTATATGACCTGCTTCCCCACTGGATCAATATTATCTAAATGGCTAAACTTGTAATCTTACAGTTTTGCCTGCCTTAGGATTTTACTCTATAAAATGTTCTATCTAAAATGGGGTCCTTCCCAAGTGGGTTGCCGTAGCTATTTTTTTTTTTTTTTTGTCTTTTTCCTTTTTATCGGTACCAGGGATCGAACTCACGACTGCCTGCTTACAAGGCAGGCGCTTATGCCGCTGAGCTAAATCTCCAGCCCTAGCCGTAGCTATTTTTTATTCCCCAATAAACTCTCCTTCTCTTAACCTCAATAGCCCCTCAAAATCCATTCTTTGGTTTTGGGGAACATGAACTCGGTGTGTCAGACATCTAACACGTTGAGAGTTACATTTGTTTGCTCTATATCATCAGGATTGGATTTCCCACACCAATTGCAGGAGAAACTTTGCTGGAGGGATGGCAGATGGGCCAATCCTTATGGGTCTCCTGTGAGGAAGTTTAGTTCCATCTCACCCAGGCACGGGATACGCTGCCCTGAGTGGGCACCTAACAAAGCCGCTGCGTACCATAGAGGAGACCTCTCCACACCTCTTCCCATTTCTGGTTAGAGGGGGCGAACATTTACTGTCACTGGCACTCATTTTCTAAGGACTTTGGAACCCTCTAGCAACTGCAAAGGAAAAACTAAGGCTGCAAAAGTTTGTAGACAGGGAGAGAGATAAAGAGACTATGCTTCCGATGGAAGAGGCTGAAGGAAGTGGGGAAGAAAAAAAAAAAAAGGAAAGCCTTTGGCTGAACTTATCAAAGGCCTGGTCTGGACGCCCCTTTTCCTGCCTGATACTGGTGAGGCAAGAGAAAGTCACCCAGCTGGGTCTGAGAGTCCCTGAAGCTCAAGTAAGGAACTTAACTTACTCTTTTGTGAATAAATTTGCAGGTGTGTTGACTTCTATAGCAGAAAAAATATTTTCAGGACACATCAGTAAGCGGCACAGGGTAGCAGAGTTAAGATCATGGACATTAGAGACACTTGTGCCTGGTGATCAATCTATTACTTTTCAGCTCCAAATGCATCCTTTTTGCCAGCTTTTTCTCAATGGATCCGAACTATGAACGTTTTCCTATGCTGCTAGAGCTAAAGCTCTGTCAGTAGAGGGCGCAGGAGAGACAAACACAGCAGGAAGAAAAGAGTTTGGCGGGGCTTTGCTTCTGTGATGTGAGGGATGTTCTCAGCCTTACCTTCAGCAGCTTCCCAGGTATCCTCTCCTAGGGTATCTTATAGTGAAAGACTTGTGTGGGGGACCCTTCCCAGTGAGCAGCTCAGCACCCAGAAGGTGGATTTCTGGCAAGTTCCAAAGGGATGACGTTTCCATGGGTTACCACCACAGGGGACTTATTTTATTTTTGAGACAGGGTTTCTCTATGCCTCCCGCAGGGACTTATGACACTGCTATGCAACTTCTCCAAGAAGGTTCCCACTCAGCTGGGGAGCTGTGTCTGTCTTGGGGTTCTGTTTCAGGAGGAGGGTGGTGGCTGTTTCTTTTCTTTCTTTCTTTCTTTTTTTTTTAAGGAGAAAAAGAAAAAAACAGAAAAAGGGTACAAGTAATACAAAATTTAAAAAATAAATAGTAAGAAATCACTAGTTAATAGATTACATATTCTCATCTTAAAAATAGTTGTTCAAGTTACAAAATTGAAGCATATAAAGTGGACTTTCAAACAGTGAGAGTGCAGTTTTGTTCAATGATCCAAAAAAAAACCTCAGTAATATGGTTATCTGTCTTATACACTTAAACATATATGCAGTTATAACCTTTAGAGCACTTTCTTTTCTTTTCTTTTGTACAATGACAATTACACATTTTGGGTTTTATTACTCCCACAGTTGGTGGCTGTTTCTTATATTACAGCCTTTAGGATTTTAAAAACTTTTTTGGTACTGAGATAGACCAGTACCCAAAGAAATTTCTGGGATAAACCAGCACCTAAAGAAATTTCAGTCCAGAGATCCAGACTTCATTTGAGTCAGTGAGACAGTGGCAGAATTCATTTAGAAGAATTTTGGAGCTGATTAAGTGAAATCAGACCTTTTGTTCCCTATGAACAACTGGTCATCCCAGTTCCCTGAGGCACTGCCCGTCTCATTTTTTCTTTTTGCTCTGCGTTGTAATGCCTGGCAGGAGACTGCAGCCCACTGCAAGGGTCTCTGGAAAGTGGCATCAACTGTCACTTGAACCCATGGCATTCTCACCTGCCTGCTAGATTTACTTGGAGTGTTTTGACAGTGCTTGGATCTAGTGTGATGGTTCTGGAGACATCTGGCGTGGAGCTGAGAGGCTGCCAAACTCCAAGTGATCATGCAGATGAAACCAACAACATATGTGCTAGACTCCTTTTGCTGGGATGCACTAGCTCAACCTTCAAAGACAGTTTATAACTGTTAGACCACAACAAGACACCCACCTGAGGCCTATTAGATTTGCTTCCTAGAGGAGGCTCCTAACTGTGGTTATCCCTACAATACCTCTTCTCACTGGGAGCAGCTAGATGAAAATTAAACCCTATTCTCCCTTAACTGCAGCTAGGCATACTTCTTCACAGGGGGAATATTTTAGATAGCTATGTTATTTAGAAATATCGTAAGCAGTTTGACAAGGCTGGGCCCTGGAGAGGTCAGTGAAGAAGGGAACTGTGGCTGGAGGCGCATTTACTGAAGGCCAGGCTTAAAAAACAAAAACAAAACCAAAAACAGACAACAAGAAAAATCTCAACTATACCCACATACTCACTTTTCTTTAAAAACACAATTATGAAAACCAAAAGGGGGATATGGTTACCTCCACATGCACAATTAGATCTTGCTATCTTTACCTTAAATTTTTAAACCTGGTTGCAGAAAGCACCCTCCATCAGAACTCGACTGACAAAAGGACAAATCTGATGAGCACACCTAGGTCAAGTCCTATAGGGGGACATCCAAACAGGAGATGGGACACCCAGTGCAGTTAACAGCATGGGGCCGAGGGCACGCTTGTGTGTTAACAGACGATGGAACTCTTATGGCTGCCCTCCCAGAAGGTGTACGATGGAGGCAGGAACAATTCCAGGCCTGTGGTGAAGCTCATTCCTATTTAGCCCTCCAGCGCGAGCATGCTCGAGGATGACCCTGGAGGACAGCCAACATCACAAGTACTGAGATTCATGCAGGCTCTGCAGCCCACAACTTGGGGACAACTAAAGAAGACAACACAGGATGCTTGCATGTTGGTGATGTGACAGAGCCTCCCACAAACCACTGACAATGTTTGCTGCTATGGAGCCCATCACACCCTGTACATTGTTTCAATGGCTGCAATTACAAAAACAAAAAGGAAGAATTTCTGAGGACCACAAATTATAAATTGAGGCTAGATCCTGGAGGCCTTAATGGAGACTGTAATGGTCCTGTGATGCTGTGATGCTCCAGGAAAGATCCTCATTAAATTAAAATCACCTCTGAATCATCCAGTAATCCCCTCACCATTTTGCTCAATGTAAATGTGATCAATAAAAACTGAGGTTCTGGCTGTCTTGTGGCTTTTGTTCACAGTGAACAACTGGTCATCCCAGTTCCTTGATGCACTGAAAAACAAAACAAAACAAAACAAAACAAAACAAAACAAACTCCTGAAACAGCATATGTGAAGTGTTTTATAAAAGATAGGAATGTTGGGCCAGGTTTTTACCTATAATCCCAGCTACTTAGGAGGCTGAGGCAGTTTAAGGCCAGTCTAGGCAATTTAGAGAAACCTTGTCTCAAAAATTACAAAAGGGTTAGGAACACGGTCTAATGGTAAAGCAAATACGAGGCCCTGGGGTCAATCTCCAGTCACCCCCACACCCCCAAGTTACAAATGTTAACACTGGATCAAAAAGGATTCGGCTTTAAGGATGCCTCTTCCCACTCTCCAATGCTAACTCTCCTTGCTGACTTTTCCAGGGCACTCAAAGCACATCCATTGAGCGGATGGGTGATGAGGCCAGCGCTGCCTCCTGGAAGTTAGGCAGCTCTATCTAGATCCCCTCTCAGCATCCAGGCAGGCTTCCAAGGGACCTGCAAGTATTATGTTGGCTCCTTTATTCTTCAGCTTTATTGTATCACATGCATATAGTAAAATTCATTTAACTGAATTAACTTTGGCTATTGTACAGTCTCTGCAACTACACTGCAGTCAAGATATAGAACAATTTCCATGGCTCCCCAAGTTTCCCCATCATAATTGTTTTTGACAGCTTGAAGTGGACCCTTGCTTTGTGCAGTGCTGGCAGTGAGGCCATGCTAATTGCTGACTTTCGTTTCTGTGAGGAACAGCTCCCATTTCACCTGCTTTGGAGAGCTGAGGCAACTGACAGGCTGCGAGCCCACTGAAGAAACTTCTCGGTTCAAATTAAAGTGGCTGCTCTCTTTTGAGTCTTTTCCTTCATCATTTTACCTTTGAGCTTTTCTTTAGTCACTCTACCTCCACCTTCCAAAGACTGTGGTCTTGTTAGATAATTAAATTCTATTAGTTCACTACTAATTTATTTATTGGGTGTTAAGGCTGCATCTAGGGATCTTGTTACATTCTTTAATCCCTGAAGAACCCCCTTTAGGACAACAGCCATCCACTCTTCAGAACACTGTGATGTGCGAGAGTGCAGGCACTGTATTAGCACTCTGAAGGACGGCGCACCTTCCATCCCCTCTGCTAACACTTCAGCCAGAGTTTACTGAGCCCCTGGTCCAGGCTGAGCTTGTCTGATCTTCTTCCCAAAACTCTCAAGAGAGTGTCACAGGAGGCACAGAGACTGTCACCAGAAATGCATTACACTGGTGCAGGATCTTGGAGACTCAGTTGTCCCCAAGGTCCCTTCCCGCCCCATGCATGACTTTCCCTTAAGTTAGTCATAGTTGGTTGACCGGCGCAGCCCCCCAATGAGACAGGAGACGCTCTTGTGGGTAACAGGTAACTGCCGCTTTATTGTTGCGGGCTCTGGCTTATACATTCAGCCGTGACCAATCACAGGCTGCCACAAGGAGGCAGGGTTGGGATGGAACGCGGGCTCTGGCCAATATACCCAGCTGTGGTCAATCAAGGGTTGCCACAGAGCCAGCACGGGGCGAATACGGAGTGAGCACGAGGTGCGCACGGGGTGGCTAATTTGGAGAGGGACGTAGCGCATTGCGGAAGCTAAACGTGGTCCTTAGTCCCGGGCGGGGTATGGTATGTTGAGCGCCTGCGCCCAACAGTTGGTATCTTGTGTTCCATGACACCTGATACTTGACTCACCAAAGGACCCTGTGATAACTGATACAATATCTTCCCAAGGTAGAACAGAGTTCTCTGAAGTCTGCCAGAAACCTATTCCTCAGAGGTTTGGGAAAAGGCAGGAGGGCTTCCTTGACCAAATTTCTCTGGTATCGAGGAACCATATACCCTGGGGTCTTTCTCTTTTTTTAGTTTGAAACCAGCAATTGAACTCTGCACCTTGTACTTGACAAACAGGTGCTGCACCACTGAGCAACATCCCCAGCCCTATTCTTTCTCCTTTCTGAACACAAGTTGGGCCATTTTCCTTTTAGCCAGATTCATACACACGCACTGAGGATTGAACCCAGGGCCATGCACATGTTAGGCAAGTTCTCTGACACTCAGGCACACACATTTCCTATATTCTAAGATTTTTTCAAAATTGGTTTCTAACACATACACTATTATTTTCATTCATTATTCATTATATTTTCACTTTATCATTTTGTGATCCTCCACTTTCCCTAACATCCAATGAATAAAACTATGTTTCCTGTATTATATCTACACTATCCAAAACGTTTTCTGAGAAACTTGCTTGGAATATATCCTGTATGTTCACAAATATTACTAGAGAGAACAGCCCTTCCTGAGAAGAATGATGCCTAATGTCAAAACAATTTAAACTGGGCATGATGGCACATACCTTCAATCCTAGCTACTCAGGAGGCTGAGGCAGCAGAATTACAAGTTCAAGGCCAGTTTGGGAAACTTAGCAAAACTATCCAAAATAAAAAGGGTTGGCAGTGTAACTCACGGGTACAGGTCCTGGGTTCAATCCCTTCTCTTTCTCTCGCTCTCATCCAAACTGGATTTAATATACTTTAACTTACTCAGAAATCACTAATTTCAGTAATAATAATATAATAAAAAGGACATGATTCTTCTGAGAGAAATTTTAAAATGTAGGAGCTGCTTAGCATACTTCAAATGCAATGAAGTTGAAATACAAAGGCCATACATAAAAAGGTCAGCCAGGAGGCAGAACCACCTAGGCTGAATCGCAGTTTATGTTATCTACTACCACTCACAGGTGAAGATCAAAGTTAGGAAGGGTAGACTGGGAAAACTGAAGCTCTCTCTTAAGGTTAAGTTGTTGCCAGGTACACACGCTTAAGCCCTAACTCCGCATGTTCCCAATCAGATGAAGGCTCTCTTTGATTTAGATAAAAATTGCCAATCAGCAACACACAGCTCTGCCATGGGATCTCAGCCCACGGTGTTATGCCTCTGGGACTCTAAGCTAGAGTCCCTCAACACCTCATGAGCCAGGACTTCACCTTCAACAGTTATCTAGGGTTCTAGAGCCCGTGGCTGGGTAACCCTGAGCCTCCTCCGCCTCCCCTCCCCCAACCACTAGCAGTTGTCTTGCTTCACTGTTGGCTGTGAAAGGCAATGGTCACTGCCTGTTAATGACACCGGTCTTTGCTGTTTCTGGGTGCCAGGCAATACCAGTTACCCACCCTGATTACTGCCACTGCCAGATGCTACTGTTCTCCACGCCTGTTCTGGAGCTCTGCAGCCTAGCCCCACAAAGGGCTGCCTCTCTGATCTTTGCCCTCCTGGAGGGCTTTTTCTGACCATTCTTTGGAAGGCAGCAGGGTCTCCCTCTGGCTGGAGGAGTGGAGAGGGGTGTCAGGCTGAAACTAACTCTACCAACATTTTGATTTTAAATTCCCCGTCATAGGAACTGTGAGACAATATGCTTCTGTTGTTTAAATTTTCCCTCTATGGTACTTTATCATGGCAGCTCGGGCAAAAAACCTAATTCCCTTCTGTGTAAAATAAGATTGTTAGGCCAGGTTTAGTGGTACACACTTGTGAACCCATCACTTGGGAGGCTGAGGCAGGAGGATCACTGTGAATTCAAGGCCAGCCTGGGCTACAAAATGAGTTCAAGGTTAGCCTGAATGGCACAATGAGACATTGTCTCAAAAAAAAAAAAAAAAAAAAAAGAGAGAAAAGGAAAAGAAAGTATCTTTTTTTGGTCTTTTTGAGACAGGGTCTGTCTATGCAGTTCAGGCTGGCCTTGAGTTCACTTTGTAGCCTAGGCTGGTCTTGAACGTGCTATGATCCTCCTGCCTCAGCCTCCCAAGTGCTGGGATTACAGGCACGAGCCACCATGCCCAATTTAGGAAAAAAGTATCTTGACAGTGTAGCTCCTTTATTTTGCTTAAAATATAAACTATCAGAATACCAAATTTACCCACACCAGCATAAAGTAGGATATTCCAGGCCTCAGATCAGATTAACTTTAGTGTGTTTGTTAGTTAAGGTTTTCATCCAAATTACATAAAAAGTTATCTGTTCCATCTAATGTCTGTCATTAGAAAACAGTTGCAAGCATTTATCTCAATGCAAAGTTTTAATGTTTTGGTTCTTTGTGTGTGTGTGTGTGTGTGTGTGTGTGTGTGTGTGTGTGTGTGTGTGGGGTATGTCTTAACAAGGGTAAGACAGCAGATGTTCCTTCTAACCTGTCAGTCAATTGATCATGGACCATACAGTGTACTCGGAGGCCTTCTTACTCTATAGGCATCCAAACCCTTCTTTATCAAGGTACAGATAGGCCTTTAATTCCCCATTATGATGGTTATTTTTATGTGTCAAGTTGACTGGGGCACACAGGGTATCTACATATTTGGTCAAACATTATTGCAGGGCTCTGTGTAATCTTGGATGCAATCAATATTTGTATTGGCTTTACCATCGCAGGGACAAAATCCATAACATCCACAATTTAAGGGAAGAAAGAAAAATTCATTTTGACTCAGTTTCAGAGAGTTCAGTTCATGTGCAATTGGCTGCATGACAGAAGGGCCTGGCAGAGGAAAGCTGCTCAACCCACGGTAGCCAAGAGCACAGAGAACAGAAAAGCCTGGTCAAGAGATAAACCCCCTAAAGGCCTGCCAGTGCCCTACCTTCTCCAACTGGGACTTCCTAACTTCCTAACAGAACTCATCAAAGGATTCAGCCACTTGATTAAGTATAGCACCCTATGATCCAGTCACCTTCCAAAAGCCTCAAACCTGAACACATGAGACTTTGGGGAACACTTTAGATCTAAACCATGACAAGTTTAAAAGAGCAGATTAAAGAAGACTGTCTTCCATAGTGTTGGTGGGTCTCATCCAGTCCACTGACGGCCTGAGCAGAACAAAAGCTCATGATGCTCCATGTTATCTCCCTGTCTTCAAATGAGAGCATTCTGCTATCTGCTTTTGATCTGGAGAATAAACAGGAACATTAGCTTTTTCCGGGTCTATACCAGCTTCTGGGCTCCAGACTCCAACTAGGACGCTGACTCTGCAGATTCTGGACTTACTAGCTTCTATAATCACATGAGTCAATTCATTATTAATTAACAAATTAATATTAAAGTATTATTAGTTTGTTTCTCTGTAGATCCCTAATGTACTCATCTTCTCTTGTGTAGCTAAGAATTCATTTTCATCTTATAAACTCCCTCAACAATATACTTTACAAGTGATCCTATTTGAGTCTTCTGAATAAAGAAATAATGAATTGGTATTTGTTCTCCCAGGGCAGTTTTCACAAGGATAGAGATTATTATGTAATGGGTACTTTCTGCAATCTGATTGAAAATCTTAAGAATTTAAATTAGCTTCAATAAACAACCCATTTTAAAATGGTCCATTTATTCTCTGTCATCTCAATTGGTTCTGTTTTCCATTGGCAATTCAATTGATCATTATGCTTTACTCTGTGCTAAATGATTTGGTTTTACTTTTCTATTATCACACGTTATTTTGGGTTTTTTTCCCCCTTCCTTCTCTGCTCACGAACTCTCTGCTTACAAACTAGAAGTGCTGTTGGACGAGATAAGAAGAGACAATCCAACAATGCAAGGCCATGGAGTGTGTGCTCAGCTAGAACTGGATAAATAAAAAGATGGAGATATATCCCATGTTATTTATTTTTTTAAAAGTTGTATACTGTAAGATCATACTAAATGAAAGGATTTTAGATGAGCTGGTATTGCAGAATAATTTAAGCATCAGTATTCATAGTTTCCCTACTATAAATAAAACACTAGTGTACTTGGGTGCCTAGAAAAAACTCTTGCTTTGATTTATATGAGATGGGATTCTACTGTTTTGCTTAGGCTGCCCTCGAACTTGCGATCCCTGTCTCAGTCTCCCAAACAGCTGGGATTAAAGTTGTGTGCCACCATACTTGGCAGAGATATTCTGATCCCATGATAATATAACTTTCTTTGAGATCTCTATAATATTATTATTTTCCTATAAACATATTCTTCCAAACTAAAGGAAAGTTTTCCAATAGTTGAGGGCTTGAGGGTCCATGTCTCTTGAGCGGGGAATGTTTTCAGTTTAGTTTGCTGTTGCCTTGTGGTATGAGGCCCTGAACTTGTGATTTAGTCTTTTAGTTGTGTACAACAGTCACACTCAGCTGTGAGAACAACCCATGGTATAAAGTACATGATAGAAGTTTTGTTAGGCTTTGTTTTTGGAGACAAAGTTGCTATGTAGTTTAGGTTGGCCTTGAACTCACTTTTGTAGCTCAGGCTGGTCTTGAACTCGAAATGATCTTCCTACCTCAGTCTCCCAAGTGCTGGGACTAGGTGTGCACCACCATGGCCACATGACAGTAGTTTCAAGCAGCTATGTCCTATAGGACACATAAGCTACATCTTTCCATTTTTTTCCTGGTAGCTGTATATTAAAAAAGGAAAAAAAAAAGCAAAAAATTCTTTTAGTAGTATCTGTTTCATCTGAGTATATAAAAATATGACTTTAGTACATAACCAATACAAAATCTGTGAAGATGATTTATTCCTTTGGGGGGACCTGGAATCAAATTTAGGACCACACAATGCCTAGCAAGTGCTCTATCACTGAGCCACAGTCTACATTTTTGTGGTAAAACTTGTGTATTCTGCATTATAACACATCCTGTGAAATTAGCCACACTTCAAATGTGCAGAAGCCCTATGTGGCTAATAACTTCTTTACTGGGCAGTGTATAGGTCTGAATTACCCTAATATAAACAAGTTGGTTATTTGGCAGGCAAAGCAGAAAGGATCTAACCTAAGCCTTTGAAATCCTGTTTCAGACTCTAGGGAATTCACAATGTTTCCTAACTAAGGCATAGCCTCCTTTGGTATGTTGGATTTTTTAAAAAGTTCAAACACTTAAATACATAAAGTCAAAGTCTCCTTTCACCATTCCAAAACTTGCCAATCCAATACTATTGGCAAGTAAAGGTAGCATTTGGATACTTTTGCTTCCTAAGTCTGGGTAACAGCCAGGTCTCTTCCCCACTCTAAAGCTGTTAATTACGGTAACTTGGAGATTGTCATCTCTGCTTTGCTTACTACTCTCATATGGAAGCCATTTTCCTAGTGTTTTAGTTCTGCAAAGAAATAACACTTTGTAATTTGCTTATATTGTACTTAGTATAGGCTATCTGAAAATGTTTTATTCGTTATTTTACAATGATGGTCCATCCCTGACCTGTTTTAGATCTATGGGAATCAGCTCTTCACAGCCAGCTTCAATATTCTTTATCAGCGACCCAAATCCTGTGAATGAACAGACTTTGGGAGTCTGTTACTGCTTTCCTTGGCTGGTATTTCAAATTCAAATAATAATTCTTACATTTTTAACACTGGTTAACAACATTTGATCCAGTTGTCCAATCAGTGCACTGTTTGAATTTAGACTTTACACGTTTGTATATTTTATATATTTATGTAACTATGTTTATTATAGTTAAAATAGTTACATACCTATATATGTATGTCGTTATATGATTGTATTTAGTACACAAATATAAAATTATATATTATATTAAATAATAATATATTTCTACATTTTATATATTCTCCTAAACAAAGCCAGAAACATACCATTACCGAATACATTAAGCGCGTACACACAGTACTCTGTTCTTCGGATGTTCGAGTCCCGTGGTGGCTTACGGCTTCCCGCTGGCAAAGGGCAAAGGGCAAAGGGCAAGACTCCGCTGTCTAAAGAGGAAGTCCGAAGGCGGGGTCAGAGGGCACTGACCTTACAAACTTTAGCTAACACCGGGCGTCCCAGCCCCAGAACCGTACCAGCCACCAATTATCGCGCAGGCGCGGGAAGGGGCGTGGCCTAAGTGGCAGCAGTGAGAGGCAATTGGCCGGATCTCAGATGTCCCGCCTCTCGCCTTGCGTCAGTGGTCGTGCGTTCGTCTCAGAGTGGGCCAGCGGAATCAGGTAATTTTCCAGCTCGCCAGTTAGTGTGACTATTGCGGTGCGGCAGAGGTAGTCTGTGGGCCTTACGCAAGGCGCTGCTGCTACTGCTGCCTGGGCTCAAAACGAAGAGAGTGTTTCCACCCAGTAAGTATGAGGGGACGGGCAGGAGGTGGGGATGCCGGGCGCAAGGTATTCAGCGCTTACACAGTCCCCTGGATCTCACTCCTGCCTGCCTTAAGTCGCATGTGGACGGCTGTGAGGCGGCGGCCAGGGTGTGGGGAAGGGCTTGCTGAAGAGCCTCCGGAGCCAAGAGACGAGGGGCCGCCCTACTGGCTGGGTTGGTTTTGGCGCGCTCTGGCTTTCGCACTCCTTATTGGTGCGCCGCGTGGGTGGGCGGGGCGCTGGCTTTGTGGAGCCAAGGGTCCTGGCGAGGTGAGGCGGGAGATCCGATCTGTGCTGCTTCTGTAGCTACCCGCGACGTGAGGGCTGGGGAGGTCTGCACACTTGGTTCCGGGAAGAGGAATACCGCCTTTCCAGCTAAAAGTACTGGCTTTGGTCACTCTGGATTCTCCCGTGTACAGCGCTTCCTTTGGACCCGGTCCCTTGCTAGAGGCTTTAATCTAGATGTGTAAACGAAGTGGCGCATGAAAAGCAAATGAGAGAGCAGACATGAGTGTGGCCAAAGTGAAAGATTAAATTTAATCGATTAGTGACTTTCAACTTCTTAAACCCTAAAGCACATTTTATTTCGTAATCTAGGGCACAGCCATCTAATTAATTAAATAGACGTTTCACCGGGTATTTTCAAGTCTCTTCTTTCCCAGTCTGATCAGTTAAGTTGTTTTAGACTGTTACTCATAATTTTGTGATCCTGGGCGGCTGCCCGCACTTTGAAAAACTACAGCCTGACGCCCGTTAGTGGATGCTGACCGGCGTTTTTCTCGCATGAAACTGAATGGAAGGTAACAGCGCACCACGCATAGTTAGGTTTTGCTTCCTTAGCTTTTTTGTTTGCATTTATGTTTTGTGCTAGGGCACAGTGTAAATGCGTTCATGTAAGACATGAGTCATAGTCAGTTTGAAAAACACTGCACTGAATAAAACTGTGACCACAGTAATCAGAGACATCTAGAGGGCACAGTTATGGCTTAGGGAGTCGGACCTTGAGTGCACAGTGAGTATAGCCCCTAGCCCGTTTAACAGCAATGCATGGCTCTTTGGCGCCTGTGTCTCCTGTTTCCGGTGTAGTCCTTCAGTTGATGTTGGTGGTTAAAGATTCTCCATTGATAGAAATGTATACTCTGAGTTGACTGAGTATTAAGTGGCTATTAAGTAATCGCTATTTAAAAAACATTTTTTTTGAAGTATGTCTTTGAAATAGCAGAGTTGGGATAGTTTTGTCTTTTTGAGACAGGCAGTTCAGATTGGCGTTGAACTCACTTTGTAGCCCAGTCTGGCTACAAACTCAGCCTTGATCCTCCTGAGAGCTGGGATTGCAAGCGTGCACCACCACGCCTGGCCTAATGTTTTCAACAACAACAACAACAAAAAATCTAGCATCCATCTCAGGTGCAAGTCATATTCTGTTTTTTAATTACTGTTTTTTTATGCTTCAGCAGATACATAATGAATCCCAGCATGAAGCAGAAACAAGAAGAAATCCAAGAAAATATAAAGGTATGTGAGAGTCACTTGAATGGTGTGTAGAAAGTATTATGTTAAAAATTTTATTATTATTGTTATTTTTTAATTTAAGAGGTGGAGGTATTCCCTAAAACGGACTCAAGCCCTTGTGCTCAAGAGATACTCTTGTCTCAACCTGTGGAATAGTTGGGACTACAGATGTGAAAAGTATTTTTGACTGTTTAGCCAAATTTAATCTGAGTTACTGAATTTTTAGAACATCCTGAGTATTCTTTCTGATACTATACAGAAATAAACTGATATTTGGATTTTGATCTTGTAGTTTATACTGCTGTTTATCAAAAAGAACAGTTTGTGCTTTCATTGTTTGATCATTTTTTCATACCTTTGTCTTGTAACATGAACAGCTACTTCTAAGATAACACTATGCAATATATTGGCATTAATTTCCTTTTTTTGAAATTCTGTATTATTTCCTTTTTTCTGTTTTGCTTTTTAAAACATAAAAGATTATTAACTGCTTTATTTAATCCAAGACAACATCATTGTCTACAGATAGTAGATCTACTATATATATTTTTTTTTCTTTTTAAGACAAAGTCTTGCTATGTAGTTCATGTTGGGCTTGAACTCACTATGTAGCTGGCCCAGGCTGGCCTTGAACTCACAGCAATCCTCTTGTCTCAGCCTCCCAAGTTCTGGGATTATAGGCATGTGCCACTGCACACCCACATCCTTTTTTTCTCTGTTTTTCTTTTTCTTTTTTCTAGTGATAGGGTCTCACTATTTAGTTCAGGCTGATCTTGAATTCACCTATGATCCTTGTAACTCATGAGTGCTGATATTATTATAGGGATGTATCACAATGCCTGGTTAACTGACCTTTTCTTTTTTTTTTAGTCTTTTTTCCTTTTTTATCGGTACCGGGGATCCAACTCACGACTGCCTGCTTTCAAGGCAGGTGCTTATGCCGCTGAGCTAAATTCGCAGCCCCTAACCATACCTTTTCATAAAATAATTTTTACAAAAATCTTTGGTGAATATCTTCAGACTTAGTTTGACTACAGAGACACATTTGCATAATATTGAACATTTTCCAGAGTACATCTTTCATTTCAATCTAACCTGTTTGATTTGCAAAATCCTTGAAATCCCTGTATGATACTGTCACTGGAAATCTTATCCCATATATTTAATATTCTTAGGGCACTAGAAAAGAGTTTGTTTAATTTTGAGTTTATAAATTTGACCTGGCCCATATGTATGGCACTATTTATAAATTAGCTAAGTCCGTACAACTTAAACTATATAGGGATTCCTGGGAAGTGGACCATGTCTTTAGAAACAGTATTAATTTGTAGGCTTAAGTTAGAATAAACAAAAACCATTGATAAGTAAAAGCAAATTTCCCTCCTCCCCAACCCCCCACCCCCCCCACTTTTTTTTTTGGTCTTTTTGAGACATGGTCTCTCTATGCAGTTCAGGCTGGCCTTGAGCTCACTTTGTAACCCAGGCTAGTCTTGAACTCACAATGATCCTCCTGCCTCAGCCTGCTGAGTGCTGGGATTATAAGCATGAGCCACCACACCCGGCTCCTTTTTTAGAGAGGAGGGGGTTTTTTTGAGAAAGGGTTTTTCTTTGCAGTTCAGGCTGGCCTTGAGCTCACTTTGTAGCCTAGGCTGGCCTTGAATTTGCAAGGGTCCTTGCATTGCCTCCAGAGTGCTGGGATTACGGGTGTGTGCCACCACATCTAGCATAGCAAATACTTTTTGATTGTTTTTATTTGGTTTAGTTTTCTCAGGATCCTTACATTATTTTTCTTGAACAGTAATTACTGTTGATAAGTTGTGGATTTGAATCCATTACCTTCTGTTTAAAATGATGACATCTTTTCACTGGGCTTTGGGTATATTTAAAGTTTTTATTATGAAGACTTTCAAATTTTCAAAGGTATAATCAATTGTGTAATCTCAATTTGTCTGGAACTTTAGCGGTTATCAATTATGGCCAATTTCACTTCATCTGTGTCTACATTAACTCCCCCTTTCCTCCACTGAATTGTTGTGAAACAAATTGGAAGGAAAACTATCTTAGACATGAAGAGACTAAGACTACTATTCTGTTTGGATCTGATTTTGCTGTGAGAGGGTAGAATTTGAGTGGGTTAATTTGGATTGCCTCAGTTTACTCATCTGTAAAATGAGAGAATTGGATTACAACTAGATGTATAAGAATGAATTTTAATTCGGTATCTGAGTTTCTTGCCAGTTGTATGTAGAAGTTGTTTGTGTGTTCTTGGGTACACATTTGGGGGAGGAAAGTTTACAGAATATCCAGTTGTGTTCTAAAAAGATTAAATATTGGGGCTAGGACTGTAGCTCAGTGTTAGGACATTTGTCTAGCATATACTGGGTCTTGCGTTCAATTCCCAGTGCCACTACCCCCACCACCAAAAAAAAAGATAAAGCTCATAAAACTTGCCTACTCTAGAAGTCTATTCTAGTGCACAATATGTATACAGAAAAAAAGTGTAATAGTTATATTACATTTCTTAGGCCAGATAAGTTAAATCTTGGAAACTTTTTTTTGTGTGTGACAGTGACTTGTCTTCTGTGACCATTATTAACATTAAATACTTAAATAAATTAACATCTTATTATTAAGGTTCTAGAGTTTTATTTTTTTGTATTTGCCGACTGTTTACCCTGAATTGTTGGTGTAATATTTGTTCTCACAATAGTTCGCCTTTGTCCTTCAGTTAAATAGTGAGATAATGAACAGCAGAAGAAACTTTACCGTGGGAAAGGTGAACTTTGTCATGTGGAGTACAGTGTGGAATCAGTAACTTTCTCACGCTACTATGGTATCATGTTCTTGCTAACCTTGTTTGAGTATTCAGCATTGTTTGCTATCCCATGGTGGCAGTATAACTAATGGTTTTTTTTTTTTTTTTTTTTGGCAAAAATAGAGCTTTTAGATCAGGAAATATATAGATAAGTATTTACATGTTGTAAGGAAGGCAGTATGTTTTCCAAAACAGTAGCTTGGGCATTGTAGAATATTTTAGTAAGCCTTAAGCACTGACATGTTAGCTGTCTCCTAATGAGTAGATTTGAAGCACAACAGTTTCTGCAGTCAGAATGGTTGAGATGGGTTATCTACTACTCATGTACTTGTTTTCAGGTACAGGGTGCCCGTTAACAATTATATTCCTTTTGTGGATACATATAAACATGTTTGGGAATACTTACAGTTTAACAGGAACTCTGGGATGAATCTGTTTTCTTATAGGCAAAAGTGTTTTGCCATGTAAACCTTTCCCCTCACTCAACTCTTTTGTGAGTTTCTACCATAAATGTTGTGATGTTTAGTTTTACAAAAGTAGAGTACCTGTCAGTTCCTAGTTTGTATGGGAGGTCTTTTTAAGATGAAAATACAGATATTTTGTACTTGAATTTTGTTGTATGTGGTTTAAATTACTGATCAGAGCTTAGAAATTTTTTTTTTTTTTTGGTCTTTTTCCTTTTTTATCGGTACTGGGGATCGAACTCACGACTGCCTGCTTGCAAGGCAGGCGCTTATGCCGCTGAGCTAAATCCTCAGCCCCAGAGCTTAGAATTTTTATTATATATTTGTTTTCACTAGATATTTAGTTGACAAAATGACTATAGCAACAGCATATATTGAAATGAGACTGGTTACTTGTGTCTAGTTGGAGTGCTATGACCAGTTTCCCCCTCCAAGTCCATTTCATTTCAAAAAGAAAAAAAAATTTCAAGACACAACTATTTTGAGGGGCTAGGGATTTAGCTCAGTGGCACAAGGGCCTGCCTGGTAAGCATGAGGTCACGAGTTCAATTTCTAGTACAAAAAAAAAAAAAAAATTAAGGGACTCATTCTTAAGATTTTCTTCAAACTTTATTGTAGTTTGGGAAATAAGTTTGGCAGTTGAACCAGTGTCTTATTCATTCATATGTAGAATTATAAAATTATATACCATGCCAAATATTAAAGTGTTCTTAGTATTTTTTTTCAAACTTGAATAAAACTAAGATTACATAGAAACTCAATAGCTGGATAAGCATATAGTGACTCAGTCACAAGATAATTATTTTGACTTCTAGAATAGGCCTGTGCCAAGAAGAACTTTGAAGATGATTCAGCCTTCTACAGCGGGATCTCTTGTTGGGAGAGAAAATGAGGTATGTGTTAAGAGGGTTAAGAGAGAGGTGATAATGCCTCAGTGAAAAACCTTTCCAAGATTTTCTTCATCTGAAATATTTAAGTTGTTCAAATTTGGAAATATGTAAGCAATTATGTACTCCCCAAAGAAATGGTTTTGGTTAAATTGTTTAATTTGGAAGTTCAAAGTTGCTATGACATACAGTAAAACTGGAATGATATAATAATTATCTAATAGGAATAATTTGATATTTGATAATTATCTAATAGGAATAATGTTTGATATTTTTGAGAATAAAATGGTAACTCCTTTTATTTATACTTGTGATAAAAGAAGAAATCATGTATTTTGATTTTTGGTCATCAAGTCACCTATTAATAATCTGTAAGCTTGAAGTTCTTTCATTGTCTGTCCTCTGAATTTTAAAGAGTTTTTGCAGGTTGACAATACCACCTTTCCATGATACTGAACTTAAACACAATATTTAACACAATAAAAGTAATTTTAGCAAAATCTTAGACCAAGTTTAATTCATGCTGCAACTATAATTCCTAAAATGGTACTATACATTTTGATTAGAGTTTTGAATTTTATTTTTTGAAATATGCAAAAAAAAGTACTGTATATGAATTGTTTTTGATACATAAATGACAAAACTTCTAGCTTTCTTATTCACTCAGTCAAAGTGTTTCTTTTACAGTCACCTAAAGGCTTATCAAAAAGGAAGCTTTCAAATGACCCATCAACATTTAAGACTTCAAGCACTGATGCGGTTCCTGATCCAGAATCTAATGAAAATAAAAATCTTGGTGGAGTTACCCAAGAAGCATTTGATCTTATGATTAGTGGTATGAAAAAAATACGGTTTTGTCTTAAAATTTTAAATTACATATAAATATTTACTAGTACTATAATAGATTTTGACTATAGCCTCTTAATTTGGAAATACTGTAAGATACTTTGTTAATATAAAAAGACTAGGGGGTTAGGGATTTAGTTCAGTGACTTAAGTGTCTGCCTAGCAAGCGTGAGGTCACGAGTTCAATCCCCATACCCAAAAATAATCTTTAAAAAAAAAATATAAAAAGACTAAATTTGGGCAGATGTGACCATTTATTTGGTAAGGCCCAAATGTAAATTAAATATTAAGAGGGTAGCAATTAATATGGCACTTCTGGTAATAGATTGCCTTAGGATTCATGAGATTTGGAAATATGTTTTTCAAAAGAAAAAGAATGAATTTGAATAAAGGCTTTTGAATATTCCAGGAGATTATGATGTAAGAAAATGCTGAGGAAAAGGGAGTAAAGATGAATGAGAAGTAATGTGCTTGTGATAAATACAAATTTTAGTGGGATGGTAGTAGGATTAAAAGTGGAAGCAAGTGATGTGTTGTGGAAGATATTTACTTCAATACTAATGATAAGTTGTTAGGTGCTATCACTGATGAGAAGTTGAAACCTTGAGAAGTTAATTGACTTGTTCAAGGTCACAGTGACATTTAGGCTTATTCTGAATTGCTTGGAATATAGTAAGGAAGAACATGAACAGATTGTGAGATTTTATTAGGAAATATCAGGAAAGATTGACTGGCTAGAAATAAACAGCCGTGTGTGGTGGTGCATGCCTGTAGTCCCAGCAGTGGGGAGGTTGAGAGGAAGGCTGAGACAGGACATTCACAGTGGATTCAAGGCCGGTTTGGGTCTATATAGCAAGGCCGTGTCTTTAAAAAGGCTCTTTAATAATACTATAAATAAATAATAAGATTCATGATACATAGAACTCATTTGGTTGAAATTAATGAGCAAAAGTTGGTTAAAAAAAAAAAAACACCCACTAATGTTAAACACCCAAGCAACTCACCTGTGTATCATATTGCTAGAATGACCATAAATAAAAACAAAATTTTTCCATATAACTTGAGCATTAAGCTAACTTAACATCTTGAATGGGATATGTTTTAGGAATTAAAAGAACTGGAAAGGAATCCTAAACATTAGTAAATTTGTTTTTGGCAATGGTTTTGGTGTAGTAATTCTAAAAAAATGTTTGTATATCTTTTAGGGTTGAACTAATGAGTAACATTGAATACTGTTGGGAGGCAGCTTCATAATGTGGTGAATGGAATGGGGAAGGAAAGGAAGAGCTGTTGAATTGGAATTAGAGTATCAGTGCAAATTAATGTTTTTAAGAGAAGTAGTATTTTTCTACTTCTGCCACTGAAAAGGCCTACAAACAAATGATCCCGAGTGGCAAGGAGCACACCGGGATCAGTTACTGGTTTGTAAGCACTGTTCTCTTTACAAGGGAGAAATCTGGTAGCTAATATCTTAAATGTTCAATTTTTTTTAAATCGGTACTGGGGATCAAACTTATGACCGCTTGCTTACAAGGCAGGTGCTTATGCTACTGAGCTAAATCCCTAGCCCCTCAAATGTTCAAATTTAAGACCCCTAGTTTTATTTATTAATTTATGGTGCTGGAAATTGAACTCAGGACCTCGCACTTGCCAGGCAGGTGCTGTGCCACTGAGCTGTATCTGCCAGCCCTTGTCTCCCAGTTGTGATGAAGTCTTCTTATGCTTTCTGATGATACACTGAGGATACAGTATACTTATGCAGTATTCCAAGAAAATGTCTGGCTTGAATCCGATGATAGATACAACATTCAGAATTAAGAATCGTCTACAAGATAACTGATCAGGACTTTTCAAAAGCATCATTATCACAGCTCAGTGAGAGAGTGTGTGCTTAGCATCTGCAAGGCCCTGGGTCTAATTCAGTGGAGGTTGGGAGTTAAATAGAAACACCCAAAATAGAAGTTGGGAAAATCTTTGTTTTTTAACATTTACAATTCATCCACTTTACAACCACATTGGGAGAAGTTACATGTACATAATACCTCTTGTTTCTTTTTTAAAAATATTCCTTTCTCTCCCCTGCTTTTTTTTTTTTTTTTGTAATGGGCCTTGCTGTTGCCAGGCTGGTGCTTACACTGAAATCTGTTGATACATGTAATATTGGTTTATTTCTAATGCAATTTGAAACACTCAAATCAATATGCAAAAAGTAAAATAGAAAAAAAGAGATTGGAATTTTTTTTCTATAGAAAAGCATTGGTTTTTACAGTAATGGTTTTTAAAGTTGTGTATAAAACATGGGGCTGGGGATTTAGCTCAGCGGCATAAGCGCCTGCCTTGCAAGCAGGCAGTCGTGAGTTCGATCCCCGGTACCGATAAAAAGGAAAAAGACAAAAAAAAAAAGAAAAAAGTTATATATAAAACATTAATTTATTTCAGAGACTCCATCTTCTCAATATTGGAAAGAAGTGGCAGAAAAACGGAGGAAAGCTCTCTATGAAACCCTAAAGGAAAATGAGAAAGTAGGTATTAGATACAATTTGTACATTTAAAAGGTTTCCAGGATTAGAGCTGGATGTGGAGCACACACTTGTAAGCCCAGTAGTCGGGAGGCTAAGGCAGGAAGGTCAGTGTTGGAGGCCAGTGTGGGCTGCTAGAACCTGTCTCAACCTTTTTCTGTCCCAATAAATGGTTTCTAGGATTGTTTTTCTTTCGATGTGTAGCATGTTTAGTTAGAACAATGTAAACTGGCTTTAATGCTGGCCAAAGACAAGTTTGATAACAAAAATAACTCATTTGCCAAAATTATCATTCAAAATGAATCTTGTTTTATTGAGAGCCAACTCTTATGTTATATGTGTCTATCAGTTATAGATGGAGGTAAATAATTTGGTTTATAGCATAGCAAATCTATGTTATATTGAACTTTATATTTATGTCATATAGCTTCATAAAGAAATTGAACAAAAAAACAATGAAATTGCCCGTCTGAAAAAGGAGAATAAAGAATTGGCAGAAGTAGCAGAGCATGTACAGCATATGGCAGAGGTAATAGAGGTAAGTAATTTAATATTCACCTGATTCAAAGACATCTGATTTTCTATAAAATTGAGGAGTAGTTTGATCAGTGTTTGGGATCTAGGATCAAGTTTCTTGGGTTTGGTGTTTGAGTCTTAGCTCTTTGCTTAGCACAATTAAGCGTCTTGATTAGGACAAGTTATTTATCCTGTTGGGGCTTAATTCTCATCTATAAAATGGGAGTAGTAATGCCTATATCTGAAAAAGATAATGGGAAATTATATTTTAGTTGACATTAGTAGGTGGTGTTCACTTTAATTTTCTATCAGAATGACATTAACTTTCATTTATAAAGTTAACTGGTACACTAAATAAGTTTGTCTTTATCTAATTTTTTAAAATTTGGAAGTAATGTGTTCATAAGAATTGGCCTTATAACTTAGGGTTTTAACAACAAGCAATGTTTTCATAAGAATTGGCCTTATAACTTAGGGTTATAACTTAGGGTTGTAAATAATATGTTCATAAGAATTGGCCTTATAACTTAGGGTTAAAATAGGTTTTATGACATATTGGAAGAAAATAAAAGGTCTATCTTACTTGATAGAAAGTTTTTCAAATCAAAACTCCTCTGGTGAGTTGTAACCTTAACATTTTAAGAGCTGTGACAGAATTACTGTTTTGAGTGTTCACTTAAAATACTATAGTAGCACTCTTTACTGCCTTAAAAGTACAGTAGTACCTTGCATCAAGAATTGAAGGGGCTGGGGATTTAGCTCCGGAGCATAAGCGCCTACCTTGCAAGTGCACTGTCCTGAGTTTGATCCCTGTTACCAAAAAAAAAAAAAAAAAAAAAAAAAAAACCTTGAATCTTTCTAAGATTCTGGTTGCAAATCGAGTAGGACAAGAACTGAATCAGATTTCAGTAATTAGGTTGTGCATGGCGGAGCTTTCCTATAATCCCGGCACTTAGGAGGGTGAGGCAGGAGGATCCTACAAGTTCAAGGTCAGTCTGGGCTACATAATGAATTTAAGGCCAACCTGAACTACACAGTGAGATCCTGTTTCAAAGCCCTCCCCACCCCCAAAAAAGTGCTTTGAAAACAAGTAGTTTAAAAAATTGGTACATTATTAAACATTGATTTTTGCTGATCTAGTCTAGCATGGTAGAGATACTGATAAAACACGTATTGTCTGTAAGTGAATTTTGAGGGGCAAGATGAAAAAAAATACTATATTGATAATGGACTTGAGTTTTTAAACTTTTTACATAAATTATTGGTTTATTCTTTAATAGAGATTGTCCAGTGAACCTCTAGATATCCCTGAATTGTCGGATAGCCAGGAATTTGATTCTGAAGAGGAAATTAGTGAGGATTCTGAAGTCGAAGACTCAGAAAGTGGCACATGTGAAGAAACCGTATCTTCTTCCACAGATGCAAAGCCAAGTACATGAAGTTCATTGGTGTTTGACTCTTGAGAAATACACTGCCAACGTTTACCTCCAGTCTAGTTCTGTATAGCAGAGTAAATAACTACTTAATGCAAACACTGGATCACATTTCTTTGTTTGACTCCTGGGACCCTAATATTGTATTCAAATACTATATATTTTTAATCTGTGTTTTATGTATATAGTATTTTCACTTGGTTGTCAGATGTGACTTGTGTATATGATGTGATAAATAAACTTCGATTTCCTGTTGAATATTGTGTATCATGAAAGAATGAAGTATAAGGAGTCTACAGAAAATGTGTCTATTTCTATGCTGTTACGTTGTTCACATACTATTGCTATCTTGGAAAAAATGAGGGGAAGATGAGTTTATCCCACTGAGACTGAGATAACTGAGGTTTTAACTTTCCCAAACCTGGTTGTACAGTGTATTAGTGTCTTTCACACCCCATTCTCAGATATTCTTATATCTGAGGAGTTAAACTGAGGAGTTTTTGGACTGTAGCACAGTGTTTCCACAAGTTTCCCTGAGTGGATCTGATAGTGAGGTGTAAGGGCTTGACCGGGTGGAAGTGGTGGGTGACAGGGATAGTCCTTTGAGAAGCAAAGTTGGGGGAAAACAGTAAAAGTCCAGTAGGGAGAATATAACTTCTGTTCACATATTCAGGAAGTCAGAGTGAGTTGAGATTAATGAGTGGTTTTCTGTGTGTACTTTGTTCTGAAGGAAGGGAAGAACAAAATAAGGGACATGGTTGCCAAGTATACAGCATTGGGATTGGATGCAGTTCCAGTGGACCTTCAAGTTACCACCGGCCGACATACTAAAAACTTAGGTCATGACTGAATTTTAATTTATGACTAAGATCTTGAGTTACGACCTGAGTGCTGGCCACTTGTGCTTCAGATGGTCTCAGTTACAGATTTAACCCTCAAAGACTTAGATGGAACATTACAGCATCCTGCCCTGTGTGGGGTTAATTGAGGAACCGTGGGCCAGTGTCGTCTAAGGACACTGCACCCGCCTGTGAACAGGAGAACAGTGCTGTGGAAAGGAGCCTGAATCTTCAGTTGACAACTTGAGTTACAACCAACCAGCCCTGGGGAACAAATTGAGTTTGTAAGTGAAGGGTCCACTGTTGTGAATATCATACGACTAGTTTAAGCTTCCTGTGTAGAACCCCATCTTCAGTTTTGCAATAGAACCTACCTCAGTGTTCTGAGGATTAAAAATCATAGTAGAGGGGCCTGAACTATAGTAAAAAATGGAAACTTACTAGTACAACCTTGTCCAGTAGCACTTTAGAGAATATAATAGATTTGGACATGTGTGCTGTCCAGTGTGGTAGCCACTAGCTATTGAGCACTTGAGATGTAACTGTGAATGAGGAATGTAAACATTTTATATTTAGCCGCGTGAGGCCAGCGGCAACTGTTAGTGTGGCTGCCTATGTTTTGAATATGGGCCACTAGTCTACAGATAGCAATAAACAACAGGTAAGTTAATTTTAAGAAAACATTTTGGTTGGAGGAGGGAAAATAAGCTGAGAGCCAGTAGGAAGGAAAGACAAGTAGAATAGGATGATTTGGCCATAGAAAGTCTTTCGGAAATGGCGAAAAGTAGATTGTAAGATTTTTAAAGTATGTTAAAATTATAGGACTTCTAGAAGAAACTAGGAACCTCTAGGTTTGGCAAAGATTTCTCAAAGAGGATACAACATAAACTAAGTATGTTGGCTTCATAAACTTAAAAACTTGTCTTTGAAAAACAACCAAATGAAAATTGGTGCTGACTTTGCAGTGATTTTTCTGTTTTTATCACTTTGCCTGAAACAGTTCCCTAAGGTATGATAGGCAGAGACCAGCATATATTACCACTCGTGGGGAAGTTTGATTGGCAGTCTCTAAGACTATAGGGCAAAGTGTCCTGTCTAAAGACATGAAAGTCACCAAGAGAAAGTATATTCTCATGAGCCAAATATACACTGCCTTGGGATCCTCAAATTTCATTTAGAAAATGCTACCCTTCAAAAAAACCTCAGACTTGCAGGTTTTGTAGTTGAACCAAAAGGGGAATTAGTGAATGAACAGTTGAGGTCCAGGGTCCTCTGGGTGGAACAGTGGAGGCCTGTGGCATATCCACCAGGATGGGTCCCAGGCAGCCTAAAAAGTCTGTTTACCTACAGTGCTTTCTTCCCAGCACGTCTTTCACTGACATCCTTCCTTCCCTATTGCTAACTTGTGAAATCATCTCCCAGATAAAGACCTTGCGCTCAAATCCTTTTCTCTGAAATGCTTGTGGGCAAACAAATGCTGGGGAAACATGAACTTAGGTTAGCAAGTGGGGCACCTTGCAGTCAGCACTGGGAGCCTGAGGCAAGTGGAACACAAGTTCAAGCCCAGCCTGGGCAGCTTAGTGGCTTAGCTGGGTCTTGTCTCAAAATTGTAAAGTGGGCTGAGGATACAGCATAGCTGATTGTCAAGCTGCTGGAGCTGACAGGGACTTCTCATGGTAGTGATGGCCCTGACTAGAGGTAGGAAGGCTCCCCATGGAGCCAGTGCCACCCCTGTAGAAACTACTTTCAGGAAGGAAGAGAGCCGTGTCTGGAGCAGGGAGCTGGCTAGCTGGCAGTATGGCCTTGATGGTGAAGAGGCAGAGGAGTGGCTGTGGTGGTGACAGTGTTGGTGATGTAGAGGATGCTTATGAGGGTTTATTAGAGTATTTAAGAAATGATGTGCTGCTGGGGATACGGCTCAGCGGCACAGTGCATGCCTGGCAAGTGGGAGGTCATGAGTTCAATTCCCAGTAGAAAAAAGAAAAAAGAAATGATGTGCTTAGAAAATGGTCTAGGGGCTGGGGATTTAGCTTAGCAGCAATAAGCACCTGCCTTGCAAGCGCAGGATCGTGAGTTCGAGCCCTACAAAAAAAAAAAAAAAAAAAAAAAAAAAAAAAAAAAGAAAGAAAGAAAGAAAGAAAGAAAGAAAATGGTCTAAAAAGTGGATGCAAAGTTTCATTTTTCATCATGACAGTGTTCTATGTCACACATCACTTCTGCTACTGAAACTTCTGTAAATAAAAATGTTGCAATGTGTCCTCATCTGTCTTATCCCCCAGCTCTGGCACCATACAACCTCTTCCTCAAAGTCAAAATGACCATGATAGGTGAATATTCTGAATCCTTTTGGGGCATCGAGGCAGCCAGGACAGTACAACTGAAGACACTTTCAAAAGAGGGCTTTAGAACTACTTCAGCAAGTGGCAGGAACAATGGAGCAAGTGTGTCTGAAGGGGGAGAGGGCTTTGAGGGAGATTAATGGCAATGTGTCTTCTGCTGTAATACGTGAGAAAAAAAATTGAAGCAGTGTTTTGATCCCGTCTGGTAAATTCTGAGAAAATTTCCCCTGAAGACACTCTATATAATGACTGTTACAGTTTAGGATCTAGACTGTCTGTAATAAGCCTCATGTGTTCAGAAGTGGGGTCTTGGAAAGTGGGTTCATGACTGAATTATGGGTGCAGTTGTCTTCATGGGTTATCCACTGATGAGTTCACAGCTGAGCACGCTGTTCGGAGGTGGGTCTCGGGGATGCATTCTTGTTCCCAGCTCCTCCCCACTTCCTCTGCTTCCTGGCTACCATGGTGGAGCACCATTTTCTCTGCCACATCTCTCTGCCAGCCTGTTTCTGCCCTGGAGTCAGTTGACCATGGACTAAAATAAAGCCATGAGCAAAAACAAACCTCCTCTCCTCTGAGCTGTGGCCATTATTTTGTCCTAGTGATGAGAAAGTGACTAAAACATCCCTCACGAGGTTCCTCCAAAAGGTGAGGTGAGGATGAGGAGACTGCAGTTTTATTGTTCCCTTTGTGAAAGGTGGAAGCATTGCATGAAAGCTCTGCTCAGCTGAAGTTCTCATCTGCGAAACATGAAAGGACATAGATCACTCCGATAGATATAGCTTTAGCTACAGATACAGTGTAATTACAAACAGGCACAAGTTTTTTCCTTTTCTTTCTTTTTCTGGGTGGTGGTGGTGGTGGTGGCTGGGGATTGAACCCAGGGCCTTATATATGCTAGGCAAGTGCTCTATCACTGAGCTGTAACCCAGGTCCTTGATATTGCCAGGTAACTCTCTAAACCATTAGTCCTAACAGTTGCATAGGTAACCCATCTTCTAATGAGTTCCCATTTTACAAACAATTAAAACATTTTTTAGACAGGATCTTGCTATATAGTTCATACTGGACTTGAACTCAGCATATAGCTGACTAAGCCTCCCTAGTGCTGGGATTACAGAAATTGCCACCAGTTTTGGGAACAGGGTAACTTTTTAAAACTTTCAATGATTTCATTTTTTTTTAATCTCAGAAACATATGGTATTATAAGAACCCAGAATAAGCTTTTTCCTCCATGAAAAACAAACAGTGAAGAACAAGTTCTTAATTAACTTCAAACAAATATTAAAAAATAAAGTATTTCATGATTTAATGGTAGACAATGGAGAGAAACAATGTCTTTGTATAACATGTGACAAAAGTATTTTAGCTGCACAGTTTTATAGCTATGCATATTCCCCATTGTATCTATGTGTTTTAATATCTTTATTTTATTTCTCTTCAACTACAAAAGAATAATGCATCACCTTTTATTATACATTTCAGGTTTCTGACCAAGGTAATACAATGGCATAGAGAGCTGAATAATATAACTGATTTAAAAAATTAAATGCCATAAAGACAAGTTAGGTGATGCAACATTTCTGCAAAATTCTCAGGCCATCCCGACCAATTCTCTGAAGCTAGTATTTGCAAATTATATTTTAGAGCATTGTAGTCTTTAAGGTCCTTTAGTAAAGAAAAGTCATTGTACACTAAGACACATAGAGTATAACAAATCCAAAATTTAACGAAAAGAAGGCTGCTTTTGTTCTGCTTGACAGAATAGTCAAGGTAATTTTCCAACAAACCAACAAGAATAGGAATAAAGCGCAGACGTTTGACCATTTGCTGGCTCCCAGGGTTCAGGTAGCACCAACACGATATACTCTGGAGCAGCAGGATCTTTATGTTGGGTGCCACCTCATCATTTTGCAGCAAGTAAGCTACTTCTTTCATGTACTCAGCAGCAAGTTTCTCAGCACCTGGTCCTCCTGTAAAACAAATATTTGCATTTGCAGAGATATCTGGCATATCTAGTAGCTAGTAACATTTCAGAATCTCATAAGCATTCACATTTGTGTGTGTGTGTGTGTGTGTGTGTGTGTGTTGCAAAGGTGTGAAACCAGGGCTTCACTACACTCCCAGGCCGTGTTCACATTTTTATTTCCACAGAAATAATACTTTGGATACCTTTCATTTTCTGCTTTCTCATGCTGCTGGGAAGATGAGATCCTGTATACGGATCAGCAAAGAGTTACCATAGAAAGTGTGGGAAGATCACTACCTGCCTATGGCTCCTTCCTTGTTTCCTTAATCAAAGCCACACTTTCTGTCTTCAGTGCTGGAGAAAACCATGGAGACCAGAATATAAGAGCAGAGAGAAAAGGATTGCTTTAAAGCCAAGAGTTGGCCTTGTAGAAGGTAGGTAGGAGTTGTCCTTGGTCCCATTCTCATGTGTTTCTTACTTCAGTTCTTTTGCAGATCTGAAAGGAACTTGTGCCTAAAGGTTTTCTTCCTTTGGCTACTGATACATTCTGGTGCTGGATTCTATCTGCCATATAACTGAGCCCCAGATCCTTGTAGGTCAATCTTAAATTTCATCAAGGTATGGATCAGTAAGTCACTGGATGAACACTCCTTGATGGAGAGGAGGAGATGACATGGATGGTTAGATTCTAGCTGCTAGAGTTCTGAACTGCTTTAGGTTTCTCTCACTTTGATACACTAGTCCCAGGGTCCTGGCAATATTCTATTCATTGTTAAAGCTTTAGCTGAAGCTGGGAATAAGCTCTTTCACTTGCTTCCCACTAATATAGATAAGGAAAAATAACACCAAATTATAGAATGCGGATTTTTTTTACTAGCTCATTTTTCCCCTAAAAGGTGAATACAGTTATTTAGGGAGTGGAGTCAGCCCAAGTGGTAGACACTATTATCCTTCCTTTGGGGTGATCTCAGAAATATGCTGCTTTTTCTCCAGCTCTCCACACGTGATTTCCAACCCTGCTGGTTGGTGGGAAGGACTTCTTTTACTGTTTTTCTCTCAGAGACATAGTGCTTCAAAAGTTTTAGTCTATCAAGCTAAATAATTGATTTGCACACTTACAAAATCAATTAATATACTTGTAGCTGCCAGCCAAAAATTCTGGTTAGGAGACACTAAAGATGGTATAAAATTTTGTTACGTATTTAAAAATGTATTAGAAAAACTGTGCAATGAATTGGACTTGATAATTAGAGCCATGTGTGCTGAATAGGTGTGTATCACTTTATTTTCTAGCAAGGTACACATTACTTATTGCCTTTTACTGATAACAACTATTGGCTTTCCTAATAGCTGTTTTAAGTGTATGTGTTTAAGACATGTGTTTTACTGATGCGTTTAAGACATTTTCTGTGTAATGCATTCATGATAAAAATAAAATATCAAGTACTTTTATTCTACATTAGAATTGTATTACTGGGTTGAAATCACATCAACTCAGTATAGCCTGTGATGTTTTTCTAATAATGAAAACTTTTATTATTATTTACTTGTTGAGACTGGGTCTCACCATGTTGCTCAGGTTGGCTCTGAACTTCTGGACTTAAGCAATCTTCCTGCATTGGTTTCCTGAGCAGCAGGAGCCATAGGGATGTATCAGCATGTCTGGCAGCTAGTGAGAACTTGGGCAGGCAGTTTCAGTATGTATGTTATACAACTGATTAATATGAATGGGAAATATCTAACTAGTAATTTATTTGGTGGGCACATTCTTTTAAAAAGTGAGATTCAAGAAAAAGTAGTTGTATTTGTAGTGGTAGAAGATAAAACACTAATAATTAAAAAGAAATGATACTGGTATTTTAAGAACAGAACTTTAAAAAAAATCTCCAAATTATAGGATTCTAACAAGGTAAAAGATCACAAAATAGCTATTTTAACACATCTGGTTAAGTCAGTACCTGTGAATGCCAGAAGTCCAATTTTCTTTGCAGCTTGAGCTCTTGTTTCAGGGGATAGAGATTTATTCTTCAATATATAGCCAAATATTACAATTCTTTCTTTGTAAAAAGTACTGTCAGATGAAGGAATGGATTCTTCTTTCTTATTAACGAAATGACCCATAATAGTGACATTCCAAAATTTATGGCAAAAGGTCCACAGCCTCAATAAATACCCAGACATTTGAGTCCCAATTCGCATATAAAAAGGCTGCTGTTTCTCAGTCATTTTGCCAAATGGTCAAGGATACTTCAGGTACCCACCTGAAAGAGAAAATCAAGAGTTCCAGAACATATTACTTGGCAACAATGGAATGGGATATATGAGCCAAAGGAAAGCAATGTATACCTAAGTTCCTACTGAACACTGTCAACAGTATCAACTTAAAGAAATTTACTTTTACTTCCCTGGAACACAAAACCTCAGCTAAATCCTGAGCTCATCCTGCCTTTGCACCTTTGTAGAGCCTACTTGGAACTGCCCATTCCAACATGTGCTGGGCTCCTTTCCATTGATCTTTCATGGCTTTAAGACTATTCTGTTACCTACTCAAAGAGTATATATAGATTTTGCCTGATTTTTCTGAGAAAACAGAAGCAATCAAAAGAGTACTTTTGTAACTCTGTCATGTCTACCCACTTGTCTGCATCTCTGTCCATACTCTGATTCTCTTCCTCCCTATCTGTGCAGTTTTCAACTAGCCCCTGCCACCCCACTCAAAGATATTACTCCAAAATTCTTCTCTTGTCTTTACAATTTTTCTATCTCTATCAGATCCTTCGACTCATCAGTAAGCATGCTGTACTTTTTTTTTCTCATTTAGAAAAAGACTCTCTGGGTCTCCTATACCACCTTCCCTCAGCTACTACATGCCTGTTTCTCTACTCCTGTTTGTAGCAAAGATCTTTGGTTGCCACACTTGTCATCTCAAGTCTTTTCTAGTTCTCTCCTCTTGGGTAGACTCTGCATAGGATTTTAACTGCATCACACCCCTGAAACTGATAATTAATGCTTCTGATGAAGGTCTTTACCCTGCTAAATCCAATCACCAGACCTCAGTATTTGGCACTCCTTTCTCCTCAATACCTATGTCCACTTATCTGCTAAGAGATGATGTAACACTCCTTTTGATTTTCTTTTTCTGTCTTTCAGGCATTTCTTTGAAATCTGAGTGGGAGCCTCTGTGACCCCACAACCATTACATTGTGCATATATTGCATATAAGAACCAGCGTCCTGTGGGTGCTGCCAGGATCTGCTGCCATCCTGAGCGATAGCTAGACCCACTTGAGTCAAGGCTGCAGTAGTAGCCTCTGAGTGTTTAGAAGACAAACACTGGGAAAGGAATCTAGAGGAACAAATTCCCTAGAGTGGCCTCTGTGTCTCAGGATTTCTTCAAAGGAAATTCTTTGACACAAGTTTTTAATTTAACACTCTTGAGTCTTAATTGGTAGGATTCTGCCAAATCCTGAGATGCCCTCAAGAGTCTTCATTATTGTCCCAGGGGGAGAAAGTATGTGTTTTTTTTTTTTTTTAAGGGGTGCTAATCTATTTAACAACCACACTTTTTTGGATGTGGTCATTTTTTTTTTTCAGGCCAAATTGCAAGTTTTTGAATCTCTCTTATTTGTTTTTTCTCCTGATTCTTATATTATACATGTGACTAAAAGCAGCCACTGCCTGAATGCTGAACTCCCTTGAATTTCCTCCTGGAAATTACTTGGTCCATCACCTTAGTACAGTTTACTGCAGTCTTAGGTATGGACAAATGTGGACAAATTCTTTATCAGAATGTAATAAGCAGTGGCATCTAGTCCAATCCTCACAGAGTCCACATTTCCATATGAAGCCAACTGAACCTGGCTTCTACACTCTATTTCTATCAGCATTCTGATCTTCTGACTTTCACGAGAATCATACATCAATCTTTGCTTACAGCATTCTGGGCTTCCCGCTTCTCCAAATCTTTCCAAATTCCTCCCACCAACCAATTCCAAAGACTTCTGAACCATATCACCAGATATAGTTATTGTGATGATCTTAGTGCTTGAAATGAGTTTTGTATGTTGTCAGGTTTGGTTACTGCAACAGGACACCCAAGATTTGTGTTCACAGCCATCAGTCTCTAACACCAGCAATATTCCTTTAGCTGAAGTCAGAGGAGAAGGGGTTACTGTGGAGGCCACTGTACCATGGCTCGTACAAAGAAGAGTGCGCACAAATCCACCAGTTGTAAAGTACCCAGCAAAAAACTGAATACAAAAGCTGGTTCTAAGGGTGCACACTCTACTGGAGGAGTGAAATCTTAGTTATAGGCTAAGACTATGGTACTCCATGAAATTAGATGCTATCAGAACTCCACTGAACTTCTGATTTGCAAACTGATTAGCAGTGTCTGGTGCGAGAAACTGCTCAGGACTTCAAAAAAGATCTTTGCTTCCAGAGCACAGCTGTTGGTGCAAAAGAGTCCAGTCTGGTTGGCCTGTTTTAAGATACAAACCTGTATGCCATCCATGCCAAATGTGTAATGATTAGGTGAAAAGATATCACATTGCATATGTAGAGACTGTGCTTAAGAATCCACGATGATGGGGAACATTTCATTGTCAAAAATTTTTTCATGTCTTCCTGTTGGTAGTTTTGGTATGTTTGGTAGTTTTGAATGTTAGATATTCTTTTTCCCATGATGTCAAAAGGTTTTTTGGTAGTTTTGAATGTTAGATATTCTTTTTCCCATGATGTCAAAAGGTATAGAACTACATGATTGTGAGTGGAAAATAGGAGACAGAAATTGTACTGACAGTTTTCCCATTTTCATTTCTGGGTGAATTTTTAAAAATTTTATTAGTATATGTCCACAGTTTATGAATTTATAATCATTTTAGGGAGTGGTTACATGTGTATGCCACAACTTGTTTCTTTCTTCCTTTTTTTAGAAACCCCTCCCCATTCCTTCCCGTCCCTCTTCTTCCAAATTCCTTATCCCATTTTCAAGTCTTCCTGATATTATTAATCTTAGCTCATGTTATGATACTTACATTAATTGAGGTTACTAGGTTCCTGTACATGGCATATCTTTATTCCTCTTCCTTTTCCTTTCCCTCCTCCTCACCCCTCACACTTTTGCTTGGACTACTTCCCTACTGCAAGAGTTCAATTTCCTTACCTCTTTTTATCCATCCTTTATTATTCTCTTTGTCCTTTGCCTCACTCAAATGAGCGATACCATTTAGTATTTAAGCTTGTGTGTTTGGTTTATTTAATTCAACATTATATTTTCCAGATGCATCCATTTTCCTATAAATGTCTCACATCTGTCATTCTTTATAGTAGATGAATATTCTATTATAGATAGATACTACATTTTCTTTATCCATAGTCCACTAATGGGAATGCAGCCTATTTCCAGGATTTAGTTATTATGGATTGTGCTGCTATAAATGTTAATACACATGTATCACTGCACTATGATATCTTAAACTTTTTAAGGAAGACATCTAGCAGGAGAATTGCTGGGTCATATAGAATTTCTAATTTCAGTTCCTTGAAAAATCTCCATACAGATTTCTCTAACTGTTGAATTGGTTTAGATTTTCACCAACAATGAAGGAGGGTTCCTTTTCACCTTAGCCTTGCCAGCATTTGTTATTGATTGATTTTTTGATGTTTGCCATTAGCATTGTTTTAATTTGCGTTTCTCTAATGGCCAGAGATGTTGAGCATTTTTTCATATATTTTTTAACCGTTTGTGCTTCTTCCTCTGTGAAGTGTCTGTTCATTTTGCTCTCTTTATCTCTCTCTCTCTCTCTCTCTCTCTCTGTCTCTCTCTTTTTTGGTACTGGGGATGGAACTCCTGACCTCATGCTTGTCAGACAAGCACTGGACTACTGAGCTTTATCCTCGGCCCTTTCATGCCCATTTTTCAACCAGACCTTTAATTTTAGGTGGACTAATTTTTTTGAGTTCTTTGTGTATTCTAGATATTGTCCTCTGTCTAAAGAGTAGCTGGCAAAATGTCTTCCCCTGATGTTGGCTGTCTCTTCACCCTACTAATTGATTCTTTTGTTGCTATTACCAATTTGTCTGATATTACCAATTTCTTAATTCTTGCTGTTTTATTTATTTTTTGTAATTGAGGTTCTGTTTAGATAATCATCTCCTACACCTATGTCTTCAAGTGTTTACCTATTTTATCACTCAGTAAGTTTAATGTTTCTGTTTTAATGTTTAGGTCTTTGATCCATTTTGATTTTCATTTAATACATGGTGAGAGATAAGGGTCCAGCCTCAGTTTTCTGCACACAGATAACCAGCTTTCCTAGCATCACTTGTTTTATAGACTCTTTCTTCCAAGATGCTTTTGGCCCTTTGTCAAAGATTGAATTAACTCAATGTATCAAGGGAAATTTCTATGTCCTCTTACTCCATTGATCCACATATCTGTTTTTGTTCCAGAGCCATGCTGTTTTTAAGATAAATAATGCTTTCTAGTACAGTATGTGATAGCTAGAAGTCAGGTGTTGCTGTGCTTCTTGCTTTGCTCCTTTTGACCAAAACTGATTTTGCTATTCTGGGTCTCTTCTAATTCTATATGAATTTTAGGATTATTTTTTCAAGATCTGCAAAGGATGCTGTTGATATCTTAATTGGTACTGCACTGAATCTTGTAATAGTTTTGGGAGCATGGCCATTTTGACAATATTGATTCTGCCTATCCAGGAGCAGGGGAAATCTTTCTATTTTCTGATGTCCTCTTCAATTTCCTTTTTCAGGATACTGTCGTTTTCTTTGCAGGATATTTCACTTCCTGAGTTAGGTTAATTTCTAGGCATTTCATTTTTCTTAAAGCTACCGTGAAGGGAATTGTTTTCATAATTCCCTTCTCGTCCTATTCATTGTTAGTGAAATAACAGTGCTAATGATTCAAAAATCATTTTTTGATCCTGTATCCTTCTACATTACTGAAGTTAGTTATTAATTCCAAGAGTTCTTTGAGTCTTATATGTAGTGAATCATGTCATCTGTAAATAATGATAATTTGAGCTCTACTTTTCCTCTATGTATACCTTTTATTTATTTCTTTTGCCTAATTGCTTTGGTTAATATTTCAAGTACTACGTTGAATAGAAGAGGTGTTAGTGGGCATCCTCATCTTACTCCTGATATTAGAGGGAATTCTTTTAGTTTTTTCCCTTTTAGTATATGATGCTGGCTATTGGTTTGTCATATAGTTTTTATCATATTCAGGTATGGTCCTTGTACACCTGTTTTCTTCAGGGATTTTATCATGGATAGATGTTGAATTTATCATGGAGGGGTGTTGAATTTCAAAGACCTTCTCTGTGTCTATTGATGTATCATATGGTTTTTGACCTTGCTTCTGTTTATATGATGTATTTCATTTATCAACTTATGTATGTTGAACCATCCTTACATCTCTTTGATAAAACCTGCTTGATCATGATGTATGATTTTTTAAATAATGCACGGCAATCTGTTTGCTAATATCTTATTGAGTATTTTTGCATCTATGTTCATTATGAAGACTAACATATAGTTTTCTTCTTCAGTTGAGTCTTTATCTGGTTTTGGGACCAGGGTGATCCTGGCTCCCATAAATGAGCTTGGGAGCATTCTATCCCTTTCAATTTCTTTGAAGAGCTTTAAGAGTATTGGAGATATAACATCCTTAAAGGTTTTGCAGAATCATCAGTGAATCAATCAGGTCCTGAGTTTTTTTTTTTAGTTTGTAGATTCTTTAGCACTGTGTCAACTTCATTGCTTGTTATTGGGTATCATGTTTATGTTTTTTTGGGTTGGTTTTGATAGTTTATACTATCTAAGGATGTCTTCAAAGTTTGCTAATTTCTTGGAATATAATTTTCAAAGTAGTTAGTATCTTCTGGATTTCCACAGTGTCTGTTATGATTTCACCTTTTTCATGCCTAATTGCATTGATTTGAGTCTTTTCTCACTTTCTCTTGATAAGCCTGGCTAGGGATTTACCTATTTTATTTATTCTTTCAAAGAGCCAGCTCTTTGATTCACCAGTTTTTAATACTGTTTTTTAGTCTCAACTTCATTGATTTTTACTCTCATCTTTTCCTCCTTAATGTCAGTTTGGGACTCGTTTGTTGCTATTTCTCATGTGCCTTAAGCTTTTTCATAAGGTCGTCTGTTGGAGCTTGCTGTGTTTTCTTAATGTGAGTATGATTGTGATGAATTTTCTTCTTAAAACTACTTTCTTAGTATTGTTGAGTTTTCACAAGTTGTACTGTCATTGTCATTAACGTCTAGAAAATTTTAAATTTCTTCTGTGTCCCATGGATGGTTTAGGTGTGGGCTGTTAACTTCCCAGGAGCTTTGGCCTTGTCTGAGATTTCTTCTGTTGTTGACTTCTATTTCATCGCTCAATTGTCTGATAGTATGCATGGCATCATTTCTATCCTTTTATATTTCCTTAAGCAGGCTTTGTGGATTAGTATGTGATCTAGTTTGGAAAAAGTACTATGTGCTGCTGAGAAGAATATATAATCTTTGTACAGGGGTGGAATGTTCTTTATGTATCCATTAAGTCCCTATGTTCAAGGATGTGTTTAAAAGTTAGGAGGAATAAACAGGGACAAGGGAGAATCCCTTACCCTCTATAAACTATATTGTGAGAAAAAAAAAACAACAAGAAGAGAAGCACACACACACACAAACATGCTTATAAAAGAAAAAAAAGGGTAAAATAATGGAATAAAAGTGTGGGGGCAGGGGGGAAAATGTACAGAAGGAGAACAGCAAAGAGTATAGAAAATGAAAAAAATACAAATAAAGAATAGTAAAAGAAGGTCTTCTATTGCTGTGGACATGTGACTCTTTTCCTTGGCCTAGGTAAGATTAAGGAGCAGAGTTGAGGCCAAGATGTGTCTTTGCTCACACTGAAAGTCCAAGGTGGCTATTTGTCACCAGAACACTCCTGGGTGTAGAGATCTGTTTATAGTGGGAACATGATCCCAGTGTGAGCTTCCAGACCTGTTTAGCTCAGGCTGAAAGTGGCCTCTGACTGTACAATCCAAGTCTGCATTTATGAGCCCCTGATTCTCAGTGAGACTCCCCACAGTCTACTCTGCAACTGTGAACAGTTTCCCATGATTGCCCTTCTCTCTCTCACTCTGGGAATTTGGCACTGTGAAGCAGCCACAGGACTGCGCTGGGACACTGGTTCAGACACCCAACAATGGCGTCCCTGCTAGCTCCTGCTCCACATGACTGTGGGATTGCATCCGTGTTACTAAGGTTACTCCCCAACTGTTGACTGTGGAAGGCGACTTTGGAAGCCTCATTTCACAATCTCCCTGCTGGCTCCAATTGCAGAAGATGCTCTCAGCCTTGGTGCAGTTTTCTTGTTCTTAATGATCCAAAGAAAAGTTGTTAGCTTCAGTTTGCCTCCCAGCTGGTGGCTAGATAGCTGCTGTTGGCAGCGCTGAATGATCTCTCCTCTGTGGTGGTGTCTGTTTCTTCTGGATCACTTAATCCTATTTTCTTCTCCTCTGTCTGTTCTCTTATGGTTTCTATGAGAGAACTTCCACGCATTTTGATTTCTCTCCAAGCTATTATTTTTCAGACTCTACACGCTTTTTTTTCTGGAGAAGCTGAGTTATTAGTACTCATTGCTTCACCATTCTGGGATCTCCCACTAGTCTATGAATTTTTAGTATTAATGCAGGGGTATGAAGCATTAAGGCAAATTAAAATGTTTCAGTGAACCAGCTCAAAAGTTCAACATTATAGCAATTACAAATAAACCTATTAAAATTTTCTGGGCAATTCCAGCCTTTAGAATTTTCTAGAGCAATAAATTTCTTATTGATGGCAAAAAAAAAATATCTTAAGACAAATAACTTACAGGGGGAAAGGTTTTCTGTAGCTCATGGTCTGAGAGAGTTCAGTTCATGGTCATTTGGTCTCAATACCTTGAGCCTGTGGCAAGGGAGAACATAGTGGCAGGAAGCATGTGCTGGAGCAGAACAGCTCACTTCATAACATCTGGGAAGCAAAGGCAGAGAAAGGGTTGGTGCTTCCAGATCCCATCTGAGGGCACATTCCCAGTGACCTTGGTCCATTCTTCCAGACCCTACTGTCTGAAGACTCTATAGGCTTCCAAAGCACTGCAGGCTCCCAACAGCCACAGCCTGATGGCCAGTCTTCAACACAGGAGCATATGGGGTGTATAACAAGCTGCTGGATCAATACTTTCAGAGTTGAATACAAGGGCCCTTGCTGCCACTGGTGGTTCGGACTGGGAATATCCATGAGCAGACGACACTCCCTTTCAATCAGAGAGCTCAGGGGCTCTGCTCATAGGACACTGCATTCTGAAACAACTCTCTCTTCCCCCACAATTAGGTTATAACACATGTAGGAAGAGTTTTGTTAGGTTAGACTTTTCAGACCAAGAGGTTTTTGAAAATAAACAATTTAGTGAGCTATATAGTTGCTAAGAACTATATAAGGGTAAGAACAGTCTTGGAACAAATTTTGTAAGGCCCAAGCAGCATGGCCAGATAGTGATTGGGAAAATATTTACCAGAACTAAAGGGCCAGGGCATTGTATAATATAATTTGGGGGAGAAGACCCTGAGGGCAAACAATGTGAGGGGGGCAAAGTCCTAGGGTAAGACCATAAAGACAATGACCATAAAACCTTGGATTATGAGAAACTTGTTTTGTGTTCTGCAAGATGAGCAAATAATTTTAACTTGCTAAATGAATGATGTCATGCATTATGAGTAGTATGTGATAGTGAATGTCACATGATCACAACTGAGCCAGTGATCTGTCTCTCTTTCTCTCCTTTCTCTCTTGCTGTGGGACTGTGGGTGATCATCTCCAACAGCAAGAAGTTATAGAGAAGATCTTGTCTGCAGAAGAGGTGAAAAAAAAAGGTGGAGGAACCCTTCACTTCAAATGAGATTAGGGAGACAGGTAAAATGTGTGAAACAGTGCAAAATTTTATAGAAAAATCATCACCCAAAAAAGTGTAAACCAGTTAGAGCAACAAATCTGTTTAATGACAGTGCAGTGTCACATTTCTACAAGATCCTCATCAAAAGGAAGCAAGAGCAAGTGTCATTGATAGTTCCTTGTTACAGTTGCATGAAAAGAAAAGATTCCATTAAACCAATAGATAGCGGTGATTGCATTAATGATAGTGAAGTCATCCTGCACAATTACACTCCTCTCTCATCTCTCTTACACTGGCCGTGAGGGTTTTCAAAGTAACTACAAGTTAATTTATTTTTCTTTATATTTTGTATTATCTTTATAATTTTGTATTATATTCGGAGGGAGAAGAATTGTAATAAATTTTACAATAATAGTTTTGGGGTATGGAATGAATAATCTGAATTTCCATTTTTATGGGGAAATTTGCTGATATACAAGTACTTTGGATTACAAGCATGTTCTTGGAATGAATTATTCCCACAAACCAAGGTTCAACTATGTTTGTGACTACTTGGTTAGTACACACTATGACCTGGATGGGTTAATTTCAGCACCCAGGAAAAAAACGTAGATGAGTTTAGTTCTGATTTAAACCACGCTTCTCTTATCTCTTTCTTTCTTCCATTCTCTGTGTAACTTAGGACATCTCAAACTTTTTCTTCATTTATAGATGAAGAGATTTTAAGATAAGAATGAACCTAAGTTGAAAAGGAGGAGTAGTGTAAATACGAACTCAAGAAAGGACATAAAGACCACATCAGACTCTGTATAGGAGTAAGTAAAAATAATTTTTATTTTGACTTACATGATTGAATGATGAATATAAATGCCACAAAACTAAAAGCATCCCCCCAACCAAACATAAAATGCAGAGGTGAATACAAAACATATGGAATTCATTACTCATGCAATATTCACAAAAATTTTTAAAATGCAAAACCAAACCAAAAACAAAAGACCTTGTAACACCTGTGACTTGACTGTCTATAAGAAGAACCATTTCAACCACGTAACATAGGCCATAGACTATACACACTAACTATAGACTGTACAATGTACCTTTAAAATGAAAGATATATGCATATATATAATATTTATAAATATACAAATATGTACACTGTAACTTCACAGTTGAAAGAACTATTTTGCCAGGAGCCTGGCAAATGATTTTCACTTTAAAATGAAACGAACCCTTTTTAAAAGTCTTGCTAAAATGGAAATATTTAAAATGACATCTGAACCACATTTTATACAAACACATCAAGAATACAACTGATATTCCACAGTTTTAAATTACACACATACACACACACTGTTTTGATACATTGGCATACCCCAGCTGTATGTTCTTCAGCGGGAGAGAAGTTCTTCAGTGAGAACCATTCTGAAAAGTCTGGTAGCCCTTGTTGAACGGACTTGCTACCGAGATACTGAGTGGGGGCAGCTTTTATCACTGCTTGGGCCAGGCATCCTACCCAGGAGTGAAGGATTTCTCTAGGGACAGTTTCCATTCCTTGGAGCATCCTTCCTCTTCCTAATCTCATGGTCATTTTTACAGAAGCAGGAACTAGCTTTTGTTGGTTTGACACAGGGTATCACAGTGTGGTCCAGATTGGCCTTGAGCTCGCCAAGATCCTCCTGCTTCAGCCTCTGGAGTGCTGGGATTACAGTTGTGCAGCACCATACCTGGCAACAGACCATATCCCACACCTCTCTATTCCTACCCCATGAGGATTCCTCCAGTGTTTAGGTTCTTTCAAAGCAGCCTCGAGAGCCTCAAAGAACTTTCTGAATTCACAGCGAATGGTTTGGATTTGTCTTAGCAGCAAATTATCTAAAGGTAATAGTATCATAAAAATGGCTGTTTTTCATTTTTAAAAAGCTTAAGATTTAAGATTTTTTTGCTTGTAAGAATATGAGTATAGTCTAATGCAACAGTTCTTAGTCATTACCTATCATTTTGCTATCACAGAAATGTAATTGGAGAATTTATTTTTTATTTTTAGTCAGTTAATTAAAAAAATCTTAGTTGTTTGAGACAGAGGCTTGCTTTGTAGTGCAGGCTGGCTTGAACCTCATGGTGAGCCTCCTGCTTTAGTCTTCTCAGTGCTGGGATTATAGTACTGCACCACCACTCCTGGCAATTAATTGATTTTGAGACAGGGTCTCCCTATAAAGTTCAGTCTGGCCTGGAACTCACTGTGTATCCCGGGATGGCTTTGAACTTTTCCTCTTGTTTTAGCCTCTCAAGTTCTGGGATTATACACATGCACCACCACGCTAGGTTGATTTGGGAATTTCAGTGTAGAAAAAACCAAACATACTAGTGGTCATTTAAAAAACTAAAATACAAAAGTTAGACTCTGACAATGGATCATTTTACCAGGTTCTGTAGGTAAACTTTTATTTGAAGTAATTCTTTTTTGTGCTCTGTATTTAAAGTAAAATTAGGTAGCTAAAGGGCCACTCAACCCTGAGAACATGACAGAGAAACTGCAAGGCATATATTTATTGAAATATCGCACAACTATTTCAAGCTTATAGAACTTCCAAAAAGTACAAAGATGGCTATTTTAAAATTCTGCATATAACAAGATGGACTTTTTTTTTTTACTGAGTACTGTCAGACATAATAACCAACGATGTAATCTACTGAATATTATTACATAGCCCTATTCTATTGGCCAAAGAGAAAGCAGAAAGGTACTGTGACACAAAATTCTGAGCACTTTTTATAACATGTCACATTTCCAGACAACCTCAACAGGATTTTTCAAGTTCGAGATGCTTTCCAGAGAAATCGCAGCACCTTCTTGATGGAAAGGGCGAGATTTAGGACAGCAGTTAGGCAGAGTTAATTCGTAATTAAAAGGCTGTGGCTACTTCAGTTCCATGACGACCTCCAACTTTAACGTAGTCTCGAGGAAATTTATCCAACTGTTCATAAGCCAATCGTCCATCTTCTCCTACATGCAGAACATTAAACGTGAACTTAAACATTTTTATTCAGCATTCAAAATAAATTGACATCAGTGGTTTGTGTCTTTTCCTTCTCTGATACTGGATTGCCATTGTAAGCCATCTGCTATGATAAGGAAAAGTCATCTCTTTTTATTAATTATATCATTGATTTTAAGGACTATGTAGAACAACCAAGAACATCTGAGCCAGTATCAGAGACCAAAAGAATGCCAAAGTAATGAAATAATGCAGAAGTCTTGTGGTGGTCTCAATTCAATGATTTTACAAACTACATTTATTCCTGGATTATATGCCTTTTTATTTCCTTGAGTGTCTCACTATTTAGTTAAGGTTGGCTTTGAACTCACTATATAGCTCAGGTGGCAATCCTTCTGCCTCAGCCTCTAGAGTGGTGGGGTTACAGTTGTGTGCTACCACACTTTGTGCCTGGATTGTATGTTAAATACAGTAGGGACTTCATCAGTGTGGCTATTCTACACATCAGTAAATTTAACTTCTAAATAACTTTTTTCTCTATAGTACATATCCTTACACTTAAATGATCATTTGTAAAAATCAAATTTAGGCTTGGAAACCTTAGCTACAAAATTATGCTTTGAGCTGAGCGTGGTAGTACATACCTGTAACCCCAAGCACTTGGGAGGCTGAGGCAGGCGGACTGCCATAAATTGGAGGGCAAACCCGGGTTAAATAGTGAGTTCAAGGCCAGCCTCGACTATGCAGTATGTCTGGTAGAAAACATCTCACTGTATGTTTACAAGGCAAAGAATAACTTTGGGTTGGGGGGTTGTTTGTTTATTTGTTTTGTTTTTTTTGAGACAAACTATGAGCTAAATAAACCTTTTTTTCCTCAACTTTGGGTGTTGGGTATTTTGTCTCAGCGATGAGAGAAAGGTAACAAACACAAATGTCTAGTGCAGAACAGGTCCTGATACAAGCTGAGCATTGACAGCTTGAAATTCCAAAGTTGAAATACTCTAAAGTCTGAGTCTTTTGAGCACTGGTGTGACTCCACATATGGGTTCCACACTTGACCTTCTGCAATGAGTTGTGGTACAAATGTAAGTGAATGAAGCAGTTGCAGAAAGTTTACTTTAAGCTTTGTGTATAAGGTATATATGAAACATAATGACTTTTATGTTTAGACCTGGGGCAGTAGGGAGTGGCTGAGCCACAGTTGAGCTGGAGATAGACCACGCATCAAGAATACAGCAAGGTCAGCCCTAAGAATATGAGCTGCCAGAGGCAGACCATGTAAACAAACTGACCTCTAGCTCGGTGGCACATTAACAGGTGTCTGGCCTTCGTGTTCCTTCCCATTAACTACAGCACAAATACATCTGAGAATGTTTTCGCTTTCAGCCCCATTGCATACTTCCTCTTCTTTTTACTGCGTCTAAATAAAGCTGCAGACTGTGCTGGACTATCACTGCTTCTCCATTAGAGAGGTCCCAGCTTTCCTTTTATCTAGCTTTTTCATAATCTCACATCGCCCCCTCTCAGGACCTCACTGTCCGCATGGGTTGCAGCATGAAACCATAATAACCATTATTATTTATGTGCAAATACTCCAAAATCTGGAAGGATCTCAAGCAGCAAATACTTTTGGTTCCAAGCATTACAAATAAGGGAACAGTCAGTTTGCATATTACCATGACACAGGCAGAGATTTAGAGGTGAAAAGAGTCTGGGTTTATGGTTCAAAGTTGCAGCTAGGATGCCGTGGTACATTGGTGGAAACTGTTCCATCCAGTACAGTGGGTATCGGCCAGATGTGACTATTCACATTTAAACAGTAAGTGCTCGAAATGAAATGAAGTCAAAGCTTTCTTTCCCCAGTGCTGGAGATCAAACCCAGCACAAGCTAAGTGCTCTACCACTGAGATCCATCTCCATTTCTGGTTACAGCTTTACAGTTCCTTAGTCACAGTAGCTCAGCCGAATTGCTCAGTAGCTGTGTGTGTTTACTAGCTGCTATAATGGCCAGTGAATTATGAACCCTCCTGTTATCACAGAGGGATCTACTGCAAGCTCTTGGTTGAAATGTTGAAATAATTCTTCACTAGTTGGTAAACAGTTGCTGCTGAGCCCTTTGAGTGCCTGTAACCACTTCCAGCCCTTTGGAACAGGGTGTCTTATCAATGAAAATATTATTTCACTGTATTAATTCACTTATTTGTGGGAAAGAAAAATGCACCAGTATTTATGAATTAGGATAAAAGAAGACCCATAACGTTGACTTGAGGAATTCTCAGCCTTCATATTAGAATCACCTGGAAGGCTTTAAAAAAAAAAACTTCCATGCAGAGGTAAAGTTCAAACCCACACAAGCAGAATCCTGGGAGTAGAAACCAGGTATGGGAGTGTGCAGGTTCCCCTGGGGTGCATTGTGCTGAGAACTGTACCCCAGGGGTGGGCTGAGCACTGTGCAGAGTAAAGGTAAATGATCGCTAATGATCGCTCTGCAACACTGATGATTGTGCAGTGATTCTTGGGGTACCAAGCACCTTTGGCTACACCTTACAAATGTTTGACTTTTTTGAAACTTTCATTAGTAATTTAGAGCATTATAGAGAAAAGGAGGTTAGACTAATAACACTCTGGGTACATTTTAGAGAATTAAATAACTTCTATACCTAAAAAAAAAAAACAACCATAAGGAATAACTTTTATCCTTTAGGCAAACATATGCTGGATAAACTTTCTGTGCAGCAAATGATATATTCAGTAACAGAACAAAGTCTTATTAAACCAAGAATTGTAAGAAAGAAGGCTAACAATGAATGGGATTTCACGGTGGTTATAAATGCCATGAGTGTCTCCTCCACATAATTAAGATACTAAAGTTAACCTGGGAGGTTTTGTCCAGCTTGCATTATGGGCTGGATTATGTCTGAAGACTTTTAGATTATTGTTTCTAGACATTAAGAATATCCGGGGATGGTAAACTTGTTTATAACAAATATTTGTATATTTTTATGCAGAGTTAGAAAGGTTTTTCCTATTCTCCAAAGTCACCCCACCAAAGATTAAAAGTATGAAACATGTTAAGCATAAAACTTTATAAAGTGAAGGGGGGGGGGGGAGGAAAAGCAAAGGGAAGTGTTACCTGGATACTGGAGAACTGAATGAAGCTTTCAGTTGTTTTTCTAGCTGCCAGGGCCCAGGAGGGCACAGGCCAGCAGGGCAATCCCAGTTTACCTGGGGCTCAGCGTGAGTTAGCCTGTGGTGCGTGGGGCAGGTAGTGCCCCCAGATGCACCCCTGGTCCCTCAACCAGTCCTGTCTCCTGGGAGTCCCAATTCCACACTGGCCATCTAACCTGGACTTTGGCTGCCTCTGCTTTGTGGTTTGACTTCCGTGTCCCTTTTTAGTTTTTTGAGATAGAGTTTCACTATGTTGTTCAGGCTAGCCTTGAACTCATGATTCTTCACCTCGGTCTCCAAAGCAATGGTGTTAGCAAACAGACTGATGAACCCAGGTGGAAAGGGTCCTGAGAGTGAGCTCTCTCACACCCAGAGAGAACAAGGGGTTTGGAGATGGACATCAGTAATTTTTCATCCTCAGCCTGCAGGTGAGTGGACAGCCCACAGAAGCAAGCGCTGCCGAAACAGGATTCGTCAAACTTTTCCCTACATTTTCCTTTGAGAATTTATCAGAAGGAACTCACAAGAAAAACAGGACTCACCGAGAGACAAGAGGGTTTCTGAGGCCACAGTTCTCATTTCTTCAGTGTCAGATTGACACAGAGTCACCAGCATTTTAATGCTCTCAGTAGCCTACAGAGGAACATAGTTTAAATAGTATTCCGGGGTTCCTGAGACTTAGCATTTCATCACTGGTAGGAACTTTAAAAATCTAACTTGGGGGTCCCAAACTGAGCTGAATGTCAAGATTGCTTTGGGAGCCTCTTATAGCACAGATTCCTCACTGCCACCCTGCAGGCCCCACCCTGGGGTTTCCTGGCCTGGACCTGGGACTTGTGCTTGCAGGAGCTCTGATGCAGCTGAATTCCTCATTCCACAGAGAACTCCAGGCCTAGAGTTCTGAAGTGATTAGTTTGCTTTTCCGGATTGGAACCCACTTTTCCTAGTTCTTTCCACTCTGTCCAATTGGCAAAACAAAATGAAACAAAAGAAACTCTAATTTAAGAATTCCTGTACGTATACAGAGACAGCCCCAATGTACTCCATAAATATATAAAATATGTCAATTAAAAATAAAATTTAAAGATTCTACTCTTCAGCTTAAGTAACTGAAATAGAGGAGAATAATAAAAGTCAATGATGGGCATTCTTCTACTTGCGTATTTTACAAACATCTATTGAGCATTCTTGGGGCCAGCCTGTTCATAAGGCCTGAGAGATGCTACAGTAAACCAGTTGTGGTCCTGGCCCAAAATGTTCACTGGAAAGGCAGCTCGCTAAGCAAGGAATTATTGTAAAGGGCAATGGGCTGAGTTGGTGCTGGGGCAGAATGGGACTGCAAAGCCACCTTGTTCAGGAGCTGGGGCTGCAAGATGGTTTAGAAAGAGGTCTCCTATTCAGTAGTGAGGATCCCATCTCTTCAGAGGAAACAGTTAAGGTGCAATCTGTACCCCCAGACCTGAGATACTCCAGGATTAAAACTGGAGCCTCTGCTTTCAACTGCACAACATCTAAATCTATAAAAATACAGAGAATCCACCGTCTTCATTTATATAAAGTCAGAGTCACACACGCCAGCCCCAACATCCACTGTGTATTGAAGCATGCCCAGATCAGCAGTCATCGCTGTGTGTGTGTTTTTTTTTTTTCCATTTGAAGATAACTTTTGACCAAGTAACAAGGAAGGCAAAGTTTCCCACAGTTGTTTTTCTTCACAGCTCATTAACTTTTTCTTTTGAGGCATTAATCCATTTCTTCATGTGCCCCTGGCCTGTAGCTCCCTGCCCTCTGTCCCGCCAACCCATCTAAGATTTTAGCCAGTTTGAAGGTGTGGCCTTCTCATTCTTTTCTCAAGGCTAATTACTCTTGTTTATTTTTAAAGATAGGTCAAACATTAAACATAGCCCATTGAAATATAAACTCTGGCTGGAAATTCTCAGCCCTCTCTTTTTCTGTTTACATTGTAGATCTTTCTCAGCTCACTAACTTGGCCCAGGAACATGATTAAGATTGGTTAGTAACCAACAAAGAGGGCTTCATGTGAGAGGATCTGGGAATTTAGTGGCAGGATGAATTGTGATATTTCTTTGCAAATTGGACTTCTCCTTGCTATTTGTTGTGCATCATAAATACTGGCGAAATGACCCTGTCATCTTTATTTGGGGGATAAGATACTTTTCTAATACTAACTCAAAAGCAAAGTGGTTCTTGTGGACTACTACAAAAACACTATTTTCTGCCATCGCTAACTTTAGTAACAGGCAACTATATGCTTAAGGGAGAAAGTAAGGAGCCCACATTGGCACACAGTGGAAGGACTTGAGAAATCCTGAGGCTAGGGCTCACCTGCAGGCTTCTCAGCGCCAGGCACGCTCCCTTCTGGAGCTCCAGGTTGGTCTCGGTTAGTGCTTTGCAGTAATACAGCAAGGCCTGAAAGAGAAGCAGGGGGACCGTGAGGTGGCTGGAATCGTGTGTCATTTAAAGTATGTGGCATTTTTACTCTTTGTGATAAGTGATAGCATATAGGGAGGCAATCTGTGCTACTTTAAGACAGAAAAAAACTCCATTAAATTCATGTTGATTATATGTATCTCTGTAATCAACTGACCCAATATTCTGTGAGGTTCTGGATTCTGGGAAGATGCCAAGTTATGAATCTTTTTTTTTTTTTTAATAATTGGTTCTTTCCCTTTTTCAGTTTTCAAAATAATGAGTTAGGTCATTAGCAAACCCTAACACAGACTGTTTTATTTTTAAAACTATTATTGTTTTTATATTGGTTGGTATTTTTGAGAAAGGCTCTTGCTATGTAGTCCATGCTGGTCTTGAATATGCTGTGTAACCATGCTGGGTTTGAATTTGGAATTCTTTCTCCTCCTATCAAGTGTACTGCCACACCTGGATATTGTTTTTAATTGACACATATCTGTATGGATTTACAAGAGGAAGCATAATATTACATGTACATAACATGTAATGATTAAGTCAGGCTAATTATCATTTCTGTCTCCTCAAACATTTATCATGTCTATGTCTTTTTAGTTACAGTATTTTGAAATGTATCAGATGTTGTTAGAGACCCTACTGTGCTGCAGAACACCAGGATCAATTAATTCCGCACTCAACTGTGTTTTGGTCCCTCTCTCCACTCGCTTTCCCTGTTCTGAATCCAGCTTTTAAGTGGCTCTCTAGATCTAGTAGATACTCTGAAATCATTTTGAGAGAAGTGCAGAGAAAAACGTGTTAGGTGCTGGAAGAAAGCTCCAGGGTAAGGCAGCGAGCTGTGAGGCCCCTCGGAGAGGGTTTCACAGAAATGTCTGAACTGGACTAGAAAGCGGGGCTGGGTTTCAGCTGGGAAACCGAGGTAGAAGAAGGCAGTGGACAGCAATAATGAAGGCGGGACAGGCAGGAAAGTCCAGTGAGAAGGCCGTGGTTCTGGTTTAAGTCACGCGAGAGGCCCTGGGTTTGATCCCCAGCACTACAGGAAAGAAGTTTTACATAAAAGAAAATGTTCTTAATTTACCAAGCCAGTTTCTTCTTAAATGGCTTATAGAGTGGGTACTTAATATTAAGTGGGCAAGAGTCACTGTAAGTTATATTTTAGTTCACTGGAAACTTTTAAAAACAATAATGACTTTTGAAGGGCATTAGAGGTGGAAGGGGAGGACTAACTTTTCATCTTAGCAGGTATACTGTGCAATTTTTGCTACTTTCCTGAGTTACTTTTATTTTACACAGTAGAACTCAAATCAGATCTGCATGCTACAATATATATATATACTGTATATAATACATATCTGCTGGACCAATAAATGCTATCATCTTGTCATTTATACCTTGGCATTTTGGAGATTTATACTTTTTTTTGAAACACTGTCATCATTTATCCCTCCCCTTCTTTCCCTCCTTCCCTTTCTTCTACTCCTCCTTACTTTGTTTTCTCTCCCCTCTCTTCCCTCCTCTCCCCTCCTCTTCTTTCCTCTCCCTTTCCCTCCCCTCTTCTTCCTTTCCCTCCTTTTAGGATAGTGGAGACTGGACCCAGGGCCTTCACAGTGAATTCCACCCCCAGCAGTGCATATCTTTCTAATATATATCTTGATTCCCCAGTGACTTTGGGCAACCACTTAACTTCCTGCGGCTTCGTCTGCTAATCTGTAAACGGTTGCAGAAATGAGAACTACTTATAGGACTTTGTGACCCTGTAATGTAGTAAGATAAGTTAAAGACAGAGCAGTTCCTGGCACAAAGTAGACCCTAATAACTATAGCTGCAATACTGTGCTTATTCTTACGTTCTTATATTACACATTCATTTACCTGTGTATCCGTGCATTTGTTCATAGGAGAAAAACACCATGTCACCACATTTATATGGAGGGCTTTTGGAGGTGCTGGAGGTTGCACAGGCTAAGCACATACACTAACACTGAGTAACCCCAGCCTTTATGTAGAATTCTTTTATGGACAAAAACCTTGGTTTGTTTTTTAAAACTTATTTAACCCCTTAGCATCTAGAATGATATTCTATGCTTGGTGAGGCCCCTTTAAATCTGATGGGGCCAGAGTATGGATGGGACAGTTCCAGTGTATCATCAGCCACTTAGTGACACACTTGCCCATGTGTAGTTCTGCAGTAGCCACTGATAGCTGGAGTTAGACACCCCATCTTCTCAGCTCTGAAAAATAACTCCATCCTTTTTTTAAAAAATGGAGACATAAAGCCAGGTACGGTGGCACATGTCTGTAATCTCAGAACTCTGGAAGGCTGAGGCAGAAGGATCACAAATTCAAGTCTGTGATCCTGGGCACCTTAGTGAGACCCTGTCTGGAAATAAAAAGAGTTTGGGATGTAGCTCAGTATGAAGACCCTGGGTTCAATACCCAATACCACCATAAATAAATAAGTAAATAAATAGGATACAGTTCCCATGACATAATGCTTGCCCTTTAGAGTGCACAGTTCAATGGCTTTTAGCATATTCACAAACCATCACCACTCTCTGAAAATATTTTCATCACCTCAAAAAGAAATCCTGTACCCATTGGTAATCCTCCCCACTGACCATCTCTCCTGCTCATGGCGATCACCCATTTGCTCTGTGTCATGGTTTGTCTGTTCTGAACATTTGACCGAAACAGACACAGAGCGTGTGGCTTTCATGCCTTTCTCTTTCAGGTTTCACTGAGGCTGCACCATGTCATTAGCCTTTTTATGGCTCACATTAGTTGATGGACATGTAGATTGTTTCTACTTTTTGACTAATAGGAATAATGCTGACACCAACATTTGCATGCAAGCTTTTGCAGAGACACATTCTGTGGACAGAATAGGTGATCTATATTTCCTTCAGCTTTAATGCGTCAGCTTTCTAGATGTCACTGGAATCTGCAGTTCAAGCACAGAGGACTCCTGTGAGGGCCCTTTTAGCATCTGCAGTCATTCTGAAGACTTACTCATCAAAATTCAGATGAGCTCAAAGCAATTAAAGGAGATCCTTTCATGTCCTTGACAAGGTCACCAATGTGCACTTGGTAAGAGCTTGTTTAGCTTGTTGTCAAGGGTGTGCTGGTGTGTTTGAGGGTTCACAAGAACATAACCCATCCTAGAGCCAGGTTGGCCCAAGAGCGTGAACTGTGTTATCTGTTCCTACAGGTTCTGTTTTTGTAGTGTAATTAACTCTTGAGGCTGTTTTATGGCCAACCATGCTCTACTCTATCAAAAGAGGAAAATTAAAGAAGTGCAAACACTGAAGTTAGCAGTGCACACACATGCCTGAGTGTGCACAGTTGCCCATGAGCAGGACTGAGGTTCTCTTGGTCTAACGAGGCACGGCACTGGATTGTGCCCTTACAAATAGCAATCATGGCACAGCCTTGTCTTTTACCTGTCTTTTATTTTTACAGCACCAACTGAAGTTAATCATGATAGACCATTAATTTTTTTAAAAAGGCTATGAAATACAACAGTATGATCTCCCTCCCTCCCTAGTACCAGGAATCAAACTCAGGTTCTTGCACTTGCCTGGCAGGTGCTGTGCCACTGAGCTATATCCTGGCCCATATAACAGTATGATCTTACTAAAAACTACTTAGGTCACCATATGTAGATAAAATGTGAAGGAACAGATAATGAGTTATGAACAGTTTTCTCTGGAAGATGAACTTATGGGGCACTTGACTATATTTCTATTGCTTTAATCATTTCATAGAAAACATTTTTATTTGTGGTGTTAGGGATCAAAACCAGAGGTTTCTATTACTGGCTGAATCCCCAGCCCTTGTTATTTTTTATTATTTTAAACAACTCTTACAAACATACAGTATTTATTTTTTTGTTATTGTTATTATTATTATTATTGTGTTTTTGAGACAAGGCCTCACTATGTAGATCAGGATGGCCTTGAACTCATTTGTAGCCCAGGCTGGTCCAAGAAACATTATTGATAAGGAGAAGAAAGTTACTTTGAAAGAGAATGGAAGTTAAACTGCTAACATAGAATGAAGTTCTGGCTTGATGGCCATGATTCAGTGTCCTACCTTTTCCCTGAAATGCTCGTTTTTGGAGGCTGCTGTCAGGAACAGCCCCACAGCCTCACTGACTTCACTGCTGTCCCTGGCCAGCAGCAGAGCCAGGGTCCTGAGGACCTCCTGCTGGGCCGGGAGATTGCTAGGAGAGAGGTCACTCAGGGTCTGCAGCAGCTTCTCGTCTTTCAGTGTCTGCAGAGTCTGAACCACGGAAACTAGAAGGTATGACACAGGCACATGCATCAAAAATAGTATTTTACATATATTTTATGACATAAGACACAAATATTTATAAAAAAATTAGCCTATGATAAAGGTGGTGGTTCAAATTACATCAAACACATCAAATTAAAAACAAGACAAAATACTCTAAAGAATATGCACAAGTTTGAAGTCTAAAACCCATCTACATGCAACTGAAAAAAAATGACATTTTATAAGTGGGAAGATAAGAGATCTGAGTCTTTTCCTTTATGTTTCTCTGTTTTCTGAATTTTCTTTCTTTCTTTCTTTCTTTTTCTTTTTTTTTTTTTTTTGTCTTTTTCCTTTTTATCGGTACCAGGGATTGAACTCACGACTGCCTGCTTGTAAGGCAGGCACTTATGCCGCTGAGCTAAATCCCCAGCCCCATGTTTTCTGAATTTTCCATATTGACTTTTCCTGTCATAATGAAAGAAAAATAACTTAAGGTGAAAGGTTTGTTCACCTGTCCTTCCCCATTGCTTTTGGTAAATGAAGTCTTCCCAGAGACCATGGAATGTAAGAGGTGTCAAGCATATACCCAGATTAACCCACATTTGCTCACAAAACTGATTTAGACTGCAACAAGTTTAGTGTCAAGAAATGAGAGCAGCACAAAACGAGATCCTCAGCTGGGGATCTCTGTCTCCTGCCTGGGAAGTCTCTTCCTGCTCTTCTACTCAGCCTGCTGTCTGCCACGCAGGGTGACACAGACTGTGTCCCACACTTTCCTCTTCGGTGGAGTGGCTTAATGTCAGCAGGCTCAATGTTCTAGAATGAAAAGGGCGGAGCCTGGGTCTACTCCAGACATGCTGCCACCGCCTGGTGCTCTGCCAAACTCTCCTGGTAACAGGAACACTCCTCATCCCTCCGTCTCTCTGACCCGCACAGTCAGGGCTCAGAGGGTTTACAGAGCACAAACCTGGGAGCCAGAAACCAGACCTTTGTTGCCTGGCTCCACCCCCAGGAGGCTGGCATTCCATATGAATGCTGCACCACTAATATTTGCAGTGCAACAGGAAATGGGTACAAGGTCATTGTGGTCTCAGCCTTACCTGGTTCCTTCTCTCCTTTCCCTGGATGTGCAGCCTGGACTGATTGTTCTACCTTTTATTACTTTCCCTTCCCTGTGTCACCCCTGCCTTTTAAAGCCCATTACCTCTGAAAACTCCATCAAAAAGACAATATAAAATACTATTACCTGTGGATTTTATCCCACAAGTGGCAAGTACATTACCAAAGGAAAAAAAAAAAAAAAACCAAAGTAAACTCTGTATCATTACCAGCTTCCAGTTAATAGTATGCCTCTGCTGGATAACTGATGGGCTTAGCAACCCTGGGACTTTATCAGTTAAAGATCCAGAAGGCATTTAAAAGGCAAATCTCAGCTCAGCTGTGGACTTATGGGAGTGGTGGTGGGGGGAGCAACCATCACTAAAAGTCATTGATTAAACAGATCAGATACAACTCCAAAGAAAGCCAGCACTGCAGTATGGTAAAAAGAACCTGCCCCACCTTGCCTGGCCAGCTGGCTCAGGTAGCTCTCCAGGTCACTCACACCATGGCTCGTAAAGTAACTGTGATACTGGAAAACGGTGACGACTTCTGAGGATAGGTTGGAGGAGAGCAGAGGCTCAGTCTGGTCCAGAATCTGAGATACCAGGGTTCGAAACACTACAAAAGAAGAGTACAAAGCAGAAATATAGCCAGTCAGTCATTCCCTCCATCCATTTCTACAAGATAGAGCAGAGCACGTGATATGAGTTCATCTTCAGGGGACAGCCAGATGACTTCACTGTGCACACACAACTGCCCACTGCCGTTGATGTAAAGAGCTAGAAAATCCTCAGTGCTCCAATGGGTTTTCTTCTATCCCTTCCTGTCTATAGCTACCTACCCACCCCTACCATGCAGAGCTAAACCCCTGACTTCTGTCCAGTTCTTCTTGAACTTTATATAAGTTGAATTACACTTTTTTTGTATCTGGTTCTCTTTACCCAACAAAGTATCTATGCAATTCATTAAAATGGTTGCTTGCAGCAGCAACATACTCTTTTTAAAAATGTGATATAATCCCCTATAGTATGGTTATACTATGATGTATCTATTCTCTTATCGTGGGTATTGAAGATTTTTCAGTTTTTGAATAAAGCTAGGACCCTTCTTTTTTTGTCTTTTTCCTTTTTATCGATACCAGGGATCGAACTCACGACTGCCTGCTTGCAAGGCAGGCGCTTATGCTGCTGAGCTAAATCCCCAGCCCTCTAGGACCCTTCTTATACATGTACTTCTCTGAGAATATAATCACTCATTTCTCCTCATTTATTTAAGAGTAAAACTGCAGGACTACAGGGTTTAGTGGAAACTTCCTGTTTTTCCAAAATGATTATACCATTTGACAAGCCCATATTGACATTTTAATGAAAAGAAGTATACAGTTGAATCCAACTGTAGACCAAAACACTGAAAAAAGTTGCATCTCTGCTGAACACATAAGACTTTTTAGTCATGTCAATATTTCCTAAGCAATGCAATGTAACAGCTATTTACACAGCATTTATACTGTATCAGGTGCTACAAATAGTCCAGAGTACATGAGGGGATGTGTGCAGTTTACATACAAATACCACACCACTTTGTATAAAGAACAGGAGCACCTGCACGTTGGTCATCTATAAAACAACCTGGAACCGACCTGCCACAGATACAAAGGGACAACTGTCCATAGCAATACAGATATGTACCACTTCTAAGAAGTCACTGTTGATATCTGATTAAGACGTACATAGTTTTACTTTCTTATCTCTGAGTACATGATTTTCTCCTTGGAAAGCACACCTTTCTATTTCAGGCTGGCCTCTGTGCGCCCTGGATCCCCAGGCTGTAGAGGATGCAGTGTGAGAGCTGCACCAAAGGATGGGAATTCTCTGCCCTCGGTTGTCCCATACCTGGCTCTGCTAGTCCTGGGTATTCTTTGTTGAGGACTCTGGCGAAGCTGGCCTCCAGCTGCCTGATCACCCTGTCCGCTGAGCTGTGGTAGACACCAGATGGGCTGCAGCACTTGGTCCAGAAGGACAGCAGAGACAGCTTTTTGTGGAATTCTGGAATGGCTGGAAAAGAGGAGTGGCCCCCATGCATGACATGTGTTATAGACAAAGCTGGTGCACTGGTGGGGGCAGGGTGAGAGATTTCAGAACCTTCATAAGTCTGGCTTTCAACTGGACATACTACAAGATTGCCTGTGATTGGCAGACTGTCAGAGACCAAAGAAGTTACGGAGAGGAACTTATCCTGGGGGAAGGGGGATGAAGAAAATGCAGCAGAAAAAAAGTTGCTTGCCTTCAGGGACACAAAAATATGACATCTCCACCAGGGAAGATGCCCAAGCATCTCATCTTCTGTAACCCTAAATGCATAAGGTGTACAATCAGAGATGCAACGGTTGGGAGCCTTTCCTGAGGAGGGCAGAGTTTCACCATGGTGGCTAGAGATTCTCTTCTCAGGTGGACATGAGAGAGTAGCATAGGGCCAGGTGATGTCTGGTCACCATAACTTTCCTAGGTCCTTGTGATTGAGGAGGGCCCAGGAGGGGAGAGGAGAAGATACTGGTCAGCTGCAGGCTCAGTGCCTGCCTCTTTTCATGCCTCTCTTCCAACGTCACCTGCTCCAAGTGGGAATAGATGCAATAGGCAGAAACCCACTGGGAGGACCTTGGGAAGTTTTGGGCTTCATCAGAGATTACGAGGAGATCCTATTTCTATTTACGCTCTAAAAAAAAAGAGCAGAAAATCATGGAACCAGACCACACAAATGCAAAGGCATCTTCCCTATATCAAGTTCTGCCTCTGAAACATTGCGAACCAGGGACTGTCCTGGATGCCTTGAATCCACATGGTTTCCACTGTCCCTCCCCAGCAGGGGTGGGAAGCATGGTCCACCTGACAATCAGCTGCCATGGGAGCATCAGAACAATCCTGATTCTCTGCCCCCAGGGAACCTCACTGGGAGAAAACAACTGTGAAACAGTCTGTCGGTGGATGGTGTCTCTGCTTATACACTACTGACTGTTTTTCAAGAATGGGGACCCCATAGAAAACCTGTGCATTTCTGGTTTGATGCAGAAGGCTGACGTGTGGCATTAACAAACCCAAAGTGTGAAGACTTTATCTTACTCCACAGCCCAAGCATGCTCTTTTGCCTCCCTGTCAAAGAGCAGTGAGCAGGCACAGGCAGGAGAGAGGGCTGGTGTTTCCTCACCCATGCGGTGGGTGACTGGCGGGGCTTACCTTCCACGACCGAGCTGATGTTCCCTATGTTCTCATCGCTGACAGCCGCGAGTTTTTCCATCACTTGGGTCTGCCGGGAGAGCTTCTCTAAGAGATTTCTTGCCACAAAAGGGGTTTTGCTGGAGAAGACGATTTGCTGGTAAAACAAACAAAAACACTGCTTCGATGATGCTGTGGTCAACAAAAATAGTGTTACCGCCCCTGCCTCCTTCCTGGGCCTGGCAGCAGTGATGTATCATGGACTCAGCGGTGCCAGTGTGCCAGCCCACTGCTCCCCGTGAGCCAGGAACAACATCGGAGGGATGAGAACAGTGTCTGGCGCCTTTCTTTGTGCTTCATGCCTGTGAAACTGGAATGCTGTTGGCAGGAGCACTGGAAGTCGTGGTAGAGCAGCTTTGCCTTTTACCTACTGTAAAATCTAAGCCTCTCCTTTGAAACTTGGAGGACGTGCTTAGGCTGTATCTTGGGGCATATGGAGAAAAATATTTGTTGTACAAGCTTACTGACTTTTCATAACGTGGTTTTACATTTTTGTTTTCAAGCTGGAAGTTGAGAGAAGGTTGTATGATAATCATACCTGAATCAGAGCTATCTTGTTATTATAGAGTGCTTCTTACATATCAGGTGTGGTCTGAGCCTCATAACTGTTATGAGCTCATGTTATTTCTCCAATAACCTATTGAAGTGGGTAGTATTGATATCCCAATTTTACTGATGAGGAAACTGAGGCACAGAGAGGATGGGCAACCCACCCAAGGTCACATTAAGTAGTAAGTGGTTGCACTGTATGTGGGTCACAAGAATAAGGAAGCCAGAAAGAGGAAAGGACATAAACACTTGGATGATCGATGATTCTGCTTGTTATGGATTAAAAACTGGTGGTCAACTTAGCAGAATTAAATCACCATAGTGCTGAGCATACATGTTTCATCTGAGGAAAACTGCCAGCATAAATGGAGATGTGGAGAGGGAGAAGGAGGCATTAAGGCATTATGGGTCCTCCTACGTGTTGCTGTTTGAGCCGTTGGTTCTCCGGAGAAGCTCTGGTTCTTACATTGAGCATTGCTTCCTGGCTTTGGAGAGGAAGATGTGCCATTTAATCTCCAGGATGAACTCACCATGCTGGCTTTCTGGCATGTACTCCATTGTGCTTATCATTGGAGAGCTCGGGGCCTCCATATCACTGAGGATGGCTGTGGTGCTTTTGAGAACAGCCCTGGTCTTTGTTTTGAGCATGACTTCTTGGCTCCAGCATATAAAACTCAACCTATCAGCACAGCTCCTTCACCCTGCTGGCATGGACTTTCTAGCTTCCAAAGCTGACCTTTGGGCCTTCCCAGCACGGATCCATAAAACAGAATGGTGTGAGTCCTTCTTATGGGCTCTAGACCTCCAGCTGGATGTGTGGAGGCATTGCCATGGGCTTTAGGTATTCATCTGGACTCATGTGGGACATTGCTGTGGGATAGGACCCTCTTGCTTCTGGACATCCCTGGCTTCCATTGGGCACTGTCCTACTGTGTACTATCACACTGCACAGTAAGCACACAGCAGTGCCACTGTGACAATGTTTGGCATACATGTGAGCTAGTTTCAAGATTTGTTCACTTTTATCAATGTAATTTGAGGTCTGTTCTTATCTAAGTTTGCAATTTGAATGTTTGTAAATCAAGGGCTTACTGTATGTTTGCTTCAATATTCTTTTTTTTTTGTTTTTTTCTTTTGCAGTACTGGGGATTGAACCTAGGACCTTTCACTAAGCTACATCCAAAACTTTTTTAGTTTTTATTTTGAGACAGTCTTGCTAAGTCACTAAGCTGCCCAAGCTGGGCTCACACTCATGATCCTCCTGCCTCGGCCTCTCAGAGTTTTGGGATTACAGGTGTGCATCACCACACCTGGCTACTTCCACATTCTTATCTGGTTCCACACACATCCAAGCAGGAACAAGCCTGGGAGACAACCAGTCCAGGGGAAGCATTTAAGTAGATGGTGTGAGTAAAACATGTTCTGTGCACAAAGGCTGAAAGCCTTCTCACACACACAAAAAAAGACTTTCAAAATGCTTGCTCTATGGTTATAAAACCTGAAGTGATAAACAGTTTGAAATGAGAAGAAAAAGCATCTTTGCGGTGCCCCAGGATGAGCGCTAACGGGGTGGTGTGGCGGTGGTGATGACCTAGAGAAATAGTGCTTCTTAGTGCTCACAAAAATTATTTACTCAAATCCTGGGGAAATGTGGTCAGATTCTCTAGCACTTTGCTTTTAGCTTTTCAGATAGTGGAAAGCAAACTCATAGAACATTCACACAGATAAATGTCCACTCCTGCCAGCTTTCAGTTTCCATTTGTAGAGGGCAGAATGCAAATCCTTTCTGCTTTTTCCTTAGTCACATTACTGTTATGTACCGTCAAGTGATTTTAAAATGAGAGTAAACAATATTTTATTTCCTCCCTCTGAAGGTTTTGGAGATTCTCGGTTTTAAGATGGAAAACCCAGAGTTGGGGAAGGCTGGGCATGCCCATCAGAGTTTCTGACTTGGTTCAGATCTAAGCAGGTGTGTTCTTTTATTTCTGAATCATAATTTTCCCAGAAACAACTAAAAAGTGGAGCATCCTTTCCCGGCACATACACAGCCTAGGCTCTCGGATGCAGATGTGGGCACGAACCCTACCTGAATGAGCTGAGTGCAGTACTGCAGATGGTGCACGATGGTGATGTCCAGGCTCTCATTCCCTGAGGTCAGTGGGAGAGGACTTCCGGCCACGCTGGTCCCAACGCCTGTGTCTTCGGTCAGCGCTTCGCTAAGGTGCCCCCGGGCTTCTGGGTGCACTGACCTATAACTGGTGAAGCAGGACGGGGTGGGGGTGAAACATTAGTTTCTTCTCTCTGTGTCCAAATCACATATGTCAACGTGGCTGGCCGTCAGGGCCCACAGCATCCACTGAATCAGTCTTTCACTCGCTTATTTTGATAGACAGAGATACCTTTCAAAAACAGTGTAATTCAGCCCAGTTGCCAACTTGCCTGGTATTGAAAGGGCACACAAACAAACTGCTTTAGAGTTCTGTTTGCTTCTCAAGCACAATGAACCCCTTATGAAGGAGTTTCACCAAGAGGCCTTTAAGCGCACCCTCCTTTTGCATTTATTGTGCTTTCCTGCTCTGTTGACAGAGTAATTTGTCAAATCTTCTGGGATTAAACTATCCCCTATATTTGTGGTTTCCCAAGAGTAATACCATTAAAAAATAATCTATTAAGAACTTTTCCTGGCCTCCTGTTAGTTGCTACTTGAAGACAAGGAAAAAGGAAAGTTGCCAGGAAGGGAGATGTGATATTCTATTCAGGACCAAAGGTCAAAAGGGCGTTGGAACATTGAGAGTATAACTTAGTCTTGTTTATTGGGCTTTGTTTAAAACCACTGTTGTCTACTGAAGCGATCATGATAGGTATTATGGTATCTAATTTTATTCTTTTTGTTTCTTTGTTGGGACACAGTTTTACTATGTAGCTCAGGCCTTGAACTTACTATGTAGCCCAACCTGGCCTCCAATTCCCAGAAATCCTCTTATCTCAGCCTTCAGAGGCGGGGATTATAGGTGTGAAGCACCATGCCTGGCTAATTTTATTCTTTTTTTTTATTTAAAAAATTTTATTCTTAAAAATGATTCAGTGTCCTTAAAAGGGAGGGAGGGACACAAGGGCAGCCAGAGCCAGCAGGGATGACAACCAGTGTGAGTCCTAGTTCACGTGGCTGGGTAATGACAGGGTAGCTTTTGGCATCCAGCATCCTGTCCCTAGAGTCACCGCAAAAGATTCCTACACTGACACTTGGAAGCTTGGAAAGCTTTCCTCTGATTCACATCTGCCTCCAAGAGGAGGGCCATCAGCTTGTGTCCTGGCAGTCAACACATATTTCACATACACACACACACACACACACACACACACACACACACACACAATTTTGCCCTAATATCCTTGATGACATACAGCAAGACTGACTCAATTGGATCTATTTGATATCTGTCTTTTGTAAAATACACAAAATTCTGATGTTTTTATTAAAATGTTGCTTATGGTAAGGAGAAAAAAAAAAACTTTAGGATGACATCTGATCACGATCTAGTGTGTAGCAGCTTAAGCTAATGAATATACCGAAAATTACTCGTGGAAAACCACTTCATACATTTCACTGAGCGACAAAGTTTCAACATAGAATGTGTTGGAATCACTCACACAATGCCCGCATATAGTAAATCTTTTTTCTTTATATTCCTAGTTTTCATGTTGTTTTTCCTGGTTTTACTTTGGAAAAAGAAACCCACCCAGAGGAACAGAACCCCAAATCAGGAATATGATCTATAAAGAGATCAGTAAAGGTTGAGTAGCCATAGTGTGTTGAAACTTGAAACTCTATTTCGGTCACCTCATGCTAAAGCTAAGTTGGGTAGGAACCCTGCCCTGTCTCTCTCAGTGATGGATCTATTGCTGGAGGTAAGAATGTTCCTTTTGCATTTGTTGCCGTGTTTGCTCTGCTTCACCTGAAATGACAGAATGAACCCCAAAAGAAGTGGATCTAATGTTGGCTCTGTGGGAAGGGAAAGGCCTTTCACCCTCATGCCTTGTCCACCCAGAGAAGGTCACATTTCCCAGCTTGAGAGTGCAGGTCTAATGCCAGTTATTGGTCAGGGCTTTTTACAAAGGGACATAGGTGCCATGGGGCTTATGCCTGTCTTTGATGAACGCACTGGTGAGCTTACTCTCATGTGGACCCAGAGGACTGAGAGAAAGAGATGGAGGGACCAAGAAAGCCAAGACCAGCATGACAGAAGCCCAGGACTGAGTACCAGGCACAAACTGGCCTCCAGTCAGGGTCCTCCCCAAGCACAGGGGGCTTCGCTAACAGGGAATTAGTGTAACGGAGACAAGGAGAGACTCAACCCCACCACAAGTCAGTACACATGCATGCACACAGCTATGAAACCTTCCCCTTCACGTCTACGGAAGAAAAGATGTATTTTCTTCTAAGCAACGTCAAGGAGGGCATTTTTAAAAACTGTACAATAAAACGGAACTGTGAGGTGAGTACTGTAAGCCAAGTCACCCTCTTGAATCATTCCATCTTGGAGTTGCGTACCGTGTCCTCTCTGACAGTGACAGAGAACAACTGTGTAGGTTATGACAGGAGAGGTAAAAGCTGACTTCAGACTCACCTGTTTTTCTCAGTCTCAGTGTCTGAAAAGACAGAGTCGGCACCTCCTCCGACGTGACAAACCTCATTGCCATCCTCCTCCTCCTCGTCAAAGTCGGAGGTGTTCAGGAAATCAAAGCTTTCTAAAGCACTCTCAACGGCAAGACTTAAGCTGGAAGACCGGCTACGGCTCCCTGCGGGCTTGCACTGCAAAGGCAGAAGGCACCAGGACAGTGTCAACACCCCCAGAGGAGACACACACGGCACCCAGCTGCAGACGTGACACTCACTCTTTTTTTTTGTACCAAGTTTTTATTTTTCTGTTACCATTTAAAATATTCATATTTGAAAAATAAGTACAACCATGGATAAAACGGCACAAAATCCAGGGTTTATTCCAAAATATTCCAGAGTGAGGTACACAGAAAGAACAGACAACACAAGATTGGCCACAAGTTGTTCAGCGAGGCTCTGGGGTGCTGGGAAATGGGCAGTTCTATTTCCACGTGACATTTTCATCATAAGAAGTTAAGGAAATGAGACAACCACAAAGCCTTGGGAAATAGAACTGCTACCTTTCATTGGCAGTCTAGTACTCATTCCCAAATAAAATATAACCAGCAAGCCAGGTGTGGTGGCACCCACCTGTCTTCCCAGCTACATATTTGGGGGGTTAAGGTGGGGGGAAGATCACCTGGGCTCATGAGTGTGAGACTATTTCTCAAAACCAATTGACAGATTTTAAATCACTGAGCCAAGGCTCATTGATTAGCCAATTTCCAAGTGATAGTGTCTTCAGTGTCTTGAGATTGGAGCTCTTTATCTAAAGCACTGGCTCTAAAGGATCAATAAAAATAAATCCCAGGAACAGAAATCTGCTCGAATTCACAGGGCCTATGCTTCCTACATAAGAAGCCCCACGTCTTACTGATGCATTCACAGTATTATTTTTTCTTTGAATGTTGAGGAGCAATGAATGGCTGGGGAATCATAGGAAGAGACCCTGCTTTCTCTGAAACTGTCCTGAGTGGAAGAATACCAAGTGCTTCCTGACTAGGTCCTGGAAAGATGGGAGCAAACCCTGCTGTGGGCTGGAAGAGTCTACAGGAAAGATTACAGAATTATGCCAGCTTCTGCAGGTTCAGAGACTGGAGAAGTAGTTCCAAATACTCAAGAGGACGTTGGGAGGGACTCAACAGGCAAGTCCTGCAAGGGAGACGCATTAAGTGTCCTCTGGCCCGCTAGGTGGCGCTCTTTGCTGATCCCTTAGCACAAGGTAGGAAAGGCCTTGCGGGGCTCTGTCTCTGACTTTTAAGATGGCACAAGAGCACGTGGGAAAACGTCCTTTCAGTCTTTTAAGTCACAGTTGTTTCATTCACCCTCAGGGATCTCCGTCCAAGAGGCAGCATCATTTAGTTTCTGATCCTCAAGATGGTTAGCACCCTAGGAATGTGAAGGAGGAAAAAAGAGAGAGAAAGCTTTGTCCAGCTGATGCTTTAATTCTGGCTGGATACAAAGCTACTTGCCCCAGACTTAACCCCTGGTGCCCAGTTTCAATCTTAGGGGGGGAAAGAAGGAGCCAGAGAGGATTTGGTCCATGTCTAGTAACCCCTTTCCTAAGCCAGCCGTCTGTGCAACTTGATTTTGTGCAGGATCTATTTTGTTTCTTGGTCATAAAGAAGAAAGGGGGTGGTTGAGGGTTTTACTAGCAAGATAGTTTTGGAATCACAGTAGGCTGAAATAATACTTTGGAAAGAATGTGTGATTAGCTGGTTTTATAAGCCTCATAGATGGTATTCTTAATGTTTCCTGGTGGATCAAGTGGTTTAGCGGCGCCCAGGCTGCACTGGAAGCTTCTCTTCTCTCTACTGATTGGCTAGATTGGTTGCTAACCCCTGGCTTTCTCTAAGACTTCTGTGTTAGGCCATGCCAATTGGCATCTGAGCTCTTTGGCATGAACACCCTTTGCTGGCTGGTTGCACAGCAAAGAGGTTCATGGGAGAATCAGGCCAGCAGACTGTTCAGCAGCCCTGAGCTGATGCTTCTGAGCTGCTTTACAGGAAGCACATGCTGGGGGCCTTTGCTGCTTCTCAGGGAACATGCCTATGGTGGAACTCATCTGTCAGGAGCATTCCAGGACCTGGAGAGCCAGAGGTTAACCTACCATTGGCCCTAGGCACAGTTCCTCTCCAGGGCTCAGTCAACATGACTGAAGAAAAAGAAAAGAGGCTAAGGTGGTTAGAAAGACTCAAAATTGGAATTCTAGGTGTTGTTTGGAAGCCACGTCTTAAAACAGCAGTGCAAAGGCAGCCTCCTGTGGGCTGGTTCTCAGCCTGCTGCTGCGGCCTTACTGTCAAGCCTATTTTATAGGACAAGTCCCCATGGAATTGATTTTTCCACAGAAAAGAATCCAAGTTGTTTTCTCTTTGACCATATAAGTCAAAGTGGGAAAGCGAAGAATATAAGAGGTGGCAACGTGATTCAGGACAAAAGTTCAAGTGTTTCAACGTTTTAACCTGTGTGCCGGGTGGAGGTAGATCTGTACTGATGCAACAGTCTGAGTTCATCATCAGGTCTCTCTCCCAAGAGGAAAGCATTCCTCTCATCCACCTTCCCCCTCTACCCTTTCTGATCACCAGAGATTGAGAAAAACATCTTGGGTGAAGCTGGGGTCCCCTGGCTTCTAGGTATGATGTTAACTGCTGACGAGGTATCTAAGATCTGGCTTGCTGATTTGGGCCACATCAGAAGAAGGGGCTCCTCCTAACTTCTCCATCAGGAAAAGGGCTCCCCACTGCCTGACGCCCCAAGAGGGACACTACTCAGAAGCATCTATGAGACTATGATGATCAAAGTGGCAGCATTTCATATTTGGGATTGGAATAATTAACACTGGGACGGCAGTTTAAATGTTCTTTGGAGATTTTAAATGAATTCTAATCAGTTAGATTGCTCTACTGTCAGAAAAATAAAAATTGCTGTGCACAACTGGCACTAAAACCCACTGCCATTTAAATGCTGATTATCTGTTGACCCTGTGACCGGACAGGATTTCAATCAAAATTTGAGAAAGGTGGGTGTGGTGGTATGCACCTGAAATCCCAGCACTTGGGAGGCTGAAGCAGGAGGATCACCATGAGTTTGAGGCCAGCCTGAGCTACTCAGTGAGTTAAAGGCCAGCATAAACCACATAGTGAGACTGACTCAAAAAGCCAAAAATAAATATAAAAGAATAAAAAGAGAAAAGGAGAGGTTATGTAACTTGGAATGTCAGTTGAGACATTTCTCCAAACCCTGTCAATGCCCCTGTCTGAAGGTAAGACTTACCTTTAGAATGTCATCCAGATGCATGACTTCTTGGCTCAGAGCCTGAAATTCTTTATACTGCTCCTTGTGTGGCTCCAGGGCGAGGAAAAGGCCACTGAAGGCGTCCTCCAGGCTGCCATCCAGAAAGGACCTGCAGCCTTCTGACTCTCCACTGACGGAGCCCTCGTAGAGCTGCCTCTCGGTGGCCGCTGGCCCCTCAGCCGAGGTGAGCCTCTTTACCAGCTGCTTCGTGAGGTTCCCCTCGAAAGTGTCCAGCTCTACCGGTTTCAGCTCAGAGGCCTCATCCGACTCCTGCAGAAGGGCCTCGGCCACGCCATCCTCAAGGAACAGGTGCTTGGCACTAGCACCCGTGGCCACGGCAGTTTTCCCAGGCTCTGCTGCATCCCCCTGCGTGGGGCACCCTGGCTCCTGGCCTTGGCCCAGGGAGCTCCTGGAGGATGCAGAACTGCTGTCCCCTGTGCCCTCGCTCTGGGAGCATAGGCTGCCATGGGAGCACTCTGCAGGGGTGATGGTGATCTCGGGGTTGGCGGAGCATGAGCTGGAGGGTGATGCAGCAGAGCTGGAGGTAAGCGTGCAGTCTCCATCCGGGAGGTCGCTGAAGCTGAGGGACAGTGGCATCTTCTCCTCAGCCACCTTCCCATTTTCAAAGATGTCATCAGGTAGATTCGACTGTGGATAAAGTGCACCTTGTTATTATCTTCAGTATACATGGATGCATTTGGTATGGTTTGTTTCCTGAAAAAATATAAGGCACTAAAAACGAAAACACCACAACTTTCACATCAGTGTTTCATTTGTGTGTGTGTGCACTCGTCTATGATGGGCAAAGGAAAACAAGCCGTTAAAACTCCAGTGTTGAATCTGGGTGAAAGTTCACAGCACTATTCTTAGGCTTGACATTTTTCGAAAGAAAAGGTTGGGGGTGGATAGGAGATGTTGCTGGTTTCCTGAATCCCAGGATGGCACAGTACTTGGCAGCCACAGTTATGAACAAGCACTAGTGATTTTTTTCTTCCTGGCATCTGTCTTAAAAGACTTCCCAACATCTGTGCTATTTTGCTCCAAAGCTGTGATGCTTTGTTCTGCTTCAGTTCTCAATTTTTTTTGAAAATTTCTACCCGCGAATTCTAAGCTCTTGAAACTATTTTACTAATTTAGTAACCATCATAAATAATTCAAGGCCAGAAATACATTTGCATAGCCTCTCTGGAAGTAGGAAATGAATAAATGGAGCATCTGTCTTCCAGGAGGCAGAGCGTAGGGTTCTCAGGGGTCTGGAAACACCATCCTGTGCCAGGCAGCCCTGCACTGTGTCACAGGGACACACATGGTAGCAGGACTGGGAAAGACAGGTCCAAAATATCCAGGTAACCATGATCATTTGGTCTGGGAGGCAGTGCAGCTCTCCTTGCACTGTGGTCTGAGTGTGATGCCTAAATGCCAAATGCTGTTCTCTGGAGAAGGTATTCTACTTATTTGAATTTAGTCCCTTCAAGATGGTTAATTTTTCTACATTCTGGATCAGATTTTTTTTTCTTTTTTTGTCTTTTTCCTTTTTATCGGTATCAGGGATCGAACTCACGACTACCTGCTTGCAAGGCAGGCGCTTATGTCGCTGAACTAAATCTCCAGCCCTGGATCAGATTTTTAAAGTATAGTCAATTCTCTGTACCTGGGGGTCAATATGGGTAGATTCAACCAACTGTAGATCAAAACTAATTGGGGAAAAGTCTGTAGTGCAGCTGTACAAGGCTTTATTTTTCTTATTTCCTAGACATTAGAGTATAACAAGGATTTGCATAGCATGTGTACTGTATTATGTATTATCAGTGGCCAGGGATGACTTACAGTATACAGAGGATGTGCATGGGTTATATGCAAGTCCTGCCCCCTCAATGTAAAGGTTTGAGCGTCTTAGAGATTTTGGTGGCTGAAGGCCTTCTGGAATCAGTCCCATATAGATCTCCAGGAACAACTACACATAGTGTCAAACTAATGTCTATTTTAATTATATATCAAATCATGAATTTTCACAATTGCATTGGGAATGAGCTCAGCCAACAAAACATCCCAGCAAATGAAATGGGGGAGACAGAAGGAAAAGGCTTCCTGTCTCCTCCAGTAGAGTCACTGGTCCTGGTGCTGCTGGAGTTAGGGTCACTAGATCCCAATACTGGCATTAATTCCACCCAAACAGTCCACTCTGGTCTGGTTGGAGGGTGATTTACTCTGGCTACAAGATGCAAAAGACGGTGGGTATCTGGGCCCCTAAAGATGCTCTGTGGCTCTGTAGCTGAGTTTCTTCACCTTTGTGGTTGCTTTTGTTATGTTGTGGCACTGGGAATTGAACCCAGGGCCTCGGCTCTGAGCTACATCCTCACTCCTTTTCGTCTCTTCATTTTTGTTTTTGAGAATGGACTAAGTTGCCTGGACTGGCCTCAGATGTGCTATCCTTCTGCCTCAGCTTCCCGGAGTGCTGGATTACAGGCTTGCACTGCCTTGCCCGCTTACTCACCCCTGCTGAGCTAGGCTGTTTCGTCTTAGTGACCGTATACTGTTCCCCTTAAAGTCTCAGGGTGGAGGTGGTTCTATGGATCCTTTTTCTCCTGTCTCACATACCCTTTATGGCTTTAGAAAGAACAAAAGGGACATTCTGGGGGATGGATGAAGGCCTGGAGCCTTTCTCCACGGAGCTGCCTTACGGTCCTCACCAAAACCTGGGCTTCTGAAAGTCACCCTGCGTAGCCTGGTCTGGGCATCTGCATACACAGCTCGTGTTGGCCTTAAGGAAGCAGGAGACATGGCTGTGGGGGAGAAGCGGGCAGTTGAGGCTCTCACCCATGTTCTTAAATCCTCCTTAGCCCTGCACATCCCACATTCCCCCAAACAATTAGCACCCACTTCTCATGTGGTAAAGAATGCATAGGACTAAATTGAGATTCCCTGCCCAAGGGGGCTTGGAGTCTACTATGGGGACAAGGCCATCAGCAGGAAGAAATAGCACAGGGGAACGGTCAGGAAGAGAGTGACAGCAGAGCGGTATTGGCTCAGGCCACTTAGGATGAAAGCAGCCCTGCAACATCAGCTTCTGCTCACTCACAGGGGACCTGAATGGTACTGTCTGTACCTTCCACCTGGATGTGATGACCTGTGGACTGGCCCAGCTGGAAAGTTCTGGAGTGAAACCCACCAGCCTTTGTGACAGCATGTGAGGCCATTCCCCTTGCTTCCTGACACTGCAGTCCATTTTGTACCACACAGTTTGACTTTTATGGCACTTAGCACAATTCTGGATGCACAGGACATATAAGTAGCACCTCAGTGTAAGGTGTAAAAACAGCCACCATTTTGTAAGACATTGGACACTTTCAAACCTGCTTGAATTCTGTATCTGGGTATTATGATCCTAATAAGCCTGAAACTCACATAGTTCTTCTTTGTTCTTCACCTTGGTTGAGAAGATGCATCTTGGGAGTCAAGTGGAGCACCTTGGATAAGTGTCCCAGCAAGGGGAGAGATGCTTCTGAGAAAGAGGTGGTCCTACAACCCAGTCTCGGAGGATGGAGGGGCAGAGGACAGAAAGAGGAGGAAGAAACATGCTCTGCCTTTACTTTTTTCTCTGCAGTGCTGGGGGTGGAACTCAGGCTTTGCACACACTGGGCAAGTGCTCTAGCACTGAACTACACCCCCAACAAAGCACATTCTTGAAGGAACAATGTATGCAAAGATAGAATGAAAGCATGAGATCCCTTTGGGGGACAACGGGGTGACGGGAGAGGAGTGAGAGGTTAGAGGTGGGCCTGGATTGGCAGGCTGGAGCCAACAGGAATGGCTGCTCTGGGGTCTTTATGTTCTCCCAGAAGGCAGTAAGGACCCAGCAAGCTTTTTCGCACTACACTTTTATTGCAGTAAGCTATTAGACCTCTACTAAATCTCCTTTGTAGCCCTCCAGCTTGTAGCACAGGAGCGTGAATGCATTGTTAGTTACCAGTCAGTCACCACTGTGTTGGCGCTATTGTGTTTTAATTATTATTATTTTTTCTTTCTTGAGATGGGTCTCACTATGCAGTTCAGGCTGGCCTTGAGCTCACTTTGTAGCCCAGGCTGGTCTCGAATTCACAACGATCCTCCCACCTCAGCCTCCCGAGTGCTGGGATTACAGGTGGGAGCCACCATGCCCGACGGTGCTATTGTGTTTTAGGACATGTTTTGGAGCATTTTTGTTCTATTTTCCCTTGAAACTCCACTAGAGTTTAGCTTGTCCTTTTCCCATGTTTTAAAATTTAGTAAATAAGATGAAATTATTATCATTAACTAGAAGGCTTTTAACCTTTTGCTCTCTGACTATTCAAAGGTAACTTTTACAAATCTGAGAATGCAGAACACTGCATATATATGCCCGTAATTATAACTCATAAAAATACATTGCTGTATTCCTATGAGTGAAAGGGCTTATTTTACTAAGGTATTAAAGAATAAAAAGTTAAAAGTAAACTAACACTTACAACTTTTTTTTAAAAAAGAGAAAGAGCTCTAGTAACATTGGTTTAATTTATCTGAGTCCCTTGAACACCAGTTTTTGAAAGGCTGCTATCAGTAAACTAGTTACCTTCCGAAATTAAATCTTGTCCTTAGGGGTAAGTGTTGTTTCTTTTAAAAACAAAAATGTTGTTACCATGGATATCTTGGCCACAGCTTGGAAAAAGAACCACAGCACAAAAACAAGGCGGGTTAGAAGAGAAGGGCACAGAAGAGGCATGCACGGCCAAGTTCCCCCCCGAGGGACAGGACAGCGGCCACCATTACCCAGAGAGCAGGACAGAGGAGCCAAGCAAGCAAGAGACATGCTACAGCAGGCATGCCACCAGCCCCCGAGTCAAGCACGTCACACGGGCAGGCCGCACTCACATAGAACTCTAGCACGGCCCTGGGGCTCAGGCCAAGGGAGGGCAGGTCACCGACAGAGCGGCCGCCGTGTGGCTTGGCAAAGACAGTGTCTCGCAAGGCACTCAAGACAGACAGCCGCCTTGGCTTGTCTGGTGAAGGAAGCAACCATCTCTTCAGAAGGCAAGGACAGAGGAGTTAGTGAAAAGAATCAGGTTATCAGGTTCTGCATGTCCGGTGCAAATAAGGAGGCCTTTATTTATACTTGCTTCTTAAAACTACTAATCTTAGAGAACTTTTGTTATTACAAAGCAACAGGAACAGGAGGGTGAGGGCAGAGGAGAGACAGAGGAGGTTCCCTTGCAGATACATAGGGCCGGCCTCTGAGTGCTGACTCCCTGGGTCACCATTTGGTCAGGGCGACCCTTGAGAATGCTACTACAGTAGTATTAGGAATTCTAGAGCATCCCTCACCCTGGCTGTAAATCATCTCGAATGGAGGACACAATTCCTAGCGTGGGTTTTTGGTGTCTACTCCAGAAGTCATGGTGAACTTACAAAGAATGCGTGGTCTTTGAAGGTAGGTGTCTCGGGTGTGCCTTGGCTGTACATGGACATCCTCCTCTGTAGCGCTGCTGCCTTGTTTCCCGCACCCGAGGATGGGGTCATGTCCTCCACGTCAAACGGACTGCAAAACAACAGATCCCCAAGTGTCGCATCTGTTAGCATCCCCTGTAATCATCAGGCTGCAGCCCACAGGCCAAGAGGGCACTGCATTATACTAACTTCCATACAAACCAGTAGGAATTGGGTGGGTTTTGGTTAAGTTGGCTCCTCAGAAAATAGACCAAGAGAAAAGACAATGGGGAAGGCTGAATCCTGACCCACCAAAGGAACCACAGATTATCATAGCTTCCAGCTCAATCTATATCTACATCTACAGTTGCCTGCTTTCTTGTGAATAATAGAAATATGAACATAGCAATGCTTGCCATAACATAACAAGATGGGGAAGTCTGTAAAAATTCTTTGAGCTTTGTTGGGGTTGATACTTGAACAATACAAGTGATTAACAGATTCTTCTAAAATAACATCCTATTCATTGCCATCGAAACGGCCTCCTACATGATGGAGAGTAATCATCTATTCACAATGAGGCCAATAACATATTTTATTGTTTGTATGTGCAGTACTGAGTCTTCATAGGGCCTTCACACTGAGCTACATCCCCAGTCCCAACTCACTGTTTTAAAAAGTAGAGACAGGCTTTTGCTAAGTTACTAAGTTATCCAGGCTGGGTTGGATCTTGCAATCTTCCTGCCTTAAATCGCCCAGAGTGTTTGTATTATAGGTGTGTACCACCATACCTTTCTGCTGGTAATATCTTAATATCAAATTCAAGAAGAATAACCTTGCTAAGGCTAGGTAGAGGTGCTGACACCATGCCAATGACAAGGTGACAGGGCATATTATGGTTTGTATCTAGATATTCCCCTCTCCTTTAAAACTGCATGTGCTCTTCGTGCAGTATTTTGGAGTGACGAGATCACTGATGTGTGATACTGGATTAGTCAACTGATTGGTTTAATATAATTCTGGGTGTGGATGATGGATTAACTGAAGAGGGAAGACCCCGCCACCCTCCTGGGTGTGAGTGGCACCAACCAATAGGCTGGTAGCCCGAATGGAATAAAAAGGGAAAGAAGCTGCTGCCACCTCCTGCCTGTCCTGCCACAGACTGTTTCTTTCCTGCCAGCCACCCTGCCTTCGAGTTGCTGACTATGGACTAAACCTCTAGAAATTCAGCCAGAATAAATCTTTCATTTTTAAACTTTAGGAGCTAGGGATTTGTCCCAGCAAGAAAGTAACTGAGATGCCCTCTGTCACTTCCACATCTGACTCACATTTAAAATGGAGGCTCTGAATGTGAATAACAATGTGTCATATTCTTTTGGTAATACCATTACCAGGGGCACAACATCAAGTGCTGTGACCTACCAGGGCTGATAGGCATCATTATCTTTCCCACAGGGTCAATGTGGAAAACTATTTTAAATTCATACAAAAGATAACTTCTTGGCCTTTGGAAAGAACATATTTCAACCAAGGAGTATAGAAAAGCTAAGGATTTTTGCAATTTTCTGGATCAGTGTATATGAGATAAGGAGGGATAAGCAATTAAAGTACCATAGCAAGAGGTGGGGTTTTTGATAGAAAAAATACGTCATGTTAGTCATTTACTTGAGAGATGCATTATGTGTGTGCATATGTGTGTGTGTGTGTGTGTTTTGCATGTAAAGCAGGAAAAGAGGAGGCAGAATACAGTATTTGAAAGTAGGATGCACAAGTGTGGGCGAGCCCTGAGTCTCCTACTTTGCCCTGTGCACACCTGGTGCCACCTGGTAAGTTTGTTTCATTGACTCTGGGGCCAAGAGGATGGTACCACAGGTCAGGTGTGGCTGACACTCTGCAACTGGGACAGCCCCCAAGCTGAGCTGGTGGCCTAACCCCAGCTATGAGGACACCAGCACGCATTTCCGCATGAGGAATGTGACAAGGGCCACTTACTACCAGGTGCATGAGGAATGTGACAAGGGCCACTTACTACCAGGTGATTTCCAGGTTCAGTTTGATGGTGCCAAGGTCGTTGATGTCAACAGCCACCACCTGTGGGTGGGCTGCAAACAGCTCTTTGGTCTCACAGGTCACACTGCCCACTAGGATGTGAGTCGCCAGCCCCTTGAGCTCTGTGACCTGGTGGAGAAAAGAGGCAATTCTGGCCTGTTTCTTTCTTAGCCAGTCGGGCACTTTCAGAGTCACATCTGAAAGTGGCAGAGGAGAGGCTCAAAAGCCCAACATCAGTCCCCCTGCCCATAGGTCACTGGCTGCCATGCTCAGAAAGGTGACCACACTGTACCTTGATGGAAATGAACCCAACGATCAGCGGCAGGAAAACCATCTCTTCTCCGTCCCAGCTCTGCTTGCCATTGACTTCTATTTTGCCCTTCAGTTTCCACCTCTGCCGGCCGTACTTCATGAAAATCTGGAGGGGACACCAGACAGCCCGCATGTCTCCACCCCTGCTTCCCAAGTCCCAGGATCAGAGCGAGTCAGCGAGGCTGCTCCTCCGGCTCCTCCTCGCTGTCGTCACCCCACACTCCTGTCCTGTTCTGGGATCGCAGCGGGGTACACTGTCAGTGAAGAGGCTTAAGAAAGAGCCTTGGAGGGATTCGCCGCTGGCTTTCTGCTCATGCACTGAACACATGGCTCTCGTTTGGGTTCTACACAACAGAACTGCCATGGGGACCGATTTGTCACAGATCCCAGCTGCTTAGAGAGGAAAGAAACCATCACTAAAACCCACCTGAGGGTCACAAACAAGGAATGCTGTAAATGAGGAAAGGAGGAGGAGCTGAAGGGAGGGTAGAGGAATGGGAAAAATATATATAATTTGAAAAAAAATTGGTGCTGGGTATATAGCTCAGTGGCACGGTGTCTGCCTGACAAGTACGAGGTCCTGAGTTTGATCCTTGATACCAATAAATAAACAATTAGATAAGTAAATAAAACTTACCTTTTAGGGGAAAAAAAGAAAACAAATAAGGAATGAAGATATTTTCCCTTGGGTTGAGGGACTAAATTCCACACCGTCTGGGTGGAGGGGTACAGACAGCCTTAATAATGATAGAAGGCTTGGAAGAGAGATGAAATGATTACAGGAGTTCCCTTTTGAAGGGGAAAAGACAAAAGGTCTTTAAAAAAAACTTATTGGAGTACATCTGAATAAAGAAAGACTAGATGCTATTATCCTTTGTACATAGTACTTAGGGTCAGTTGTGATCCTAGATTGGATCAAAAAACGTTACTACAAAGTACACTATGGGGATACTTCGCAAAATGTGAACACAGACTGTGTCCGACTGTAGAGTCTGAAGCACTGATGTTACCAGCGCTGACAGGGAAGTGCGAGATGTTTCCAAGCGATAAGACCCTTGCATTGTTGAGAGAACTTGGGGATGAGGGTCATGGCACCTGCATCTCATTTTGCACACTGTTTGGCAAAATAGCAACACCGAGGTAACCATCATCATGAAATGATTGTGCTAATGTTGAAAAGCGGGGAATCTAGGGAGCCCTTGTACCAATCTCCAGACTTTCTCATTGGCTTAAGATGTCTTTAAAAGAAAAGGCAATTTAATAATCAAGACGATGCCTACTACTCAAGGCCTTTCAAGTGCTCAATCCCAACAACGCAGGCAACACAGTGCTTACCTCGTATTGATCTCCAGGGCAGAGGCGAGCAAAGCCAGCCAGACCTGTAAACAAGCAATGGGACGTGAGGGGCAGAGACATTACCGTCTTTAGAAGCCCACCCTGGCCCATCGAAGGGATTCAAGGCAAGGGTCAGACTGGGGAATCTCGGACGACAGTCTGGGGGCCATCTGTGGGGACCATCATCTCTGTCGGTTGGGGGACATTCATTCCCCGGTCTAGAGTATCCGGGTCTGAGAGCAAACTGGCCTCTTGCTTCCTTTCCTTCCCAGGTTTGTACTTTCAAAGTGGCTCTTTGAGTTAAGATTCCCTGGATCCCCACTGTCTCTCCCAATCCCTGCATCCCTCTGTCTCCTCACCTGCAGTAACACCAGCCCTATCCACCTCCAGGAAAGTGCTGGAAACTCACTATCATTTGCCCAAAACTTGTCATTAAGAAAAAACAACTAAGTCAACCAGTCAACCAAGCAGTGAACTGATAACCACCCATAGCCCTAAAAGGAAGACATGACTTTTCTTTGTCTCCTAGTGAGTTTTTCTATGTAGACCTGCTCAATCTGAGACCTGGTCTAAAAACTTTCTAGTATCACAGCAAAACCAAGTTTTGACAGACTACATGGCCATACACTGGGACAGCTCAGGAGCTGTGGTTTGGGCCCGTCTTTTCCTTTCTTTCCATAGATATTTACTGAGAGTCACAGCATGAGGGTCAATGCTAGAAGAGGAGTTAACAATTTAGAAATTGAGGAAGATTTCACAGATGCCCACAGCATACAACAAACTATGGGACAAGCCCATGGGAACGGGGCAGACAGGACCTGCAGGCAGAAGATGGAGTTAAAACTGAGCCTTTCCATTCCACCCGCCACCTGCCCCTCTAGATGACGTCCTTAGCCCAGCCTCAATGGTAACAATGGAACTGACTTAACCACAGTAGTTGGCATCTCACGTCTAGGAGCAGGGAAAACTGTGGGCCGAGTACATGCAGCGTGGGATTCACGTAGCCGATCCATCTTATGCAACCAGACACAGCACCAAGGAGGGGACAGCAGTGGACAGCGGTCCTTGTCTTTTTCTGCATTTTGTGTTTTTAGGAGAATGTGTTCCTTACATAATTATAACACAAACACACACAGCCTCGCATTCCGGGAAGCAAGTAGCATTCGCACACAGAATTTCACCACAGTTTAAGGAGGGCATTGCTGCAGAGACCACCAGGGTGAACAAGCATTTTGTGGTGCTGGGGGCAGCACAGGGCCTCACGCACGCTAGGCATGCGCTGTGCCACTGAGCTGCACCCCTGACCCCTCGAGAGTGTTTTTTAACGTCCACTGTAGAAAAACAGCATGGATGTCGCATTTACATCATGAAAGCAAAAGACCTGGGTCCTTCACTGGGGCCTAGCTGTGATCCTTCTTAATTTAGTCTGAGTTTATGGGGTTGTTCCTCAGCCGACCACAGAGCAAAGCTTTTTACATTCATAGGGACCCAGAGGTTCAATGTTTTAATCAAGGAACTAAACTAATTTTTATACTTTTTAACTTTCTGACAAGAAAAATAAAATTTTATGATAAAATTTCAGTTAAAAATTCAACATAGGGCTAGGTGTAGTGGCACACACCTGTAATTCCAGCACTCAGAAGTTGAGGCAGGAGGATCCCCATGAATTGAAGACAACCTGGGCTACACAGTGAGTTCAAGGCCAGCCTGAATTACAGAATGAGATCCTGGCTAAAAAAAATTAAATGCTGTTGTGAACATTTAATAAAAAACAGTATTTACCATGTAATATTTGAAAAAATGAGGAATGAGTCTAAACAAGTACCTGCCTAACTATTAAAAATAATTATCTCTGGCAGGGTGGATTTGCAGAGAAAGTTAAAATTTTGACATTCCATTATAATTTCGATTTGCGTTTTTAAAGATCATGTAATTAACTTGTAATAAAAAAGAAGAAAGGATCATAATATGCTGGCAGGCAGCATAAACACACAGTGAAGTCTGGCTGGATACTTATGGTGATTTTACCAGAGGTTCGCACTGGGCGGAGCAGTGCTGTACGATCCCCGTCCTGGTGGTGCATTTCTCAGTGTTCAAAGTTGATAAGGTACCACTTTCAAAATGAGAAAGTGGCGATTCAAGAAGACATGTTCAATCTTCCCTATTTGTCCAGTGATTTGGTAGAGGCAGCTGGGAGGAAATAGTTTAGAGGATCTGGGACAAAAACTGCTCTGTGGTTCGAGGATTCCTCCACAGAAACCACATCCAAAGGACAAGCTGATCCCTGATTCCTCAGCCTCTGCAATTCACCAATTAATAACCTTCCAGTTCTGGGCTGTTTTTATGCTGGTCGTGATTCTACTCATCAAGATGATGGTGATGGTGTCTCACAGTGTGTGTGGCTTTTATGGATAGCCCCATGATACACTGTAATGCTCATGTGAACAGTCTGATTCCCACCTGGCTGATGGGCCCTGCTGGGTGAAGACCTCCGCACAGGACTGGGTGATTGGGCTGGTGTGTGTGTGTGTGTGTCTGTGTGTCAAAGGCATGTGTGACTACCATTGGTGGCCAGTAGGTGGCAGCACATCACCAGGCCCTGGCTCCTGCCCACCAGCCAGTCCATTTAGGAACAGCTTTCTCTAATAATTGGAACTTAACAAGCCACTTAAGGGTACTTATTGAAATAAGAGCAGAATTAAACCTATTTTCACTAAGAGTTCTGGGACATTTAGTCTTTAAAAAAAATTACTTCTGCAAGCAAGCATAATTGGCTGGCTGTCATAAATCCAAAGCTTGACAAGTTAATTCTAATCAAATCTAAAGTGCTCTTTAAAGAGTTGGAGATTAGTTTGGGATTAACCCACTGCCTGTTTACCTGTGCAATTACAATGGAGGCGTAGCTAAAAAGCTGACCTGGTACCATCACTACACAAAGGTGAGTGTGTGTGTAGGAGGAATTCTTTGAAGGATTTTTTGTTTCCCTGTTTCAAAATTAGCAGAGATTTCATATCTGAAGAACTCTACTGAATGAGAGAAAGGTACATGCTAGGAATTTTTTTGAGTTTCTGAATTCATATTATTAAAGTGCTAGGGATTGTTTGTAGCAGCATCTTGGATTCTCTGATTATAACAATAATGTAACAAAGTGGCACCAGCTGGGCAAAAGCAGCTCTGACATAGCTCCAGGAGCTATGTACCAAGATGGGTACTAACAGTGGCAGCTACAGCCAGTCTTTACCTGGCGGGTTCCTTCAGGCTCTGCCCCGGGGCCTGCTGGCATTTCAGCAGTGGGGGAAAGCAAGCATTTTCTTAGGGGTTTGGTGAGTTCTGCTGTGACCATTCAAAGCCACCCAGGGGTTACCTCTGAAGCATGATGCAGGGTGGCCATGGGGTCAAGGGACTTTAGTGTCCATGGTGTACCCTCTGACACCTCTGCTTACACACGAACAGACTAGCTATTCCCACGTAAACTGGAGATCAGAGCTGATGTGAGGCCCTCAGTGGTGTCTACCTGGCTCCTGACACAGTCTTCGGTCTCTGAGAGGAGTGTTTTCCACCTTCCCCCCTGCCCCCAGTTCTACCACGATTTTCCTTCCTCAGAGTCACTTCCTGCTCTAAGGAAAAGAGCCGAATAGCTGCAAGCAGGGGCTCCGGTTACAGGCCTCACCGTTCATTGCCTGGGGGTAGGTAATGCAGGCTTTCCAGCTCACTTTGGGCCTAACCTGCCTTAACTCAGGGCCAGCACAAACTGCTGCACCTACACATGCCTGGGACTTAATTTGAGAGAAGTAATGATGGGTTAGAAAACCAGTTTTCCCCAAAGGACTCTATGTCTTTAGCTCCTTCCTGCCTCACAGCTGCAGTTCCAAGGCTCTCTCTAGCGAGCATTCCTGGCTTCTCAGAAACAGCTCTGCACATCTCCTCTCCCAGGAGCACTTTGCCGCTCCAGTCTACCCAGCATTATTGTTTCCTCTCTGCTGAATGCTACTGAGCCTGCAGTTCTCAGTGTTAACTGGGGGGGGGGGGGGGTGTTTCTGCCTCCTGCTCTCTGCTCCCCAACAGCCAGTGGCGGCTTCCTCCTCTCCCTTCAGGCTTCTACAGCTACTGGCTCTTGCTCTTGGTCCAGCTGGTCACTGAGGGCAGTTATTTAGTATGTACTGGCTCATATGAGCTCTAAATAAAAATATGGTGAAGGTTGAAATTAAAAAAAAAAATTATTGGGACTGGGGATTTAGCTCAGCGGCATAAGCACCTGCCTTGCAAGCAGGCAGTCATGAGTTCAATCCCCGGTACCAATAAAAAGGAAAAAGACAAAAAAAAATTATTACAGTAAAAGACACATTACCATGGATTCCTCTCAAAATACTCCTCTTCTCTTCCAGTCCACTTATCCTGTCATTCTTGCCACTTTCTGAAGCAGTTGTGGAAGCCTTTTTTGGTGAGTGTCTTTAGTTGTGCTGTTGTGACTGCCTCAATGTCCTGAATGCATTCCAAACTTTTACTTTCTACAGTCATTTTGACTTTGGGGAAGAGTCAGAAGGCTCAGAGTGAACAGGGGGGAATGAGGACATCCTGTCATGGTTTTATGAACCTGTCCTTCCACTGAATGGCACTCGGCGGCCACATTTATTATATTTTCTTATCGCATCTTGTAAAGACACTCATGAAAGAGGATGTCCAGAACTGCTTCAGGAAGTAGAAACAATGAAAGTGTGACTAAAGTGACTAATGTTCAGAGGGGGTTTTTGATAATGTGTTTTTTTACTGTAATTTTTAAACATTCCACATATTTTTTGATCAGCCTATATATGTCCACTTTTCCCAGCAGGATGAGTGGAACCCAAGGCCTAGCTTTCACCAGGAGGCAGCCTTGTGTGGGGCAGGCAGGACAAGTGCTTGGTCAGCGCAGACTCCACCCAGCTCCCTGCTGGAGGGGGTGGGGCAAAACCGGAAGTGTAGAAGACACAGCGGGCGGAAGTCAGGGCCTGGCGGTCTGAGGTTATGAAACACTCCCGTAAGCCCATGTGTGTGCTGGGGGAGGTTGTTTTTACCAGAATGAGTAAGAGAAGGAGGCAGCTAACAGCAAAGATCTGGGATTTCTTGGCAGCCACAGAGGGCTTTCCTTTTCAAGGGGAGAGAGGATTTCCCCCGGGGTGTTGTCCCTGCAAGGCAGCACAGTGTAGTTTCTGAATTTTTTTTTGTTAGAGTAGGTAAGCAGAGGTGACAGAAGTCCATCAGTGAAAAGGGATCCATCTGGGGTCTCGCCACCCTCAGACTCGGAGTTCAGGGGAAGCTAAGGAAGCAGATAAAGAAAGGAAAGGGGAAGAGGTTCAGGAGGAGGCGCAGCATTGCAGGCCCGACAAAATCTCCGGAGCCCCAGCGGGCCCAGGCTTAGCCAGAATGGGCCGGCAGCTCCTTTGCCTGCCCACTTCCAGGGTGGCCTGTGAGTTCCATATACCAGTGTCTGCTCATTCTCTTAATGGGGAGCTAGGGTGGGAGTGGTTAGGTGCCAAGAGACCTAGAATTAAATTCAAATTTGACACCAACTTATTGTGTTACTTCCCGGAAAAGTCATTCCCATCAGTGAGATGGAGAGATTATCACTCCCCTGAAAAGTGACGCATTTGCAATAGTGAGTGTGAGACACAGGGGACACATGGACCTCCTTGTATCAGCAGCAACATGTGTGACCTGAATTTCTCTTAGGCTACAAGTCTTTAAGACTGAGCTAGCGTGCGTGGGCCATGCCTGAGCCTTGTCTTCAAAACCAGGCTGCCTATAGAATCTTCCAGAAAAGGGGCTGGGGATTTAACTCAGGGGCATAAGAACCTGCCTTGTAAGCAGGCAGTCGTGAGTTCGATCTCCAGTACCGATTAAAAAAAAAAAAAAAAAAAAAAAAGAATCTTCCAGAAAGCTCTGAACGCTGAGCACCCTGAGGCCTAGCCTGGCTCTGTGGGTCCTAAACAGCTGGGAGGGGCAGTGGCTGAGGAGTTTTGAACCACTGACTTGGTTGAGGATCCACAAGGAGGTGAATGACCCTAAAAAACTGAAAAGGCCTAGGTGCCCAAATCACAAGTAGGTAGGCAGGGAGTACCCAGAGGAAGAGACCTGTTCCTATGCCCTGGAGGGCAGGGTGGGCCACTGGGAACTGGGGTTGAGGTCCTTCTTACCTAGAAGCTCTCCCAGTGTGGTGTCTGGCATAGTAATTTCCCTCCCAAGTTAGAGTTGGATGACTCAGTTAAAAGTGAAGCTTTCCTGCTGAGCACTTTTAGAAGTCTCCCTCCCTACCCCCTTAATTGCAGAAGAGAAGGTAGACAAGAGGGTGATTAAATCCCCATTAGCAACCCAGGGATCAGGCTGCTAAAAACCTCAGTAAAGAAAGAAAGAAGAAAAAAAGGCACCCCCTCTCTGGACTGCAGTCAAATGGGCGGTACTTGGGAGAGAAGTCAGTGACCCCACCCAGCCCTGATAGCCACAGACTATACCGGAGCAAAACTCTTTTTCTAAAACTAGGCTTCCTTTGTGTTCTGAAGATGCTGTTGTATAAATCAGCAATGCTTCTAGCTTGGAACTTTCTGGAATAAGCACCCAAAAGGCATAATCCATTGTGGATTGAATAGCAAGATGAGACAAGCAAATAAATCTGGGAGGCAGTTTACAAAAACCTGATAATGAAGGGACAATTTTGATGACACCACGAAGAGGCCAAGGCACAAGTCAAATAAGAGGCATTTTGCCAGCAGCAGGATGAAGATGGGGAGCTTGTTTCAGATGAAAGGAAACCTCTTCGATACACCAAAGAGCTCATCACAACATGGGGACCTTGTTTGCATCCTAAACAAACAACTGTTCAAAGGATTTTGAGACAGCTGGGAAATTTCATAATGAAATAGGTTAATGACAAAGGCGTGTTTACCTTGTTAGATGCAATAATATGACATTACTGAGATACGGAACAGGCCTATGGGGAGATGTGGGCTTGAAAGACCCAGCACCGGGCTGACATAACTGGGTCTGATTTCATCAAAAGATTGCTTTTTCATCCAGGGGAAACAAAGAAAGGAAAGCAGGCAAATACAGCACAATCTTGCTAATTACTGAATCCAGGTGACAGGTTTCTGGGATTGATGGGCATGTTCTCTCTGCTTGAGAGTCTCTCATAATAAGAATATGTTTTAAGTGAGAAAGTCAGACTCAGGATGAGAAGCATCCAAACAACAGTAGCGGGAGGGCTCAGAATGGGCAGTGCTGTCTTTGCAAGGAAAATCAAAACAGCAAGTGCTGTCAGACTTCAAGGAGCTCAGCAGGACAGCTTCCGACTCGGTCTGTGGGGGAAAATTACCTTTCATCTTGATGGAGAATTCCCCCAGCAAGTTCTCCAGTTCCGCCTCAATGGTGCACATGTTCTGGGAAGAGACCAGGACACAGGTATTAGAGCTTCCTTTGCACACTGGCCCCATGCACAGGACATTTTAGCAGTGACAGCAGTCACTACATGACTGTTAGGAGCCATTTACTTGTTCTCAATGCACTGCATGACCTGGCCTTTGCATACTCTGGATAAAATGTTTAACCCAAGACATGAATGGGTTAGGGTGTATCCAAAACAGACAAATGCAGACTGGGGGAATATTCTGGAAGAACTAGGCTGGGCTCTCTAAAAAGGCAACAGTATGGGGCAAACAATGGTATAGGCCAGTGGTTCGAGCTACTTAGAAGCCAAGGCAGGAGCATCACAAAGTCAAGGCCAGCCTGGTCAATCTAGCAAGAGCCTGTTTCAAAATAGAAAACAAAAAGAAGGGCTAAGAACATAGCACAATGGTAGAGCACTTGCCCACCATATGCAAAGCCCTGAATTCATTCTCAAAGAGATTACAGGGACATGATGATCAAATGTCACACTTAACCCTGGCTGTATCCTGATTTGAAAGATAAACAATCTAACATAGTTCTGAAAGGCACTGGCATTAAGAAGAAATTTGAAAGTGAGCATAATGGTAGGTGCTTGTACAGGATTGTCTGCTTTCTTAGGCGTGGTAATGTCTGTGGTTATGCTGAAGATGTGCCTGTTACCTAGGTTACCATTCAGAGAGCCTCACGGTGTTAATGAGCCAGAGTGAGCCGTTGTACAGAGTGTGCACATCTCAGTACAGTGCATGCTATGCCCCAGACATACAATCTTCACATGTGAATTTAAAAATAAAGGATGAGATCCATGCTAAAATGTTGATGGGGTAAAATGTCGTGACATCTACTACATTATTATTAAATGACTCAAAAAAATGATTATGTGAGAGACGGGAAAAGCAAATATGACCAAATGTTTCCAAAATGGGTTAATCTAGGTAAAGGTGCCTGGAGTTCAGCATTTTGTCTTTCAACTTTTCTGTAGGCTTGAAATGTTTATAAATACAAAATTGGGACAAAAAGAGCACAGAAGATCAATTCTGCTGGAATAGATACGACAGAGTCCCTGCTGCAAAACCACAAACTGCACAGATGATTCCTGGGTCTGACAGGGGTCCGCTCCTCACGCTAACACTGAGTGAGCAGGACAAGCGGAGGGAGCCCTTCCATGATACCTTCTCTGTCCCAGTATCTGACAACTAATTAGAGCAATCAGCACTGAAACCCAACATGCTGCAGCCTACAGCCAGCTGACCCCTGCAAGGCCTCCAGCAGCCTGGCCAAGGTGAACTCTGATGCCATCTCAGCCACCCAAAGCAGCAGCTCCACCACAGCCCTGGGAGGGGGGCACCTACAGCTGCTCCGTTGGTGGCTGACCTTATCAAGGATGGGGGTATGGGGTGGCCTTGGGGACTATGTGATATGAGCATGGCCACTTCGTGAGTGCTGACAGTTTTGTCTCCACTCAAATCTTGTGTGCTGAGAAACTTCAGGGTGGATCTGTAGGGCTAGAGGCTCTGATTCTTATTTTTTCTGCTCTGAATGATCATTTTTATGGGATGCCGAGAGAGCAGAAGTTTCTGTGCTTCAAATGGCTTGGCAAAACTGGGGACACATTTCAAATCTGAGCCTTGAGCAATTTAAAAGCACAGAAAACAAAGTCTCAGCCTTATAAACCAGTTCTCTGCCCCAGGACCTCAAGTTTCTGTAAAAGAGCAGTTTCTAAAAACACCATGTTACCGGACATCTGAGAGTGGCCTCCAGGGTCTTTGAAAAACTCAGGGGTGGGTTGTGAGGTTAGCAGCTGAAAATATCCACAGCAAAATGTTCTTTCTTCTTCTTACCTCTGCAACCATTGCTGGACATCGCTATCTCTGCAAAATACCCGAGCCATCCTGCCCAGCCCTCCGGCTGGTAAAATCCTCCTTTTCATGGTGGTTTATACGATCACAGAAAACTCCCTGTAGGCTAATGACAGGCGATGTGTGGAAGCCCTGGGTGTCTTTCTGCCCTGAGGGAGCTTTCCACTTGCTGAAACTGCACGGCATCTTTCAGTTTCTGAGCAGATACATAATGCCTGGCCTTGGCACCTGACCAGAGTGGCTCTTTTTGAGGTGACCTGAGAATGTCCCAGTTCAGGCAGCTGCTGCAGGCTGTGGGTCAGTCATCTGCTCCTGTATCACGAGCAGCCTCTATGACAGGAAACTGCTCTTATGATTTCAGAGACCTGTTCAAATGTGGTCTCATGAAGTAGGACTTAACCCGTGGGTCCACAAGGGGATAAGGGTGGCAGCAGCAAGAATCCCAGCCTTTCACTAACCTCTCATGAGGGTAGAAAACCCGGCAGGGCAATCTCAGTAACACCTGTGACTTCAACACTCACCGCGACCACACCTTCATATTGTATCACTGGTTGCAGAGAACTCAAGAAAATCTTCATATTTTTAATTGATTTGAAATTTTGGTATGTTACTGGATTTGGTAATTTGTTCGTTAAACAGTAGCATGCTACTCTGTCACAAAATCAATTTTTAAAGTATTTCAAGAAATGTAGTGATGATGTTAGGAAAATTGTATTATAATACATATTTTTTCCTTTGAATTCTAATTTTAATTTTGGGCACTAAAAACATTATTCTGAGCCTGATGTGGTGATGGATGCCTATAATCACAGCTACATGGGAGGCTGAAGCAGGAGGATTGTGAGTTGCAGCCCAGCCGAGGCAATTTATCAAGACCCAGCCTTAAAACAAAACAAAACAATTTTAAAAAGGCTGGGTATGTGGCTCAGTAGTATAGCTGCCCTGGATTCCATCCCTAGTGCCACAAAACAAACATCAACAAAACATTCTTCTAACCAGGAGAGTTAGGTAAAGAAGAGCCCCGTTTTAGGTCATGAAGAAGACAGCCACGAGGCAACATGGGTGTGAGCACAAAGCGGTCTTGGAGCAGGAGCTCCGCTCTGGGAATTGTCCAGCAGGCCCGCAGCAGGCTGATGACTCCATTCATGAAACCTGATCTCCGAACACAGAGTTGAGGGAGAGTGAGAGTGCAGCTTTAATAATTTAGTCACTTCATCAAAGACAAGGGTATTAGATGACTTCAGGAGGGATGAAGACCCCCCTATGTCATATGTGGAGGCCCCAGAAACCTTCAGAAACCAGGCAAGCACAAACACTTCTGCTTGTGGTTCTTTATCTTGTCTCCTTTAAAAGTTGTTCATGTATACAAAAAATCCTAGGCAGGGGTTATTGATATCTGACTGCAATCCACAGGAGCTGTCGAAATCACAGGGTCTGCTCAAACTCCAGAGGTAAAGCTTCTATGGACCGTACACTAGAATATTTGAAAATGCATTCAAGTGACAAAAATCAGAGAATTGTGTCTTATTTTAAACAGTTGCAGTGATTGTTTCGCTTGTGTTTTTGTTTTTGAGACTGACAATAAAGTCGTCTCTAGAGATGGGAATGAGCTCCTAGGCTGCTGGTCACCTTGTTCGTTGCAGAGACCCACCAACCAGATCCAGCAGGGTTGGGGTCCAGTTCCAGGCAGGGAGGGACAGGCCATACCTCCGTGTATTCCTTGTAGCTCCGATTGATCTCCGACAGACTCTCTCGGGCAGCTTTGCTGGCGGGGGACATCGCAAAGGCTTGCTTCATTTTGCTGGCACCATCTTGGAGGCGTCGCTGGATACAGTAAGCTTCGTAGAGCTCATCTACCTGCCAGGATCAAAACAGGAAACACAGATATAAATGTCTGTCATGCTTGAGAGAAGTTGCACAGGTCACTGTCATGTGCTGAAGGTACTCTATGTCCCTGACCTTAGGGAGGAGACTCTTACAGAACTGTTTTTTTTCTAGACAGACTATTTGTATTTTCACCATTTGGATCCATTTCTTGCCTTGAAAATGATTGCACAGATCCTGTGCACAAAGTGAAAAGATATCTCCTGCATTTTCTCAGGGTTATCACTGGAATTGTTTAAAACGACTCAAAGGTGGACATGTTGGTCCACGGGGGACCTGGGGCAATGAAGACAGGGACTTTGTCTCTGGACCAAATACTGGAGGTGATGAGTTTCACACTGGGGTGAAAACTGTACAGTATCCACAGCTATCATCACTTTATTTTAAGAAGTATTGTCACAGGGTGATACCTGGGCTGCCAGATTCAGCATCTTTTTAAAGAACTCAGGACTGTTAACTGAAATAAATTTTTGTGAGGTCTTGGCTCAATAATACAGAAAGAAAATGAAGTTACCAATATTATACTAAATGGTTCTTAAAATTAAGACAAAATACAATTAACAAAACTCGAACTGAACACTTAAGAATTATAATCTGAAAAAATGAAAATGAACTTTCCACCTGCTATACCTCTACATTTGTGCTTCCAAGACACAATGTACCTTTTCAAATCACTACTGCTTGTTTTTTTTGGTTCTGGAGATCTAACTTGCGACTTCATGCTTGCTAGGCAGGCACTTACACCACTAAGCTAAATCCACAGTCCTTTGGTTTGTTTTTTGAGATAGGGTGTTGTTATACAGTTCAAGCTGTTCTTAAACACACTATGTAGCCCAGGCTGGCTTCGAATTTGCAGCAATCCTCCTGCCTCAGCCTCCTGAATGTACCACCACACCCAGCTAGCACTTCTAAGGTACTGATTCTTTATCAACTGAGTGATCTGTACTTTGTTGATATATTAGGGGTTGAGAGCTGCTAAACATGGTTTAATGCTCAACACAGCCTCCTACCACAAAGGTTTATTCCAGTATATCAACAAGGCTGAGGTTGCAAACCTCTCCTAATGACCTCACAAAAACTTTATTTTTTTCTGGGAAATTGGCATGCATGTCGTCTCCGTGCTTTAAATTTCTGGGTGTGGTGGCATATGCCTGTAATCCTAGCATTCAGGGAGGTTGAGGCTGGAGGACTGTTTCAAGTTTGAGGCCAGCCTAGGGTACGAAGTGAGTTCAAGGCCAGCCCGAACTGTACAGTGAAACATTATCTCAAAACAAACAAACCCCATCCCCAAAAAACTACCCCCAAAACTAAAACTCTTAAATTGAGACTTTCCTGGTACACCACTTGTTAAAATGCTGAAGCCTACATCCCACTCTGAGAAACTAATTCAGTAGATGTGACTGGATCAAGAATCTGAAATTTCAAATAAACATTACAATTCATTCTGATGTGGGTGAGCTCCCCGAGACTGCTGGAAACAGTGTTGGTACCTCTTCCAGGATGTGGCAGATGCATTATGATGGATGGCATCATTTTATTTTTTATTGCATTGGCAGAAATAGGAGCAATTTTAGATTTTTCTCGGCAGTAAATATCTTTCAAAGTAGGAACGTACAAAGGCAAACGCATATACCTATGTCCTCTCACAGCTAAATTGTACTCACATTTTAAACCTGAAAGCCTTTCTAGGATTATCTGGATTGAATTTGTGCATTTCACAGAGTGGAAAGCCAAAGCCCATAGAGTGTGTAACACTGAGGGCAAAACCCAGGCTTAGTACTGGTAGGGAGATGCGCTAAAACCCCAGGAGATGCGCTGTCCCCCCACTGGGACACAGGCAGAAGGTGGTGAACAGGAACAGGAATTCCTTGTGATTGGCTGCCTCCAAAGGGAACTCACTAGCTGATGCCAATAATTCCCAGCAGTATTTAGAACAAAGGTGACAGTCCTACCATAATGCACTGGGCAGAGCATTTGTGAAATATCTATAGGGTTTGAGGCTGGGTATCAGGGATGCTGAAACTGTACCACTTGAAGAGAGGAAGGAACTGAGAACTTAAGGTCACATGGATGGTTGTCTTCAAATAATTATGGTCTTCATGCAAGCTGTGTGGGACTGGAGGGTAAAGCTAGTCATGGAAGTTCTTTGTTGAGTTGGGTTGGTTTGATCTTATGTCTTCCCATGTTACACTGACACTAGACACGTGCTGCTGGGCACTACGGGAGCCACCAGGAAGCATTGATAAATGTCTGCAGGGGTCTATCCAAACAAGACTAGGCTATCAGGTTTTGCAGTCTGATTTCTTCTATCTCTGCTGCTTGTTGGAAACCTTCATTGCTAATGAGCCAAACAGTCGATTAAATAGGAAATTCTCTGTGGATGCTACACTCAGGCGAAAGGTGTATCAGTCAGCAACCAAGAGCTGAAAACAGGCGGAGAGCACAGAAACTTCAATTACCTTACTAATGTGGAACTCCAGGCGTCTCATGTATCTCTCAATTGTTTTCATTTGCTGTAATGTAGAAAAAGATTTGAAAAAATACATTTATTTATTCACAGTTCAATTGTTTTAGGCGTGTGAAATATTTTCTTTGTTATTTCATATACAAAAGTACCAGAGAAAAATGCACTTTGTTCCTTTTTTTTTTTTGAAAGAGATGCTCTGATATCAATTTGGAAAGTATTTTCCAAACTATTGGATATTCTGAGACATAAAGTTGAGTTAATTATCATAGTCCCTATGATTAACTTCAAGGGCCAGGGGTTTATCCAGTGGAATGCATTGGATTTCTGGCAGGACAGTATCCTAATAAACTTTCAGCTATTTCAGAATAATTTTTTTGTTCAGAATTTTCTCTTCATCTTTTAGTGTCTCTGAAATTGGGGTGCGTTTTATAATCTCTCTAGGCCAAGAGGCAGATAGCTGCCTGGGCATGCTCACAGATAATCCTATTTGCTCCTGCGTCATCTCTGAGTTATAAATATTCTGGTTCCTTGCATTTACTTTAATTGTCCTTTAAAATATCTTCAGAAAGATATGATGAGTCAGCATTGAAGTGGTTATTGTGTAAACAGGAAGGCATGGAAAGAAGCAACATCATACACTAACTAGAAAGGAAGACAGAACATCTATCTGTCCAAAGAAATTTTGTCATTAAAAATGGAATGCAAATTTTAAGTTAAAGAACCGTGTGAGTTTAATAGAGCTATTTTTGGTTTCTTAGTGGCACCTAATTGCAATACTTTTTCAATCAAAGATGTATTGGGTTTGATAAAATATAGAGGTTAATACTTAAAGATTATTCAGGTAAGGGCATGCAAACTTTGATAAGGTTTCAAACTTATCAGAAACATCGGAAAGCTCTAGCGCCTGGTGGCATATTTGTGGAAGTGACCTCAAACACTTCAATGAACCTGCAGATCACAGTTTTATACACTGTCCTCCTTAAACAAAAGCATTGATCTTTCCAAGATAACAAAAACTATCAGTTCTCCAGGAGTCTACCGTCCCCCAGAGGGTCGCTTATCAACACTGATTCACAGACAGTTTTATCTTTCAGTAGAGTCGCTTACCTTGTCTAGGTCATACAGTACTCCCTGGAACAAAAGAAGAGCACATGAATGGAAACACATCCTCTCAAAAATATTAACACAGAGGTCAGAGAACACTTGTGTGTTATCTATGAAATGGCCATTGGCCATGTGACATTCTGGTAGATGCTTTGATATTTAGTTAAAAAGAGCAGAAATCTGGGTTACTTTTAATACCAGTAAAATGACTTTTCAGAGCCCATATCTGTTTGCATTCTGTTTCCCAAATTTCACCTGTTCCTCTCCTGGGAGAGGATCCACTTGGGAGAGTTAGGGTTTTCATTTGTTTTGAGCTCATCTGTCCTACATATTGAGGGGCAGGTGAATCTGTTCGGTTTCGAAGTTTTAGAAAATAAGGGATGTTGGACTGGGGTGTGATGCAGGGGTAACACACTGGCCTAGCATGTGAGGGCGTGGGTGTGCTCCCCAGCCCTGCAGAAACAACAACAAACAACACAATGAAATATAAATGCAAATAAAAAGTAAGTCATGCTAAAGTAGAATATAGCAGTGGCTTGTGTGTTAAAAAACAAAAACCAAAAAACTTCTGTTGCTGTTTAGACCAAAGAAGTTGGTTTTTAAGAAGAGTTCTTGGGGCGGGGTGTATGATATGGTTTCACTAATTGTTTTGCAGCAAGCTCATTTCCTGTGTTTGCACAGCAGCACCATTACTAGTGGTGCACAATCCACATCCCCTTGAGGGACACTACTAGGTCCTGGCAGAAGCCCCTCTACCCGTCAGCCTTTGTTCTCCATGGAAAAGCATCTGCTCCAGTAGAGGGTGACCAGGGGCGTTCACGGGCTCTGCAGCCCATCGCCATAGGAGCTCACACAGACTGGGGTTTATACTCCAACACCAGCAGGATGTAAGTCACTCTATTCGGATGAAGCCTGTCACCCAGAAGCCTTTGATATGGTTGACAATGTACATTTTAGCCCATATCCTAAACAGTAAAAGGTAACAGCCCTACACGTGTACCTGCATCTCTTGGGTACATGTAGATTTTCTTAGGCTGTGTGACACCTTGAAATAGTAAGATATAATAGTATTGGGAAGTGAAGAAAAATCACTGAAGACAGTGTTGGCATTGGCAACACTTCTTTAAGCACATGCATCCTCACAGATTCATGGGAATGGGGGAGGTCTGCACAGCAGTGTGGAACGGAACTGGCCCGAGAACTCCTCTGACTTCTCTTCCCTGAGCCTCCTTTTGCTCCCTGGCATCACTGGCTTCTACTCTTTTATAACACTGGAAATAAGGAAAATGCCTAGTTTTTGACTGTACTTAAATGTGTGTTGTGAAAACTCCAACTTCTCATTTCCTTATGTTATTTGGTTGGGGGTGCAAGGATCTTCTTAGAGAGTATCTTCTCCCGATTGTAAAGTTTGCACGATTACAAGCATACTTGGAAAACACTAGAGTGTGAAGAAGAAAGCATCAAGAGGAAGACTCTCTTTTTCCTTCTAAAATACACATCACAGCACAGAGGGCTTTGCCCCTTACATCTGCTTATTCTGAGCCACTGAAAGAAGATGCTGAGCTCCAAACCCCATTGCACCAAGCCCCTAATGGCTGTGTGTTACCTACCAGGCGGGAATTCCTCTTCATGTCTTTCAGCTGGGCTGTCAGTTTGTCCAACTCGGTCTGGTGAACCTCCAGATACTCACTGCAAAGACAGCACAAGACCTCACTGTGAACTCACCGAGAGAACGAATCTGGTGTGGTTACCCACTTTTTCCTCTTGCAGAAGGGTTGGAAAGCTGAACTGTGCCCTGCAGTTGGGGATCAGGCTTTGGATTTTCCCTTTTTGCACACACTAGTGGCTGCACCTGACCCCGCATGGCTTATCAAAAATGGTAAGACTGAAGGTCCAGAAATGAACCAAGGAGCAGGAAACAGCTCCCCTATGGATTGGGTCAGTCCTGGATGTGAGCTCACAGATTTCTATCTGGTGAAATGCAACCTTGACTGTAGCTGTTTCTCTACATGCTAGAAGCATTTTACTGGAAGCAAACAACCCCTGCAATACATTCCAGCAGGTTACAGACCCCTTCTTCTGCAATCTCTACTACAGACTGTTTCAGGTCTGTTCCTGCCTGTCCAAATGGCGTTTCGGGTCTCCCTCATTGCTATACGATATGATGTGGAATTTCAGTATTTCCTTCTTTGGGGCTCACTAAAGACACCCCTGACTACAGTGTTAGAATCAAATAGCTACTACAGAAATAGGCATTTTAAAAATGATCAGCTTGGCTTTTCTCTTGGTCATTTTAGAAAGGGAAAGGTTTTTGTTTTTCACCAAGTGCGTAATTGGGTCCAGTGTTCTTACTCGAGTCCATTTTTCAAGGCCCTGTAGACCTCTTCTACTCTCTTCGGCTGAGGCTCTTTAGGAGGGTTGTTGTTTTTGTGACCTAAATTGTGCATTTTCTTCAGTTTGGCCTGGGGCTTCTTGAGAGCAGAAGAATTTTCAATGAAGGAATTACACCTAAGGGAAAGGAAAACAGAAAAGAAATTGTGAGGCTTGGATATCCAAAAGGATTTGACCAAGGAATGCCTTTTAAATCATCTTGGGCTCATGTTAGTGTCCTTTGGAGAAGGTAACGTGCTCTTTACGTTATGGGATCAGAGCCAGCCTACGTGAGCTTCTTGCTCCATTTGTCAACTGCTGAAATCTGAAAGGAGGCTTAGCTGTGTGGGGACAGAGCCTGGCTTCTGGATATGTACCTTCAGAGTGCTGAGTGTGGCTCCACTAAACCCCAGGAGAAGCCAAAGATAAACATTTTCAGGTGGAAATAACAAACAGGTAAAGGGACACAATACGATTAAGGAAAATGCACTGAGCATTATCAGATACAAATAGAGAGGAGGGAGGTTGTAGCAAAGTTGACCAGGGAAGTAAGCAGGACTTGTTAATTACAAGATCGGTCAGCAAGAAATTCCCAGGCCTGTATATGGAACTTTCCATGAGTTCCCATCAGATGTGGGTGATATCTGAAGACACGCATGCTGTGAAGAGCTCACCATTGTGACTTTTCATGGCAGTGTACCCTGTGTTTTCTAGACCAAGGTATACTTTTAATTTTGCTTTTCTCTTTCCTTTTTTATTTGCCCCAAGTTTGCTCTGCAGAGCCAGTTTTTCCTTTACTTCTTCACACTTTTCAAATAAACTTCTGGCACTGGTTTTGGCTTGTCTCATTCAATTCTTTGTTAAAGGGAAAAAAGAGCTAGAATATGTTTAACTGGTGAGCCATATAGGAACTACCCCATAAGAAAACCTCTGTTACATTTGCCTATGATAAGGAACCATTTTTGATAAAGGGCCAGCAAAAGAGCTAACTCTATATGGCATTTAAAAAAAATCCCACATAGCTATATGAATAAACATATACATAAAAATGCAACATCTCTACTGACAGCAGGAATGTAGCTAACAGTAGCAGACAAGTGCCTGACAACCTAAACCTAAACTACTGATCTAATTAGGAGACCAGGAGGCTCAAGAGCTGAGGGGCCTGGCTCTCAGTGGGGAGCCAAGACCTGGGGCCACGAGGTACCAGCTGCACTTGTTCAATCAGCTATTAGTGATGTACTTCTGCTGCTCCTGTGTGCACCTAGTGGGACTACATGGTTATGGGACATAAGGCAGAAATGTTGACAGTAAAGTTCATGAACGTCCCTTCTTCACTACTTGCGTTTTCCCACTGCAGACAGAGGAGACTTCAAGATAATTAGGAGACTAATTTTGTACCCCCTATCTGAGTGGCAGCTGTTCCTTTGAGTCTGTCCACTGGGCATAGTCTTTACCCACTGCATAACTTCACATCCAGTATAGTCTCCCAATCTGAATGCCATAGAAAAAGGGGTGCTACAAAAAGGGGTGATGTAGGGTGGGCAGAAGTCTGCACATCGGTCACTAGTTTATCCTAAATCCTCAGCTATGTGCTTTGAGGAAAAGAAATGACAATACCTAATTTTGTATCTATTATCTTTTCCAAGAAGACATTAAAATAGCGTGGCAGGGCGTGGGGTGGAGGTGGGTGCTGCAAGGTTGCAAGCACACAGGCTGATCCTCTTGAGGACCTCAGAGCCCACCCCAGCTGCGTCCCAGGAGAAAGCTACCCATACTTGCCTGGATCGTCTTTCCTGAAGGCCACTGAAGCCTGCAAAGGACTGACTTCTAATGATCCCATTGGGCCCTCCCGGCGAGAAGGACTGGGATCCTACCAGCATGGTTTCTGGGAGCCTGGTTGGCAGTCCTGTAAGGTGGGAGAAAGATTATGGTAGTTTAGAGGCAGGTTCAGACAGGAAACATAATGAGTTTGTCAACAATGAGAAGGTGTGACACAGATGACATGAGTCTCCAGGTTCTTGTCAAGAGATTCTTGTGAGACTCTTCCCTATAGCATGCTCTTTTCAAGCTAAAGGATCCGGCTCTTAGGTTAAAAATGAAAAAAAGACACCTACCTACCTAGACCAAAATAAATCCAAATTGCACAAAATTATCAGTCACTTCAGATTTCTTTAAGAAACCGCCCCCCCCCCATCAACCAAAGTTCACTAAAGGCAAGTTTTGTAATATTTACTTGCACCCAACAACAACAACAACAATACAAGTAGGCCACAGCCAAGTTTCAAAGAGGTCCCATGTGAAATCAAAACACAATTAGGCCTTCAGCTAGAATTCTACACTTAGAATTCACAAGAGTAAAACACAAGGTTCCTTCAGAGATAATTCTATTTGTTCCACCTTTCTATCCTTAAAGTAAATTTTGGGGAAGAACAAAAAGAAAAGAAAAGAGCTCATGCCAGCATAGGGGTGGGGAGGACAAGGCTTACGAAAGAAGTGATCATCTAGGTTAGATAAGCAGGCACTGGGGGAAGAGAAGGGCGGAGGAAGCAGAATTTACTCCCCTTACCCCAGCAGACCCAGATGCGCTGTTAAAACACAGTACTGGGGATAGAAGCTCGGCATTAATCCCACCAAAAACTGCCCTGTGAACTGTGAGGTGATTCTACCCCTTGATAATATGCAGCGCCATTGTCTGGGCAGGTGTCGCAGTGCAGAGAGGGGTTATGATTGTAGGAAGAGGGTGACAGGTCTGGTCTGAAGCACTGCAAATGTAATTTGAACAGGTGCCCTTTAGAGACCCAGTGAGGAGGAAAAGAAAACCTAAGAAGGAACAGCAGCTCCCCTGCAAGCTGTCACAGGCTCCGGAACCCCTCCCTCCAGGGCAGGAGAGAGGCTGACTCACTGGGCAGCAGGCCTGTGAGAGGGCCAACTGCTGATCTGTGTCATACCAGTTGAAGACGGGACTCTTCAGTTTGGGGGCATTCTCTAGAACTGTAAGAGTATGAAGTGCACATATCTGAGAGCAGTAAAAGTAATATATAATGTGTGGGCAACAGGCAGGTGCAATAAAGCTTCCTCTGGGTACTTTTCCAAGCCCTGAGGCTTAAAAAGAAGCCTAATTCCTTTAATTCCTCAGCAAGATGCTGGCAAATGCTCTCTGCTAGTCACGAAGGGGACTGCGTATTCATTTCATTAAGGATTCCTTCTTTCAGTTCTAAAGCATGCCTGTGTTATATCACACCCCAACTTCTAATAAATATCAAGAAAGCACTGTGGTTAATATTCTTTCTGTACTCATGTTTAAAAAATTGATGGTGATTAAAACCAAAATCTCACTCATGCTAGGCAAGTCCTCTGTCACTGAACTATACCCCAGATGATAAGCAAACACCCACATTAAACTCCCAAAGGGACAGATTTTATTAGTATTGTAATCTCATTTTGTAAATTATTGTTCAATAGTCTATCATGTCATGGATATTCTTTGACCACAGAAAAGTGCTTAGAGTATTTCAAATATTTAATTGCTTCATTGTCTTGTACTTCCTAGAAATTGTTTTTGAAACAGAAAAGGATTCTTTTCTCTCTCCAATGGATCTGGCTCCAATCCCGGACATTCTGACTTAATGAATATAGGGTATGACCCCGGTGTGGTTGAAATGTCTCAGGTGATTCTGAAGCTCGGCAGGGTTGAGAAGCCACTGCCTTAGAAGTGCTGGTTGCATGGCAGCTGCAGTAGTGACAGGTGGGAACAAAAAAGAAGGCCAGTAAGAAGGCAAGGAGAAAGGAGATGGATGTAAAGTATTCTGCTACAGCTCACTGACGCCAACTAAAAAAATAATATTACTCAGTCTTAAATAAGCCCCTCTGGGAAGTTTAAGGTCTCATTATATGAATTAAATGCTACAGAATAAAACACATGGCCTGAGTTGTGAAATCCACTTCCTCCCTCATTCACCATCCAAGGTGGGAAGGACTTTCAAGAGCAAAACAAGGATTTTTCCTGGATAAGACTGTAAAACACTTTGGGAGGGGAAAGAAATGTTCATTAATTTTCATTAGATTGGCCTGTGGGGTAGAGGAGAAGGTGACTGGGTTGAGTGGTTGGAACGTTCTCTTGTTGTCTTTGTGGTCTCAGAAATGATTATCATCTATCAGGAAAGAATCTGGCTGAGAGCTGCCTCCGCCTGATATCTCTATCTTGCCATCAATTTCCCTACAGGCTGATACACTGCCTAAGGAGATGCATCTCACACACACATGCACACATGCACGTACACACACGCACACACATACAATGCCCGGCTGATGGAGACATAAAGGAGTAGGTTGGGCAGGGTTGGACAGGATAGAGAGCACAGAAGACATGCCTCCCCCAAACTCCTTAATTCTTCAAAGAGGAGAAGAGTTTCCACCTAACCCACATCCCTTCCCCAATGGCAAATGCCCACAACAGTCCCCTTCTGGTCCCTGTTATCCTTTGCTGGTCACTTGACTCTCACCCTTTATCACCCTATGTCTTTAGGCTGATTTGCACTTCCTAGGAAGGCAGCTGCTTGCTCCCTGCCTGCTGCAAAGCTACCCTTCACACTAATTGTGGTCAGGTTTTAAGGACTTCATCACCCCCATCCGAGTGCTTTACATTTTGATAGCAGGTCCTCCCTTGGCTCCAACACCTTAACCTAAGGACCAGCAGAATCCCTGAATTACAACTGGAAAGAATAAATGTAAAGTAGTGTGAAAAATTTGGAGGGCAATTTGGCAGTATCTGTTTGAAATACAAAACATTCCCACCTTTCTGTATTTCTTCTAGAGAACTACCCAAGCATGAAAAAGGGGACAGACAGGCGAGTTCTTACAAACTTTACAATATCGGGAAAATGGAAAATGATACTGATGTTAGTCGTAGGGCTGGCGTGTACCTCAGTGGTAGGGCGCTTGCCTAGCATGCACAGGGCCCTGAGCTTGATCCTCAGCACTGAAAATAAAAATCATCACAGGAATGGTGAATACACTGCGATGTAGCTACAAGATAGAATACTGTGTGACAATTAAAAATAACACGAACAATCCAGGAAAAAATAGATCCCCAAGACAAATCACAGAACACAGCCAGCAATGTTAGAAACAAAACTATGTAAAACTATGTCCATTAATGGAACAATTCTGAAAGTAGAGACAGATGATCCATTGAGAGGTGAGGTAGAGTGGCCGGCAGCACCACATCTTGATTTTTTTTGCATTGTATTAATTTTTATAGAGGAATAGTATTACATCTTATTCACAAAAACTCCTTTTTTAAAATTGCAGACCCTCAAAATGACAGAAGAGGGCTTACAGGCAAGATCAGATCAGATGACTCTTGGGAAGCAACTATAGTTATTTATAGTCTGGCAGAGAGGAAATGTTACTCTCAAGAAATAATATATTAGGCTGCATACATTTTGGTTATATTCAAACAATTCAGATTCCCCCATAACGTCCTTACTATGCATTCTGAGCTATGTAACAGTGTCATTTTCATTTGTAAAATTTTTAGAGACAACCCCCAAGTTGCTAAGAATCACCAAATATGATACCTCATAAACAAGAAGCTCCATGTAAAACTGCCATTCATCTTTAGGTGGTGGTACTTACAGGTGCTGGGCCTTTGAAAAAAGCTTCCATTCTGTAAGCTACTGGCTCTTCTCCTGGTCTTTCTGAAAAGCCCTGCTGGACTAGTGTTTATTTTCGCGTATTAAATCCCAGAAAGGTTTTCCATCATAGGCAGAAAGCAAAGCCACTCTGGTCTGCATCTCACTATGCTGGTTGTGGGAGGCTCCATGGTCACACCAGCAGTGACCTTTGCCCTGTTCACTGCCACCACCAATAGGAACAGCAAGATCTTTCTGGAAAGAATTCCAAGCACCTTGATTAAGAATTGAACAAACTCAGCCGTTCTGAGCTGAGCCTCCTGGCACAGAAGCCTGAAGGCCACTTCTTGATTCTTCACAATGAAAACCACTGCTTTCCCCAGCACTGCGGTGCCAAGTTCTAATTAAATGCACACAAGGATCTTTTGGAATTAAAATAAATAGAAGATTTTACGTGTTCTGTTCTCAATGCAGTGATGCAGGTACCCTGGGCCTTGGAGGAGATGACAAGTCCCTGCCTGTCCTAAGAGCTTGTTTCTCTGTAAATCAGAAGAGAGCTCATCAGAGCAGCAGGCAGACTGGGGGCAAGAGCACCAAGCTTGTTTCTTTGGGAGGAGAAAGGGGCTGAGGCAGATAAACAGAGACCCAAGAGTCGGGAGATTACTCCTCTCCCACCAGGTCTGATGCTGTTTGGAGCAGGAATAAGAGGCAGAATATAATTACAATGCAGAGAGGGAAATGTCCAGCTACTTGGAGAATCTGGAGATCACTTAACTCCAAAAGCTGGACAACAGGCATCAACCTTGGGGGCTGCCTGATGGGCACAGGCTCTGAAGGAGATGTATACTGGGGCTCAGGAGCAGCATGCCACCCACAGAGGTGGTAAAGTGACAGGATGATGCTTGGGAAGTCCAGCCTGGAGACAATGCCCCATCCCATTCTATTTCTGTAAATTGAATACTGGCTTATGAAACCATTTCTTGTGAGTTGGATTAACCTGTTCACTCCCTTCAAATTTCAATGGCTCCATTCTAGGATGCGAAGGGCTAGGTGTGCCAAGTAAGGTGAGGATCTTGATAGCCCAGTATCTGGCTGGTCACTTTTCAACATCTGCTTAGACATTTTGGGGACACTGCTCAAACCAACTAGTCAGATAGAAGGAAAACTATTACTGCTTGTTAAAGTTAAGAAAACTGACGTTCATTAAAGGAAATATGGATATTAGATTATTTTCAGTTTTTATAAGCATAAACTCACTCTCCTATATCAGGAA